CTGCGTGATCTCAGCCGATAACAATTAGATTCAAAAAAATTATGTTTCAAATCTGGTCGTGACTCTCAATTGTTGGCCAGTCCAGCGCTCATTTCAAATTCGGATGGACAGACCGCGATCTCTATTTTTATGGTAATTCAAACGGGAGAGGGGATTTGCAAACAAAGGGATTTTTTGCGGCAGACACGCAACTCGTCGCACTCGGGAAAAGAAGCAAAGTAAAAAATCAGGCGAGTGTGAATTTAGCACCACGAATTTTTTAATACAGAGACGCACGCAAATCGGCATTTTTTTAAAACAATAATTAATTTTTTTGACAAGTTTAAAATTTATAAATTATTTTCAGTCTGTTTGCTTCAAGTTTAATTTTTTCCTTTTTACTTTATATTAGTGAGAGATGAAAATATCATTTGGAATTTCACTCTTGTGTATAGCAAATCAATCTACAAGAAAAGTCGTGTCTTATTTTTCTGAAACATCTCACTCATTATATCGGTAATTAGAATGTCTCGGCCGGGGAAGTGATTTTACAGACCAGCCTAGCTGATTTCCGATGCGATATGGAGAGGAAGAAAGAAAGTCTTGCTGAAACAATTTGTGGCATCATTACGCGCACGTCGGAGAAATTGAAACAAAGAGAGCGGCTTTCAAATGAGCCGTAGCAAAAAATCGCTAACGAGCTCGAACAATTACTAATATTAATAATTAGAAATAGAAACTAATTTAACAAATTAATAATTTTAAATTGACTCCAAAACATAAAATAAAATTTACAGCAAATTTATTTTTAAATTGTGCTGATTTTAAAGTAAAATGTTTTATTATGTTTAGTTTTGAGGTCAAATTAATTCAATTTAAATTCGTTTCACGCTCCGTCTGCGCCTCTTCCTGAATTCCAAAACCTTTTCCATAATTTTATTGGGCTTTCGTGTGTTTATACTTCATATTTTTGTTTTACGAGCTCCATTTCCCACAAAAAACCAAACGTTTTCGTGATGCGCTGCCGTTGCTCTTTTCGTCTTTCTCCGCATACTTTCACGTGTGTGCACTAATGTGCAGGGTTTACACCTGTATATGATACTTTTTAACTCTTTTCGCCGCGGCACGTTCGGGGTCATGCGCGTCGATTTTTCGCTCGTTTCCTGTGTTTTTGAGCAGCCAGAGCACTCTAATCCTGCTGCGCGCTGTTTGTTTTCCGAGTGAAAAAAATTGGATCACCTCAATCGACGGGATTAATAAGAATAAAGATTTGGATCGCTCGCCACTACCTGAGATAACGTCAAATTGTTGCAGCACATCAGCACAAAAAACAAAACAAAAATACAAAATTTGATCAAAAAACAACGGTTTGATTAAATGTAAACAGAATCTCAGAGGTAAACAAACAATTAACGTTATAACTAATTAAAGAAATTGAGTTAAATTAAATAAACACGAGAAATTAAAATTAAAAACTTTATCGTTTTTTACTTTCACGATTACTCTTCTATACAACAATTGACATTAATGTTTGATTCATATAGTTTTTAATTTTACAGATTGAAATACACACACCACTTTAAATATGGTTTGTGAGGAATCAAATTTTTTGAAATAATATATACAATGTATCAAAATATATGATGAAATTATACGAAAAAAATTTACTTCTTATTTTCTTATAAGTTTATAAAAATAAACAATAAATTCTCCAAAGAAATTATGAAGGTCTTCTTTTTAGGAGAGAAGATAAATTAAAATTTCATTTGTTATGCAATTTAATAATTTTAATTAATTGGTTGAATGAAATAACATTTTGAAAATCAATCTTAAAAATCAATTAATTCATTTTTTTCCTGAATTTTTTTAATTGTGTATTTACATTTATGGAGTCCATGGAAATTCCAAGTTGGCAAGAGAGAACATTTTCTGATCCTTTTGATTTGCATAAAAAGAGTCGTGTAGTTGACGTTGGCCATAAATGGAAGACAACCATAAATTTCCTCTCCTGCTTCGCGCTCCACTGACACATACACATTCGTTTTGCAACTGGAGTGAGACCCATTTACTCTTTAATGTGCACATTTCCCACTGAGAAGTATGGAAGAGAGTTCGGTTATTGCATTCCATCCACGCGACTCCTCTCCACGTAGGCGGTCCAGTTATGAAAATTCATCTTGTATAATTTTATAAATAAATTCGTCCCAAATACCAAACCGACTATAGCACATTTTTATCGTTTTATTTGAAAACGGTATTATGCAAAAATCCAAAAATACTCGTGTAGGGAGTCGCAATAAATATTTAATCGCTTAATTTGAGCTTTCCTTATTTCTCCATCTAACTTATTTAATGATCCTGTGGTGCTGCTGATAATTATGTGAAGGCAATTCTGCGACTACTTTTCTCAACTTTTACGACTTTAATCCTCTCTCCGCCGTCGATCGGCACCAATATAAAGTTAATTCCCCAGCCGAGGAGGAAATTGAAAGTGCGTCTTTAATTTTATATATCTGCTAAATCCAATTTAATCTCGGGCTTTATGCTGCTATTTAGTGAGAGTTGTTGATGTTCTTATTTAGACATTTAATTGGCAAAACAGCCGGAGTGACTCACTTTTTTTATATCTCAAGGGCCTTTTTGAATTGGCTCCGCAGACGCTACAGTAAAGTTTGTGACACGCGTGCTGAATTTTATTTCATTTATAAACAGTGCTCGATTGTTTTATTTTTCAGTATATAAGGCCTCGTGCATTTGCATTCAATTGATTGTTTTATTTGACTGCGGCTAACAATGGCGAGGAAAGAAAGTATAAAATGCAAGGCCGATTCCGTAGTTGTCACTGAATTAAAAAGTAAAAACACTTTGACTTTATTTGGAAAAAGGATTTCACTTTCTTCAATTCAAATGATTTACTTTTAACTATTAAAGTGAATTATATACGAGAGTTACTTCAAATCAGGGAAATACCAAACAACTATTTAAAATTTGAAAGCAATTCATAGATGGAATAATTATATGAAAATTGTATTGTACATTGTGCAATTTTTGGTTTTACCGGTTTATAGGAACTTCAGATAAAATTAAATCAGTTATCATTTCACAGAAATTACCAAACTCAAAAGATAAAAATATCAAAATAGAAAATGCATATAAAAATTTCAATTCACAGTGCAAAATTTAAAAAAATCTTACTATAGAAATATTAAATCACTTTGTTAAATTTTGGATTACAAGGAATGTCCAAGCCACAGACCACAGAATTCAGACACCTATATTTAAAAAAAAAAAAAACAACAACGGAATTTAAATAATTAAGTTTGATAATTGAGCATTTTCTAACCAAAGTTTTAATTATCTAAATAATTGAATCTCATCATTCAAATGGCAAGTGAAAATTAGAAAATATTAAAGTAATTAAAATTATTTAAGACCGTGTTGGTGATGAAATTTAATTTACAATTAGTGGGAATCAATGAAAGCGCACATCAGAAGCACACGCCTCGTTAATTACCATTAAATGCAAACACATAATTTATTCTTCCGAGTGCTTCGGATGATAATTTCTCCATCATCACTCAATTACACACTGAATTTTTCAATTGCCTTTCTCGCAAATTGCGCTCCGCTGCACGCACCACGTCTCTTTTTAAAAAATTATTTCTCTCCAATTCCTGCGGTTTCGAAACCGGATAATTTTTTTTAATAATATTCGCCTCTGTCTCGTTTATTTTCAAGCCTTTCGAGGCAAATTTCACGTCTTATTGAATAATGAGAGAGCGGTTCGGTCAATGAGCGGTGCAATTTCTCGTCCGTCCGTCTGGACCTGCGAGAGACGCTGCGGCGGAGATCATGCAGGGGGACTGCATTCTTGGCGGCGGCGGCGCAAAACTTGAATTTCAACTTTGATAATACGGACGGACGATGATGGAGCGTACATAATCATATAACAAGTCCACTTGACTTGAAAGGTCTCTGATAGAGAGCAGCAATAAAACAATATCTCGGCAAAAATTGACATTTAGGGCTATAAATAATATCAAGGTTGAGTAATTGAAAACGTAACGTCTTGGATGGAATTTTCATAAAGGTTTTTTAAAAAAGAAAAATTATAAATATTGCATAAAGATACAAAACAATATCCTTGACAATAATTGACAGTTTATTTAAAATATCTTGGAATTAATCAGCATAAATTAAGAGAATTACTATGAAAAGATTATTTATTGAATTAAATTTAATAATTTTCTTAATTTATGGATTTTTATTTTTGCGTTTAATTTGAAGTAAATTGTTAAACATTATTATTTTCACTATTTAAAAAAATGATTAATTTATTCGTCATTGTAAAAAAGTTTCACCGCCGCATTCACAAACCTGTTAATTAATCACATTCATCTCTTACTAGTTTTTTTTCTCTCTTTTACTTCAAAACCAAGTAAAGATCAAGTTACCCAAACTAGAGAGTCGCTCTTCCGGTTTTTTGCTTTCTTCCCTTCGTAATATGAAATTCGGTTGACCAACTGTACAAATGACACGACGAGCTGTATAGAAACTTGTGAAATTGTGAGGGACGTGGGCCGCTGATTTTTATCTCGAGAAGAAAACTCGTCGGTCGTTTAACAGAAGAGAGCGCGTGAAAAAAAATTGTGCTCGCTAATAGCCAAATTAATCAAGGTCACACAGATGAGAGAGCAGGCAAATTGACGATCATCCCACTAACTTACTTTCCCTTTTATAGAATATTTAGCTTATTTTAAAACGTATTTCCTGCATTTCAATTGTAAAGTTTCAAATGGCAAATAATTTATTATGTTTGGTTTTAACGCATTTGAATATGAAGTACGATTATCATATTTGCTGGGTGAAGCCTAAGAATTGAGGAGTTTTGAAGGGCAAAATTTAAAAAAACTGCCTCAATTACAAAAAACTAATTTTATCAAAATTTACAAAATATCTTTACACTCTTTTTCTTTTGCAATAAGAAATTTATAAAAATTTTCCGTCTTATTTGTTCTCAGCTGAGGTGGTGTGCGACTCGATTTTGGAGAACAAAGAGGTGACCAAGAGTTACTGGGAGGAGCGCATGATGACGTTGTCGACGGAGGACGTGTTTCGTCCTGCCGAGGAGCAGCAGCAGCCGGAGGTGGCCGCGGACGCTGAGTCGCGGATCGCGGTGGAGTTGCGTGAGATGCGCGAACGAGAAGAGGAGCTGAAGCAGCTGCGGCAACGCATCAGCTCGGGCAACCTGCTGGACAGCATGGCCACCGACGAGGGCAACTGTTCCGAGTACAGCAGCGAGGAGAACAAGGAGCTCGGCAGCAGCCGCGTCATGAGCCCTGAGGTGCCCCTCCAGCGGCCCTTCGGCCACCACAGGACCCAGTCCATGGACTCGATGAGCTCGGGCCACAGCTCGGGCTCGGGAGGGCCCAACGACTCCTCCCTGCCAGTTCTGCCCGTCAGGAGGCGCATCACAGTCAAGCCCCTGGATGAACCTGAGGACGACGAGTCCACCTATTTGAAGTAAATTTTATTTTTTATTTCATTTTTGAACAAATTTTATTCAATCGGTTTTCAAAATTTAATTAAATGAATTTTTTTCTTATTTCAATTCATTATAATTTATTTTCTTGAAACTTGAAATACTTTTTTTTAAAGAAATAGTTCATTAAGTAAAAAGTAACACTCAGTTATTAAAACAATAAGTTCATAATGAAGTTGTACTAAAATTATTTGATAAATTCTCTTTTTTAATTTTTATAAACAAGTTTGAAGTTCTCGAGATTCAAATTCAAATGACGAAAATTTTCAATTTTATGGAAAAAAAACTTCATTAATTATGTAATTATCTTGATATTTTTCAGATAAGAAAATTTCTTATTGATCACAATCAAAAACTGCAGGACTACAAAAAATTTGAACGTTTTTTTTTCCTTTTTTTTATTGTTTTACTCTTGTAAAGTTAAATTTCTTCATTAACATGAATTTATTTTCCTCCTAAATTAACAGGAGCAGACTAAATGAAACGCCAATCGAGCGAGAAATCCGTCTGGCCGCCGAACGCGAGGAGGAGTTGAAGCGCGAAAAGGGCACCGTGGCTGTCCCCCCGGTGACCCCAAAGACCCCCACGGAACAGAAACTGGTGGTGAAGCCGGCGATTGCCAACGACTCGCGCGACGTGCAGCACCGAATCGCCACCAGCCGCATCCAGCAGGAGATCATGGAGGCGACCCAGCGTGAAAAGGACCTGATCGCCGACGGCAAAATCGTGACCCTCTCCGAGGACACCGTCGATTCCAAGGTCTGTTGCACACTGGTTAATTTTTATGACAGAAAAATTTATTGGAAAAAGAATGAACCTCCATCATTTCAAGTTTTTTTTGAACTTTTATTTTACAAATAAAAATTTAAAATCCTTTTTCTTTAAAAAAAAGCTCGCACTCGTGCTGCACCGATTTGCGGCGCCGATTTGCTACGGATTTTTTTAAATAATTATATAAATTCAAACATTTTTCATTTAAATTTCTATATTTTTTATAAGAAATTTAATATTAAAGCTGAGGAAATAAAATAAAATTATAATTAATATAAAATTTATTGGAAAAAGAATGAACCTCCATCATTTCAGAATATAGTGTTTTTTTAATCTTATTTTACAAAAAAATTTAAAATCATTTTCTTTAAAAAATAGCTCGCGCTCGTGCTGCACCGATGTGCGGCGCCGATTTGCGGCGCCGATTTGCGGCGCCGATTTGCGGCGCCGATTTGCGGCGCCGATTTGCGGCGCCGATTTGCGGTGCCGATTTGCGGTGCCGATTTGTTACGGATTTTTTTTAAATAATTATATAAATTCATACCATTTTTATTAAAATTTCTATATTTTATATAAAAAATTTAATATTAAAGCTGAGGAAATAAGATAAAATTATAATTAATATAAAATTTATAGGAAAAAGAATGAACCTCCATCATTTCAGAATATAGTTTTTTTTTTAATCTTATTTTACAAAAAAATTTAAAATCTTTTTTCTTTAAAAATAGCTCGCGCTCGTGCTGCACCGATGTGCGGCGCCGATTTGCGGTGCCGATTTGTTACGGATTTTTTTAAAATAATTACATAAAATCAAATCATTTTTATTAAAATTTCTATATTTTTTATAAGAAATTTAATATTAAAGCTAAAGAAATAAAGTAAAATTATAATTAATATAAAATTTATAGGAAAAAGAATGAACCTCCATCATTTCATAATATAGTGTTTTTTAATCTTATTTTACAAAAATACTTAAAATCTTTTTTCTTTAAAAAATAGCTCGCGCTCGTGCTGCACCGATGTGCGGCGCCGTTTTGCGGTGCCGATTTGCGGCACCGATTTGCGGCGCCGATTTGCGGCGCCGATTTGCGGCGCCGATTTGCGGCGCCGATTTGCGGCGCCGATTTGCTACAGATTTTTTTAAATAATTATATAAATTCAAACATTTTTTTATTTAAATTTCTATATTTTTATAAGAAATTTAATATTAAAGCTGAGGAAATAAAATTAAATTATAATTAATATAAAATTTATTGGAAAAAGAATGAACCTCCATCATTTCAGAATTCAGAATATAGTGTTTTTTAATCTTATTTTACAAAAAAATTTAAAATCCTTTTCTTTAAAAAATAGCTCGCGCTCGTGCTGCACCGTTTTGCGGTGCCGATTTGCGGCACCGATTTGCGGCACCGATTTGCGGCGCCGATTTGCGGCGCCGATTTGCGGCGCCGATTTGCGGCGCCGATTTGCGGCGCCGATTTGCGGCGCCGATTTGCGGCGCCGATTTGCGGCGCCGATTTGCGGCGCCGATTTGCGGCGCCGATTTGCGGCGCCGATTTGATACGAATTTTTTTAAAATAATTACATAAATTCAAACTATTTTTATGTAAATTCCTATATTTTTTATAAGAAATTTAATATTAAAGCTGAGGAAATAAAATAAAATTATAATTAATATAAAATTTATTGGAAAAAGAATGAACCTCCATCATTTCAGAATATAGTTTTTTTTAATCTTATTTTACAAAAAAATTTAAAATCATTTTCTTTAAAAAATAGCTCGCGCTCGTGCTGCACCGATTTGCGGCGCCGATTTGCGGCCCCGATTTGCGGCCCCGATTTGCGGCGCCGATTTGTTACGGATTTTTTTAAAATAATTATATAAATTCAAACCATTTTTATTAAAATTTCTATATTTTTTTAAAAAATTTAATATTAAAGCTGAGGAAATAAAATAAAATTATAATTAATATAAAATTTATTGGAAAAAGAATGAACCTCCATCATTTCAGAATATAGTTTTTTTTTAATCTTATTTTACAAAAAAATTTAAAATCATTTTTCTTTAAAAAATAGCTCGCGCTCGTGCTGCACCGATTTGCGGTGCCGATTTGCGGCGCCGATTTGCGGCGCCGATTTGCGGCGCCGATTTGCGGCGCCGATTTGCGGCGCCGATTTGCGGCGCCGATTTGCGGCGCCGATTTGCGGCGCCGATTTGCGGCGCCGATTTGCGGCGCCGATTTGCGGCCCCGATTTGCGGCCCCGATTTGCGGTGCCGATTTGCGGCCCCGATTTGCGGCCCCGATTTGCTACGGATTTTTTTAAATTAATTATATTAATTAAAACAATTTTTATTAAAATTTCTATATTTTTATAAGAATTTTAATATTAAATGCAAAGCTGAGGAAATAAAATTAAATTATAATTAATATAAAATTTGGTCGTTTTTTTACTCAGGTGACCCGATTCACCGAGCTTGCCGAATATGCAATGGCCGAGCAGCAAAAACAGCAGGTGGCCAACAAGTCAACGGCAGAAATCAAACGTGTGGTGCGGCCAGTGGCCGTGGCCCCCGCCCCCAGTCCGGTGAGGAGCACCCCTCCTCCTCTGAACAAGGCGCGCTCCTTCGACGGCAGCGGCCAACGCGGCCTCATGCAGCGCTTCCTCGCCTCCAAGGGCAACCTGGTCTTCGGCAACGCCACCCCTGGCACTGCTTTCGCAGTCGAGTCGCCCGTTTTCTCGCTGCCCATTCGCAGAGAACCAGCGTTTGAGGTCAGTTTAATTAATAAATCATTAATTTTCAATGTTAGTTGAAAGTGTAATTTAGTTCCTTATTTATCTTAATCATGAATATAATAACGTAAATATTATTTTATTAACACCACATTTGTCTAAAGAAAACACTTTTAATAAAAAAAATAATAAAATAAAAACCTTTTTTGTTAATTTTCATCTAGCTTTACAAAATGTGATTTGTAAATTTTCCGAATTCTTGAAACTAATTTAACTGGTCTGCATGATGTGGCTGAACCTATAAGTTTGCAGGATAAATAATCTTTTTTTACCAAACTGTTCTTCTAGATTTTCCATTAAATATAAATATAAATATATCAAGTTTTTCTACAAATATGTACAAATTTTAAATTATTTCAATCAATATATCTAATAAAAAAATCATTAAATTATATGCAATTAAAAATATATATTTTGAAAAATTCCCAAATTTATTTTCTAGCTGGAGCCAGAACCAAAAGAAGCAAAAATGCCACCAAGCACACCGATCAGAAAAGGATTCACTTCAGCTGGAGACAAAATCCAAGAGGAGCTGACGCAGATGAAGAAGAGAGAGGACGAGCTCAAGTGAGTAGTAAATTGCTAAATGGCCATTCGATCAGCCCACTTGCTCTGCGTGAAATCGATATACCCAGTTGGAGGGTAATGAACAGAGATCTAACGGCTTGACACACGCAACTACCGCGACCTCATTACCACTCCCATGACGGTGTGCAGCAGTAAATCTCACAAATGTATATATTTTGCAGACTGCAGAGGGCTCACATTTTGGCGCAGTCGCAGCCCAATCTGTTGGACCTGCTGGACCACGAGGCGGCCGAACCGACCGAGACTGAGGAGGAGGTGGAGGAAGAGCCCCGGCGGGACGTGGCCACCCTCAGCAAGGCCCTCTCCAACCCCAACCTGCTAGATTCTAGTTCCTATCCAGAAACATCAAATAGAGTAAGGGTTTTTTATATGAATAGTTATTTTTATTTAATATATTTTTATGCTAGAAGACGGCCGTGAGGAAGAGGAGTGCATTGATTGACCAGTGGGAGAGCCTGATTCAAAAGAACAGCCAGCAAGTGTGAATTTTTTTTTTTATGTAAAATATGTAATCTTTTCACAACGCAATTTTTCGTCAAAGTTCAATAGTTTTGTTTTGTATTAATTATATTATCTTTTTGCCGAAATTATTTATTTTCTTCGTAACCGGTAAGAATTTCCGCATGTGCTTACGTCGCAATAAATTTAACCGTAATTAGCGTGTAATTAAATAAAACTCATTGTGCTTCTAGATGGTAAAAAATAAACAACTTATTTTGTTGTACATGTAAATTGCGTCTCATTTTTTCTTCCAAAATCCATAAATTTTGTAATAAAAAGTTTCCCATATTATTTTTTACCAATGAAGAAAGTAGACGATTTTTGATCAAAATTATCATTTATTTCTGAATCAGCACAAAATTTTTATTACATAATTATCTAATTTAACTTACAATGTAAATATAACAACTTGTATGAGATTCATTTTAAGCGTCACACATTTCTATGCACAACAAAGAGATATCGCTTGAGTATGTCTGTATTTTTGTATTTCAAAATCATGTGACTAGAACTTGTTCACTTGCAGGCTGGATGGACTGAGCACCATTTCTTTGGTCGAACATCTCCCTGCAAATTTATTAAGAAAAAATAGAAAATTTTGATACTGCAAGAAGTTGAGCATAACTTACATTTTTGTTTAGACTGATCTGCTCCTAATCTCAGTTCAACGCTTCCCTCTGTGGAGGTCAAATTTTTTTTCAATAAAATTTCTAGTTTGTAATAGGTAATTTTAATTTTAAAAAATTAAACGGATCTGAATTAAAAAAATCCATGGTGTTATTTTATGCTTATTTAGTGATTAAATTATAATAAAAATTTTATTAAAAAAAAAATTAACTTCAAATATCCAATTTAATTCAAAAATAAAATTATTCAGAAATATATTTTAAATTAATTTATACAAAAGTCTACTTAAAAAAGTGCCAAAATATTATTAAATAGTTTTTTTGAAATCAAAAATAATTTATAAATGAATCTTTTCTATACTGTCTTTGTTATTTTAATTTTAAAATAATTTTTTATTGTAATTTAACTACCTGAGGGAGCTGATGGTGCGTGGAGGGGTGCAGGGGATGGTGTGGGCGCCAGACTGGAGCTGCGGTGGTGCGTCATGACACCCTCCTTGGTGTTTTTCTGCGGCCGCCACAGCACCGTGTACACCTTGGGCGCGAACAGACACGCCAGCTGCACCAGGGCGCTCAGGGACAGAGAGATGGACAGGGTCAACGCCCTGACGGAGTGACTCGAGCTGACCACGTAGAGAGGAACAAAGGCCAGCCACAGTAGGGCCGTCGTGTAGTTGGTGAAGGCCACGGCCCTCGCCTCGTTGAACCCGCCGGGGGCTTTTCTCGTTTTGATGGCGTACACAGTTGAGGCGGCCACCAGGGTCAAAGGGTACGCCAGCGCCACCAAATAGGCGTGATCCGAGTCTAAGCCGGCACAAACCTGCACAAAATTTAGTTAAACAAAAAATGAACAGAAATTTTTGTTTTAATTTAAGGAATTTAAGTCAAAAATAAAAAAAATAAGAACTTGTATAACACGGTTTTCTAAATTCTAATTGATTTTGAAAAAAAAAAATTAGAAGAAAAGAAATTATTTGTTCATTTTTCTAATTAATTTTTAAAAATTTATGAAACTCTCACCAATAATCTTGATCCCTTGTTAGGGTGCACATGGACGGCAGTTGGGGGCGCCAGGAGAAGCCAGATGAAGAGGATGACAGCTTCGACGGAGGTCATGGCGGCCACGAGCACCAACTGTGCCTCTGGACTGGTGAACCTTGCCTTGTGGTTCGCTTTTTGGCCAAAAATGCGCGCCACCCTGCTTGTCTTGGCCAGAATGGCGGCGTAACAGAGAGTGTGGCAAAAGCCAAGCAGAAATCGGAAGGCGCCGCACGGAAATGGCGCCGGGTGCGCAAAGGCGGCCAGGAAGGTCAGGAGAAAGGAAGCGGCAATGCCGGCCAGCAGCAGCCAACTCAGTTCCCGACCAGACGCTTTTATCACAGGAGTGTGTCCAAACCTAAAGAAAACGCACCTGCAACAGAAGATTTAAATTTAAAGTTTTCTCTGTGTTTTAAATTGATTAAATGCAATAGTTTTGTTTATTTCATTGCTTTATTCAAATTTGATGTGTATGAAATGAATTTAAATAAAAAATTAGCGGTATGAAAATATTAAGGGGGGATTGAATTAATAAAAAAATATTGAAAATTAATTATGAAGTTATTTTAATTTAAAAAATTAATTTTCTTTTGTTTCGTTTGCAAAAACAATAACGATGACGTTTAAGTAGGTTTTTTGTTCTCACCCAACAAAGGCAGTCATAATGAGTCCAAAGGACGCAATGACCATGGCTGTAAGTGAGCTGGCGCTGTAAGGGTCCAACACGGACAATGGAATGGGCACACACTTGCTCAACAAAGGGTCAGGCATGGTCCCCATATCACAGTCTTGGCACAATGAAGGGCCCAACTGGATTTGGTAGCGGCTGCAGCGACTGCAGGTCCAGCAACAGACATCATTGGACTGAAAAATTTTGACGAAATTTGTAAATTAACAATTAATTTTTTTCTTTGATTTACATCTTTGACTAGAATCTGGTGTTCTCCACACTGAGGACTGCAGCTGTGTTTGTCTCCCAATGCCAAAAACGGAACTGCCGACTCGTCCAGGTGCAGCTGAGGACCTCCCTCTGAGGTCACTTCAATAAAAATTTCACCCATATTTAATTTTATAAATTGGTGCAATTTTTTTCCTTACAAGAAAAATTACCAACCACCTTCCACATGTGGTTGGTCGGACCTTCGTAGGCGTAACTCAGGATGGAGTACCTTGGAGGTCCATCTCTGCCATCCATAAATCGAAAGGGTTGACCACCTTCATCTGTGTAGAGAACATTAATCAAATTTTCATATTTGTTCACTTTTTAATTATACCCATGAAGGTGATGTTTTTCAGAGCGTTCAAGAACCCTTCCTCGTTGAGGTGTGTCATTTCAGGGCAGATTCCCGGCTTACCTTCGCACAGCTCCTGATGCAGTTTGTGCAGAGCGTGGGCGACGGCGTAAACCGCGTCCCTTATGAAGTGCAGATAATTCTGCTGGCGATAGTTGACCAGGTGCGTCAAACCTTTTTCAGGGTTCGGGTCGCAAGTGGAGGCGTTGCACTTAAACAATTCCTCCCAGGTGGCGTTGAACCAAGGGTTCACCTGGCTGTGATTGCTCGGACGCAGACTCTCGATGTACTCGTCGAAACCGCGCAACTCTCGCGCCAAAGGTTGCACGGCCACTGCATTTTTCACAGGGTTGGCTCTGAAAAATGAAGATTTCATCAAATCAAACAGAATTCTTAACCAATCAGCAGATTAAAAAATTCTATAGATCTATTAACTAAATTACTTTTTGGTCAAATAAGTAACCAATACTTTGCTTGGTCTCAAAAGTATAACTATTTAATTTTTATTTTAATATAAGCGAAACTACTGAATTAGTTCAACTCAAGTTATTGTAAATTTTTATTGAATACAAATATCAATTTTCTATTTTGAATTAAAATAAAATTTCTTAAGAGAATTGAATTAAAAACTTTTAATTTTAATTAATTAATTTTCCTCCATTTAAAAAGAAAAATTGTGGCTTGTCTATATAAAATTTTGAGAGTAAATTTAAAAAAAAGTTTTAAATATTCATTCTTTTATCAACTCCCATTTGTGTCCATTTGGAGTATCACATTGAATTTAATTTCGATTGCACCCATAAATAAATTAAGCGAACATGCACAAATAATTTGATTTGGAACTGACCCGGAGTCGTCAAGTCGGCGCCACGAGTCGGAGCTGATCCAGACGAGCTCGCTGGCCTGCTTGTTGGCTTTGGCGTAGCGCAGCAGGCGGTGCGCCGAAGCCTTTTCGGCGAACACAACCACCACGCGCAGATGTTTGCGCTTCAGGATGTCCAGCATGGCCTCCTCGATGTCGGTGTCGTGGGCGCTCTCGCGCTCAATGCGCCGCTCCACCGAAAAACACACGCTGTAGTTTGCAGCCAGCGACATCAGCATCTCGTATCCGTGCTTCCCGTACTCCGTGTTTGAATAAATCACTGCCGCCCTCTGCCACTTAAAGTGTCTGACAAGAGCCAATTAAAAAACAGCTTATTAAAAAAGAAAACACTATAAATCATCATTTTTTTAGGAAGCCACAAGAAAGCGCATGTAAAAAGGAGAGAAACATTAAAAAAATAAGATTTTTTTATTTTGAATTCAATTTACACTGTCAATTTTAAAATTCCTATAAATAATTAAATAATTCCAGTTTAAAAAAGTCTTTTGCAAAAAAAATTTATTGTGATTAATTACTAAAAACCAAAACTTTTCTGCTTTAAAGAAGTGAAGAGCTTGAAGATACCAAAAGTCAAATGATCTTATTAAATGGTTGTAGAGTTTATAAAAAAATCTTAAATTAAACTTCCATTACTAAATTTTGAATTGTTGTAAAATGTTTGTAACCATGAATGGATTGATTTTAGCAACAAAAAATAAAAATATAGCAGCATTTAACTAAAAAGTTTAACTATTTTCAACTGAATTTATTCCTTAAGCCCTTTCATTAAAGTTCTTAAATGTGGCACAAAAAATAACTCGTATCTTTCAAATATAAGAGCCCCTGAAAAAATTGAGATAGGCAATTCGCAATGCTTTAACGAGGCGCATGTTGCATAGATTTATTTTACAGTTTCAATTAATAAGAGTGATTAAAAATTGTAAAAGGCATCAAAGGAATTAAAAAAAAAGTAAAATAACAAGCTTACTTCTTCAATCTTCAAGTAAATAAAAAAAAAATTGTTCAAATTTTCTTCTCTTTCCTTTAAAATTGAGATTAACTAAATTTTTTTGGTCCTTAAAATTGTATCGAAGCCGCTTCGTGTGTGGTTTTATTTTCAAAATTTCAGTCGAAGCCTGTTATAAAAGTGACGGGGGTGTTGCGTGTTTGCTTTAGGGGCCCGAAATAAAAAAGACTGATGGCCGTTTTGTTTACCTGAGAATCTCGAGCATGGCGTGCGCCTGGTTCACATCACTGGGCACCGTGCGGAAGAAGTAGGGGAACTTTTCTTTGTTGCTGAGAGCCGGTGACGTGGACAGGTAGCTGATCTGCGGCACCCCGAACAGCTTCAACAGGGTCGCCACCTGGATGGACACGGAGCTGCTCTGGCCGCCGATCACGGCCACGATGCGCTCCAAGTTGGAATCGTAGTACTCGGGCGCTTTGCCATCCGAGCACCGGTACTCGGGCTCCTCAGAGTGGTGCGCATTGTTGTGCGCGATGAATCCTAACAAACAAAGCAAGGAGACAAATGATTGAAAAATTTTAGAACTTTACTGCAAAAATATGCCTAAATTATAAATTTCGCAATCATTTACTTCGGATATCAAATTTTCCTGATATCTTAATTGGAGTCTTTTAAAAATTAATTTCTTTAAAAGTCAAAATTTGGTATGAATTTCATTCTTTAAAGTTATGCTTTGCTTGCACAGGTTCTGAAAAACCACGAAATTTGCTTGAAATTTGCGATCATGTTCGAAAAATAAATTTAGAAATAATACAAATTTAAAGTTGAAAGCACAATAAAGCTATAAATAACACTCAGTGTGATTTTTTTATAAAATAAAATTTTTTTATGTCTTATATTTTTCAAATAACATAAATTCATTGTTACAGTAAAAAAATTACTTAAATAATTTAAAAATAAATAAATAAAATGAAAAAAGTCATTTTCCAGCAGTCGTATAGTTCTTAGCTAGTTATTAGGGTAAAGAAGGGTAAAGCTCCGTAAAAAAATTACAACCACCATCAACATACAGACTCTTGTGTCTTTTTGGGGTAAAAAGGGCGCATAAGGGGATATGCCATTCAAAGCCCCTACAGGCGCGTATAAAGTCCCCTTGATGGGTCTTTCTCCTCTTACTTCCAGAGCGGCCTTAATAAAGAGTAATAGTTACGACGCAACCCAGCCTAAACTCGAAATAATTAGCAATCGATCTGCCGCTCGGCTGCAATAAAACACCCGCTTCAGGGATAAAATTTAATTATCTTCGCCCTTCTTGTGCGGCTCAGTGTCGCACATCTTGCCTCTGGAGAGAACATTTTTCTGCGCAGCTAATTGCGGCTGCGAGGCGCATCAGAAATAGATTCGCAATTTGAGTGCCGACGAAATTTTAATGGGCGCTCTCGAGCCGAATAAAATTATGAGCTGTCTCGTTCGTCAAGAATTAACGATTAAAATTTTCAACACAAATAATTTTCCTGGCGATAAAACTTTTTAATTTATTTTTTTGTCGCTCTTTAGTTCATTTTGACAGTAAATCATTGCGAATTATTTTATTTTGAATTTCTTTTCAAATATTTGACACAAAAAGCGAATTTTTTTGGGCTGTTCATGAAAGACATTTTTGCTGTGCAGGATTTTTCACATCTACTACATATTGCGACTGTTTAACAATAGATAATAATTTTTTCGTTGCAAACTTTACACTTATGAAAAATTTGTTGTAAATTTTTTGTAAAAAAATTCTTTATTAAATCTTTAAAGTGCCTTAACTGACTTCTTGAAAATCTTTGATAAAATTTAAAAAATAAATTCAAAAATGCATGAATTTTTCTTCAATTGACTTGGACAAAAACAGGCTTAATACAAAGGACTGTTTGCTTCAAAAAACCGACTTTCCTTTGGGCTTTTTCACCTAATATTTGAGCAAAAAAGTCGCATTTTGTGGAAAATGAGGGACTTTTTGCCAGTCTTTCTCTGCAAATAATAAAAGCTTCTAATGAAAAGTTATTTGACTCTTTTATATTATTTTCTTTTTATGTCGAACAGATTTTATTTGATAAAAATGAAATTCAATTTGTTGCCGAACTCTACAAAAACTTCAAAGTGCTTCAAAGGAAAATCCTTTTTTGATGAGGAACAAATCGATATTCGAACACTAATATTAGCTTTTTCCCCTTTTTCTTTTATGGTATGGGGCGAACGTTCACTTTTTCCTGAATCGGGCTGAAACACCTTTTTCTCTCTCGCACACGCAACCCCCTATTTGATATAATGCCAAACTGCGGCATTTTTCTCGCCGAATGCGCAGAGCAATATCGGATATTGGTGCAGGGGCACTTCAAAAGATCTCCAAACCGTTTATCGCCGGATTAACACTCAGAAATTCCGAGTGCTTGAAAGTTTTAACAGAGAAAGTGGGGGAAAATCTTTTTGTTTTTCCATGTTCTGCATTGACTGACAGGAAAGAATATCGCTTTGTGCTTACTGCCTGGGAAAAATTGATGCACGTCATCAATATCTGTCAGAGGAAAATGATGGCCGGAGAAAATGGGAAAAGAAAATCCAGCAATAGACTCTTCTGCAAATCTCCCACGACTATGAAAAACGATCTCAAATGAAATTGATAGAAAACCTCTTACATAAATTTATACAGGAGCTTAGAAGGAAATCGTTGCCATTTTTCAAGGGAATAAATTATTATTTGCAGGAATATATATATCGATTTAAGTATTTTAATCAAATTTCAGTTGCTCCTGAAGTTTGACTTTACAAAAGGTGATATTGAAAATAAATCTCCTTAAATAATAACATTTTTTTTTAAAGAGCTTTAAAACGCAATTCAAAAAGATACTCAAATATGTTACTCTATAAATTTTAAATCCTATATAAAACTTCATTTTTGTTAATCCTGTTTTAATTTTTATCATCATCAGAAATTTATTAGACACTTTCGTGTACAACATAAACATACAGTATATCCAGATATAATACAATATAAAATTACATAGAATAATTTACTTTTTGTTTTTCTTTGCTATTTCAGACAAACTAAGATTATTTGCGCTACATTCAAATAAATGGTATAATCCCATTTTACATCCGCACTTTTCACATTCACAGTCATTATTTATATCAGTATGGAAAGTTTTATTTTTGCAGAGTATAAAGTGGAAACCGTGTACTGCGTATCTCGTTTTTACATGTCTGTTCGCAAAGTGCGCTTGTTTCCAGCTCGGGTTTGTCATTGCGGGAGTATCGTAAAATTGTGGATTAATTTCATTATTTTTGCGGAATTGGTTTTCCATAAATTTTAAATAACTTGCTGTCTCTGGGAGCTCAAATTTATTTTTTATATCGGTAATCAAGCAGCTTGTATCCGCCAACTTATATACCAGTCTAGATTTTGTGTATTTTGAGACCTGCAAGGCTCTTTTTAGGAATCGAGATTTGGCCGTATCGAGTTTATTTAGGTCCTGTAAAGTAAGGTGGGGCCATATTGCTTCGATTCCATATGTAGCGATCGGCTCAATGGCCAGTTCGAACAGTTTGAGCGCCGTGGAGAGCGAAGACTTGGGCAGAGCAGCAAATGTGGTGGAAGCGCAGATTGCTGCCTTTACTCTTTTATTGATGTGCTTAGAAAATGAGATGCCAGAGGATTGGAACGTTAAGCCAAGATATGAAAATTCGGAAACAAAATCAATTTTCTCATTTAGGACCGTCATCGAATCAGATTTTTTAAAACGACCTTTGCCTTTATATCTAAATTTCATGAGTTTACATTTCGGTAAATTGAGTTTCAAATTTTTATATTGTAGGCACTCCATGATATCAATCAGGGCAAGTTTCAGATCTTCCAGGTTGTCCGAGAAAATTGCCACATCGTCTGCGTAATATATTATTTTAATATTAGGATGCTTTTTCAATACTTCATTTAAATCTGCGATTCCCATGATAAAGAGGAACGGAGAGAGGCTGCCACCTTGCCTCACACCGTTTGATTGAGCAATTTGGTCAGAGAAGGAGATTCCATCATAAATTGTTAAAAAATTTAATTCAAGCATTTCGGCTAGTAAATTAAGTTCTTCTTTTGAGAATTTCTTGCTATTGATTAGTTTCTTGAAAACAACATCTCTGTCAATGGAATCAAATGCCTTGCGAACATCTAAAAACAGAGAGTATAGTGGCTTTTTGTTTTGATACACATTGTTATTAATTTCCTCGATTAAAAGTTTTATCGCTTGAATTGTGGATTTTCCTCTCATAAATCCGAACTGTGTTTCTGGGATGGTTTCTACCAGTTGTGAATATACACGATTTTTCATTACGCGGTCCAGCAGATTATACAAGGCGCAAGAAAGACTGATGCCCCTGTAATTGTTAGCATCTGAAATACTGCCTTTGCCTTTGAATAAAATTTTTAAATTAGAATTTTTCCATTCTTGCGGCATTTGACCTTTCATTAAGCACAAGTTAAAAAAGGCCGTAATCTCAGGCGCAAGAGACAGCCAAAGATTTTTTACTGTTTCATTTCTTAGAGAGTCTGGTCCAGGCGCCTTGCGATTTTTTAAACTTTTTATTGAGTATTCTACTTCAGCTTGCAGAATACATTTCACAGTTTCCGTGCCTTCATAATTTAGCAGCTTTTCTTTCAGTCCGAGAGACTGGTCAATTTTGAGCTGGCGCTCATTCAGAAGGGCCTCAAAGTGTGCCTCCCAAGTCTTTAATTCGATATCATTTGGCACTTCTTTCAAGCTTTTGTTTTTGAATTTCAAAAATTTATAACATTTTTCTTCAGCCTCTAAAATAATTTTATGATCTAATTTTTCTTGAAATTCGCTTTTCTTGGTTTTGCACAGCTTGCGGTACTCTTTTTTAGCCAGCGAAAAAATCTGCAACATTTCTCTTTTTTCCTCATCACATCCGAGCATAAAATTTTCAGAATCAATAAAATTTTTTAAGAAGTTGAGATCTTGTTTGTGGCAGTAGCAATGTGTATCAAACCACTCTTGGCTGGTACGTTGATAATTTTTTATTGGGACCTTGGACTCGCTGACCAGACTCAGAATATTTTCATGAAAGTGTACTAAGTCCTCGTTCTCTAAATTCTTTTGAAGTTTATTTTTGTACTCGGCAATTTTTAAATTCAAGAGGTCTACGTTAACAAAAGATTTTTCTGCAACATATTGATTTTTGGCACGGATTTTATTCATCAGTTGCAATTTAACTTCAATCTGCCTATTTATTTAATTTTTAATATTCATATTTTACAGTAATTTGTAAAATTAAAAAATGGGCCAAAGTGCCTTTTTTAATTTAAAAAAAAAAAATAACTAATATATAAATCAACTGCAAAAGGTTGGTAAAACCATTTTCTTTTCAGTGTGTACGAATTCTGAGTTTCCTCAATGATTTTTTTTATTGCGTCAAATTTTGTTTCTATGAATCACAAAAAGCCAATAATACATTATTAGAAAGATCAAAATCTGATTTTAAAAAAATCATAGGTCAGTATGGATTTATTTTAGAAAACAGAGATTCAAATAATTTAATTAGTCTAATTTCAAGAAAGTACTCCGGAACTTGAATAGATTTTTAATTTTCCTGGATATATAATAGGGCAAATTTTACGCCTAATTTTCAAACAAGACTCGAGTCAGATAGTATTTAATAAATTTTTTCCCCTAAAAATTTAACATATCATAGTTGATAATTTTTTTTCATAAGCTATAATGGGGTCATACCTTTGACAAAGTGCAGGGCCTGTTCCATGGCGTAGGCCGGGTTGTCGCACGAGTCGAAGGCGGCCACGCCGAGTCGCACCCCCGGCAACAAGTCGGGGTCGTCGTTGACCTGCTGCACGGTGAACAGCATGGCCTCCAGTGGCTGCAGCCCATCTTCCATCTGTCGACACACAGACAGAGACGCACACGTGCCAATTAAGCAGATTGAAATCGATCTGGCAAAAAGAGAGAGATGGAAAGAGTGGAGGAGAGACGGCCGGCCGGCCGGTAGTGCTAACAATGGCCCGAGACAAAACAAAGTGTGTTTTGCTCATTATGACTGAACACCAAGGACTAGCTAAAAAAATATACGAAAATCTGCTACCGGTACCTTATTCTAGACTGTTCGATTGCAAAAATTCCTTTTTTTATAATCAATTTCTTGTTCATTTAATTAAGTAATTTTTCCATTTAGTGCATTAAAAATATTTTTTAATCAAAAAGATTAGGAATCGTTACAAAAAAAAATTACTAATTTTTTAAGAATTTTTTGATGCTTAAATAAAATGTTTCTTATTTCTTGCTTGCAAAATATCTAACAAAATCTTTTTGGCGGAATTCATAGCATCCTAGTTCAATTTGAGTTTTCATAAAACGAAGGAATTTTAAATTCTTAAGATCAAAAATATCATTGTTATCATTAATTGTTCAAGGATGAGTTCAATTAAATAATTTTAAATTTTATCATCTCCTTGAGTGTCAAACTATCAATAAAAATTCCTGAGATTCAAAAATTTAAAAAAAGCCAAACGTGGTTTTTTTTTATACCAGCAAATGTCGTCTATAAAAATCCTCGACTACTCTCAAACCAGAATTGTAGTCTCCTGCTCTAAATATCGCCAAAAAACGGACTGTCAATAAAAATTCCTGAGATTGACAAATTTAAAAAAAACCAAACGTGGATTTTTTTATACCTGCAAATGTCGTCTATAAAAATCCTCGACTACTCTCAAACCAGAATTGTAGTCTCCTGCTCTAAATGTCGCCAAAAAATGGACTGTCAATAAAAATTCCTGAGATTCACAAATTTAAAAAAAACCAAACGTGGATTTTTTTATACCAGCAAATGTCGTCTATAAAAATCCTCGACTACTCTTAAACCAGAATTATAGTCTCCTGCTCTAAATGTCGCCAAAAAACGGACTATCAATAAAAATTCCTGAGATTCACAAATTTAAAAAAAACCAAACGTGGATTTTTTTATACCTGCAAATGTCGTCTATAAAAATCCTCGACTACTCTTAAACCAGAATTGTAGTCTCCTGCTCTAAATGTCGCCAAAAAACGGACTATCAATAAAAATTCCTGAGATTCACAAATTTAAAAAAAACCAAACGTGGATTTTTTTATACCAGCAAATGTCGTCTATAAAAATCCTCGACTACTCTTAAACCAGAATTATAGTCTCCTGCTCTAAATGTCGCCAAAAAACGGACTATCAATAAAAATTCCTGAGATTCACAAATTTAAAAAAAGCCAAACGTGGATTTTTTATACCTGCAAATGTCGTCTATAAAAATCCTCGACTACTCTTAAACCAGAATTGTAGTCTCCTGCTCTAAATGTCGCCAAAAAACGGACTATCAATAAAAATTCCTGAGATTCACAAATTTAAAAAAAGCCAAACGTGGATTTTTTTATACCAGCAAATGTCGTCTATAAAAATCCTCGACTACTCTCAAACCAGAATTATAGTCTCCTGCTCTAAATGTCGCCAAAAAACGGACTATCAATAAAAATTCCTGAGATTCACAAATTTAAAAAAAGCCAAACGTGGATTTTTTATACCTGCAAATGTCGTCTATAAAAATCCTCGACTACTCTTAAACCAGAATTATAGTCTCCTGCTCTAAATGTCGCCAAAAAACGGACTATCAATAAAAATTCCTGAGATTCACAAATTTAAAAAAAACCAAACGTGGATTTTTTTATACCTGCAAATGTCGTCTATAAAAATCCTCGACTACTCTCAAACCAGAATTGTAGTCTCCTGCTCTAAATGTCGCCAAAAAATGGACTGTCAATAAAAATTCCTGAGATTCACAAATTTAAAAAAAACCAAACGTGGATTTTTTTATACCAGCAAATGTCGTCTATAAAAATCCTCGACTACTCTTAAACCAGAATTATAGTCTCCTGCTCTAAATGTCGCCAAAAAACGGACTATCAATAAAAATTCCTGAGATTCACAAATTTAAAAAAAACCAAACGTGGATTTTTTTATACCTGCAAATGTCGTCTATAAAAATCCTCGACTACTCTCAAACCAGAATTGTAGTCTCCTGCTCTAAATGTCGCCAAAAAATGGACTGTCAATAAAAATTCCTGAGATTCACAAATTTAAAAAAAACCAAACGTGGATTTTTTTATACCAGCAAATGTCGTCTATAAAAATCCTCGACTACTCTTAAACCAGAATTGTAGTCTCCTGCTCTAAATGTCGCCAAAAAACGGACTATCAATAAAAATTCCTGAGATTCACAAATTTAAAAAAAGCCAAACGTGGATTTTTTATACCTGCAAATGTCGTCTATAAAAATCCTCGACTACTCTTAAACCAGAATTGTAGTCTCCTGCTCTAAATGTCGCCAAAAAACGGACTATCAATAAAAATTCCTGAGATTCACAAATTTAAAAAAAGCCAAACGTGGATTTTTTATACCTGCAAATGTCGTCTATAAAAATCCTCGACTACTCTTAAACCAGAATTGTAGTCTCCTGCTCTAAATGTCGCCAAAAAACGGACTATCAATAAAAATTCCTGAGATTCACAAATTTAAAAAAAGCCAAACGTGGATTTTTTTATACCAGCAAATGTCGTCTATAAAAATCCTCGACTACTCTCAAACCAGAATTATAGTCTCCTGCTCTAAATGTCGCCAAAAAACGGACTATCAATAAAAATTCCTGAGATTCACAAATTTAAAAAAAGCCAAACGTGGATTTTTTTATACCTGCAAATGTCGTCTATAAAAATCCTCGACTACTCTTAAACCAGAATTGTAGTCTCCTGCTCTAAATGTCGCCAAAAAACGGACTATCAATAAAAATTCCTGAGATTCACAAATTTAAAAAAAACCAAACGTGGATTTTTTTATACCAGCAAATGTCGTCTATAAAAATCCTCGACTACTCTTAAACCAGAATTATAGTCTCCTGCTCTAAATGTCGCCAAAAAACGGACTATCAATAAAAATTCCTGAGATTCACAAATTTAAAAAAAGCCAAACGTGGATTTTTTATACCTGCAAATGTCGTCTATAAAAATCCTCGACTACTCTTAAACCAGAATTGTAGTCTCCTGCTCTAAATGTCGCCAAAAAACGGACTATCAATAAAAATTCCTGAGATTCACAAATTTAAAAAAAGCCAAACGTGGATTTTTTTATACCTGCAAATGTCGTCTATAAAAATCCTCGACTACTCTCAAACCAGAATTGTAGTCTCCTGCTCTAAATGTCGCCAAAAAATGGACTGTCAATAAAAATTCCTGAGATTCACAAATTTAAAAAAAACCAAACGTGGATTTTTTTATACCAGCAAATGTCGTCTATAAAAATCCTCGACTACTCTTAAACCAGAATTATAGTCTCCTGCTCTAAATGTCGCCAAAAAATGGACTGTCAATAAAAATTCCTGAGATTCACAAATTTAAAAAAAACCAAACGTGGATTTTTTTATACCAGCAAATGTCGTCTATAAAAATCCTCGACTACTCTTAAACCAGAATTGTAGTCTCCTGCTCTAAATGTCGCCAAAAAACGGACTATCAATAAAAATTCCTGAGATTCACAAATTTAAAAAAAACCAAACGTGGATTTTTTTATACCAGCAAATGTCGTCTATAAAAATCCTCGACTACTCTTAAACCAGAATTATAGTCTCCTGCTCTAAATGTCGCCAAAAAACGGACTATCAATAAAAATTCCTGAGATTCACAAATTTAAAAAAAGCCAAACGTGGATTTTTTATACCTGCAAATGTCGTCTATAAAAATCCTCGACTACTCTTAAACCAGAATTGTAGTCTCCTGCTCTAAATGTCGCCAAAAAACGGACTATCAATAAAAATTCCTGAGATTCACAAATTTAAAAAAAGCCAAACGTGGATTTTTTTATACCAGCAAATGTCGTCTATAAAAATCCTCGACTACTCTCAAACCAGAATTATAGTCTCCTGCTCTAAATGTCGCCAAAAAACGGACTATCAATAAAAATTCCTGAGATTCACAAATTTAAAAAAAGCCAAACGTGGATTTTTTATACCTGCAAATGTCGTCTATAAAAATCCTCGACTACTCTTAAACCAGAATTATAGTCTCCTGCTCTAAATGTCGCCAAAAAACGGACTATCAATAAAAATTCCTGAGATTCACAAATTTAAAAAAAACCAAACGTGGATTTTTTTATACCTGCAAATGTCGTCTATAAAAATCCTCGACTACTCTCAAACCAGAATTGTAGTCTCCTGCTCTAAATGTCGCCAAAAAATGGACTGTCAATAAAAATTCCTGAGATTCACAAATTTAAAAAAAACCAAACGTGGATTTTTTTATACCTGCAAATGTCGTCTATAAAAATCCTCGACTACTCTTAAACCAGAATTATAGTCTCCTGCTCTAAATGTCGCCAAAAAACGGACTATCAATAAAAATTCCTGAGATTCACAAATTTAAAAAAAACCAAACGTGGATTTTTTTATACCTGCAAATGTCGTCTATAAAAATCCTCGACTACTCTTAAACCAGAATTGTAGTCTCCTGCTCTAAATGTCGCCAAAAAACGGACTATCAATAAAAATTCCTGAGATTCACAAATTTAAAAAAAACCAAACGTGGATTTTTTTATACCAGCAAATGTCGTCTATAAAAATCCTCGACTACTCTTAAACCAGAATTATAGTCTCCTGCTCTAAATGTCGCCAAAAAACGGACTATCAATAAAAATTCCTGAGATTCACAAATTTAAAAAAAACCAAACGTGGATTTTTTTATACCTGCAAATGTCGTCTACAAAAATCCTCGACTACTCTTAAACCAGAATTATAGTCTCCTGCTCTAAATGTCGCCAAAAAACGGACTATCAATAAAAATTCCTGAGATTCACAAATTTAAAAAAAGCCAAACGTGGATTTTTTATACCTGCAAATGTCGTCTATAAAAATCCTCAACTACTCTTAAACCAGAATTATAGTCTCCTGCTCTAAATTTCGCCAAAAAACGGACTATCGTGTCAACTTGTTCAAACAAATAAATTTTTTCTGTAAAAATTTTTCACATTTTTTTTAAACTATGGCATGGTTATATGAAAGACTGTTTTGTATTTTCTTTAAATGATCTTCTGAAGTACCAAAAAATTTGAAGATCGAAGCAAAAAAAAAAATTTAAAAGAAAGATCAATCAGTTTCGTTTTATAGTAATATATTTTCAGGGATATTTTGAAAAATAATCAAAGTTTATAATAATTTCTTAATGGAGTAAAAATCCTATTCATAAAAAAAGATATAATTCATCTGCTACTTTTATCAAAACATCACGTAATGGTCACATGCCGATTTTATGACGACAATTATTTGATTATGGATTAGGTCATTAAAACCGCATGAATCAAACCTTTTCCTGTATTTTTAATGAATTCAAAATTTTCAAGAGTTGTCATAAAAATTAATTAGTCGATCTTAGAGGCCACTTCAAAAATTGAAGTAAAATTTGAAGTTTATTATTAGCAAAGAAATCAATAAAATTGCAGCTGAATTTAACATGTACATTTTAAAATTCTCGTGAAAACTTCCCAAATAAACTTTTCATATAAAGTTTTTTAGAGCGGTTTTATTGCTTTTTTTAACAAAAAAAATTCAACTCAATATTTATGAATCAATTCTCAAACCAGAAATCTTTAATTTCGAAAACATATTTATTTTATTCGCATTGTGTATTCACTTTGTGGTGGAAAATTTAATGAATGGAGATTGAATTCATGACTAAAAAACAACTTTTTTGTGGAAGAGGAAGTTTGTATATTTTCCATTCAACTCTTTGAGCACAAAGCTTTGACTAAAAACCCAATTTCCTTTTCGCATTTGTCTCTCTTTCGGTGAAATAATTTCCGATCTCGCCCACTCGGGTAGACAGAGACGAATTGTGCAGTCGGGTCGCTCTCAGCACGAGACTTGTTGATTTTGGCGTGCGACTGCGACTGACTGACACTCAATTTTCCGAGACGCTACTCATCTCGCCTCTGCCTCGAATTTGCATAATGCGAATACTCGCGACCTCGGATATTACGTGTAATGCAATCATCCGGTCCACTAGCTTGGTCTCGCGCCTCTAAATATCAATGGAGCGAAAAGCTTTTACTACGAAAGCAAGGGGATGATGATGTGTCAAGATTATCACGAGAGTTTTGTTGTTTTTTCGCAGCAAAACGCGGTGCGCCGCACCGACCAACGGACGCGATCTGTGGCATGACACATCCACTTTAAGGGGAATTCGGCCCTCGCGTGGTTCTCCGGTGTCCCCTGTATAATTTCATCATCAAGCAGCGTCCGTCAGCAGAAAAAGGGAGAGTTTCATTTCTCGGCCACGCGCCCGACTGCCCAATTTTTTCCGCCCTGCGCTGACGGGGGCAGTTTTCGTTCCAACGTGAAACTCGATTTAAGGTTGGCGTGAGAAATGTTAAAAAAAAGTAAAGAAGCCCGAATACTAATTAAAGAAATCAATTTGTTGCTGAATGATTTTAATCCTTTTAAAAATAATTTCAAAGAAAGTTATATTAATACGGCATTTTTCTGAAATAATTCAATTTTGAGTGCTAATTTACGAATAAATAAATGGAAATAAAAATAATGGATGAAATAAACTTTTCAGGACAAAATTTGTCAGGTCCTTGCTAAAAAATAATAGTAAAAACAATTTCGAGTTACACTCTAAATTCAAAATAATTATAAATTATTTACTTTGAATTAAAATTTGGTATTGAATTCAAAATAATTATGTTTTAATTTTTGGCAGATAGCAACAAGCTTCATTTTTTTTTAGTAAAATAATATGAACATGTTGTAAGTGAATTTTATGTTTCATACCATGAACTCGGCTTAGCTGAAGATTCATCAAAAATTTTCAATTCTGTCAAATTAAGAACCTAAGTGTAAATTCAGATATATATTGAGTAAAATCATGGAAAATTTTTTAATTGGTTTTCAACAATAAGAACAAAAACTAATTTATAAGAGGAGTTAAATACAAACTTAATGAAATTGGTAATTTGGGAAAAATAACACAATAGGAAGTGAAATGTTTTGAATGATATCTATAAAAAAACCAAAACTTCCGTTTTAGTTTAACAATAGCGGTGATTAAGTATATTTAGAAAGAAACATACTTTGTAATCTGCTTAAAAATTGTATTATGACACGGTCTAAAACAGTGCTTCTTTCTAAATTTTCTTATTATCAGACTTGTGAAGGAAGTAATTAAAAATTATTACAAAAAAAATTACTAAAAAAAAATAAGTTTTTTGAACGGAAATTTCATTTGAAATTTATTTCTGATATCATAAACACGAAAATTATTAAATAAAATTTGATTGACACTACCAGGAAAAATAAGTAATACTGTCAGTTTGTGGAGAGCTAAAAATATTTCATTTTTAGGAAATTTACTCTCAAAATCCACATTAAGTTAGCAATTAAGTATGATAACCTATGAAAGTGCTATAACAAATATATATAAAAAAAAAACTTTGATGTTTTTCAGTAAAACTTTTAATTAGAGCTCTAAAATTGAGGTAATTTTAATAAAAATTAAAATGTATTAAATTTAAACATAAATTGTAAATAATAATTTTATAAACTAGGGCCATTGTTGTGAATAAAAAGTCCAAATAGTCATTGGAGTGCCTAAAAGAGTATTTAAACGACTCGAAAAACACAAAAATAATTAGTCAATTAGTCACAAATCAATCGTCAGCCGTGAAACTATTTGAACACTCAATGTGGAATGCAATAATACGGAAATAAAGTAATATTCTTAAGAAAGATTTTACGAGGTAAAATTTGAGGGTTTTTTTCTAAAATAATTCTACGACAAGAAAATTTTGTTAATCTCTACTTTCGATTTCAAGTTTGAATCAAAAATACTAATTAATTACAGGACAAACACAATGATCAAAATCAATGCACATTTAAAAAAGAGCAAAATTTCGGCGGTTTAATAATAAAGAATTGTTTTCGAACCTGCAGAGCTCCGCACCGTTCGCCATCAGGCCCCTTTCGATGAATGGGAAAAAAGGCGCCGATGACGAGTTCACCTTCAAGGTTGAGGAAGTTGTCCCTGGTCGTGGACGCTGCGGCGGCGGCAGCGGTGAGGAGGCCGAAGACGAGGAGCAGCTCCGGCCGCGGCGGCATGTCGCACGCTAATGCGCCGCTCCGATAAAAAGGCCCAATTGTCAACGGCGGCCTCCTTTCGGTGACGTCGGCGCCGCCCGCCCGCCACAGAACAAGTGACGTGTGGGGGTGATGCTCGTCTTTAGTGCGCACCGCCGGCAGGGTTATCTATCAGGGCAAACAGCGCGCCTGTCAATCGCGCAGGGAACGCAACACGTGGCACACGCGCCCCTATTTTTAACCCCTTCAGCCCATCGTCTTTTTGACGTGTTATTTGTTTAATTGCGCACTACCCTTTTTTCCTCCTCCGCAGATTCGCGATGCCGATTGTGTCTCTTTTTGTCTCCGAGAGAGATGGATAGATTGCGTGTCAAACAAGTGGAGCAAAAAGAAAAGACAGGGGCTGCTCTGGTGCGCGCACTCGCGAATTTCATCAAAACAAACTTTCCCGACCGGTTTGATTGCCTTGCTCAACTTTTGCAATTGGACAGAAGGAGGAAATAAGCTGTAGCAAATGAAAATTTTCTCATTAAGAAGTTTTCAAGCTCACTAAACTTTATATCACTTTTATGTTATATTCTTATTTTATAAAAAGCTTCAAGTTTTCTTGTTTTAAAGTGGATTGTAACCAGGCTTTTGCTAAGGGTTTCTTTTGCACACAAAGTGAAAGAAAAATGTTCTCACAAATGAAAAACTCTTTGGTTTCTTATCGAAAAAGGAAAAATAATTGAAATATTTAACAGATCCAATTACCAGGTAAAGAAAGCATTGAACGCAGATTAAATTTACACACTAAAAACTAAATAATTGAGAAAAAAAGCCAAAGTTTTATTTTAAACATACTCAAAGATTTTAAGTGCTTATAATTCAAATCCACTCACAAAAATAAAAAAATATTTTTACCGGTTTTTTCTTTATTTAATAGATCTAAAGATTTTTCTTGAAATTTGACCTTTCAAATGAGGGCTTGGTCATCCCCAATTTAACTGTGAATAAAACCGACAACTTGTGTTCTCAATTTTCCAATTTTGGTAAATTTCCAAATTAATAATTAATCCTGCCTTTTTTTTAAATGTCGCATAGCGTAATTATGATGGCTACAATCCACTTTAGCGATTCCAAATAAAGAAAGGCAGAAGCGCCACTGCCTTTGATGGATACCGCTGGTGTATATTTATTTGGGCCACAACGCACAACAGAGATGGGAATCAAACGATTCGGAGAAATAGGAACGCGCCTTTTATCTCTATTTCCAGATATTATTATATTATGCATGCGGCTTTGTTTTGTTATCTCCACTTGTTCCAAAATATTTACAGCCGAAATCAGGGTTTCATTCAAGGTTAGGCTGCGTGAAGATTGACTTCCTGTTGCCCCTATTGCAGCCAAGATATTGGCTAGTAGCAAGCCCACATCAATAATAATAGACTCTCAATTTTGGTTGAATAAATTGCAAATTCACCAAGAATCGATAAAAATTAAAAAAGCTAGAATTTTTTTCTCAACATAATTATCAAAAAGTATTTGGCAAAAATAGGCTTCAGATATATTCAAGCTTATTTAGCGTGAAAAAAATTAAATACTAATAATTTCAAAACACAAAATTCAACTATTTCCCAACATTTTCAAATATCATAAAAATTTTATGTCCTTTTCTCCTTATTTTCAGGAATTAAATTCATAGATGATGATGGAAAATCATAAATTACCCCATTCTCTGATTTAAACTTCTTAGATTAAAGATCTAATCTAATTTAGAAAAATCTCCCCTTGCATTAAAAAATTTAATACCTCAAAAACTGCACTGTGGTCAAAACACCAAGAAGCTCACCGGGGTAATTCAAATTGTAATTCTAAAATATATTTCAAAAATAGTTTTATAAATAAATCTTCTGAAAAATGCTTCTCACAATTCTTGCAAGAGACCCCAGTTAGGTCCGACCTTGACCTTGACCGGGAGGTGCACCTTCAATCCATCTCCGACGGACTCCATTTCTGTTCTCACAATTTTCACCACTTTGTCCACGTCGGCCATCCTGGCTTCATAGATTAACTCGTCGTGCATGTGCAGCAGCAAATGCGCCTCTACCCTTTGTGACCCCAGGGCTTCTTTGACTCTGGCCATTGCCTTCTTGGCCAGGTCTGCTGCTGACCCTTGCACAATGCTGTTGGCCGCGTTTCGAGCTAAATTAAGAAGCCGCACTCGTCCAAACATGGTGGTAACTTTTCCAGTTTTTCGACATTCTTGCTCGGCTGATTCTTTGAAGTCGAATAGTGCGGAGAGTTCAGCTTGTATGGATTCGTACAAGATGTGGACCTTATCTGCAGGGGCCTTCAGCTCCTCCTTCAGTCTGTCCACCCCCATGCCATACAAGAGACCATAGCAAATCTAGAATTTGAACAAAAATATTTATAAAACAAGATAAGATTTTAAACAAAGAAAAATTACCTGCTTTGCCTGCCTTCTCATTTCCTCGGTGACATTTTCAGTTTTGTTAATCCGACTGGCTAAATTAATGAAAACATCCTCGCCCGAGTTCAATAGGCCAGTTAAAAACTCGTCTCCACTGAGGTGCGCCATAAGTCGAAGTTCAATCTGGCTGTAGTCGGCTGAGATCAAGGTATGACCTGGACGGGCAACAAACATGCTTCGCAAACTCAGGTTGGATCCGTCCGGAAGGGCGAAGTCTCTCGGAACACTTTGCAAGTTGGGGTCGTGCATGTGTATCCGACCAGTTGCCACCAAAAAGTTGAACCGCGGGTGTAAAACAGATTTGTCTAAATTTTTCAAAACTGGTGCAACGGTCTGAAATTCATTTTATTTTTGATTAATTCACTGTAGCACTAATCATAACATCAAACCTACTGCATTTAAAACATGGTGGATTTTTCTATATTCTAATATAATCCGAGGGAGGGGATGTTTCTCCTCTAAAGCCTGGAGTGCCTCTTTAGAGGTTGACGGCTTGCACTTCGGCCCTCCTAACTTCAGTTTGTAATACACAATCTGAAATGAGTAGATGTTAATAATAGATTTCTGTTCGAATTCAATTAGTAATATACTTTTTTAATGTCGGAGCTCTTATTAGGATCAAAACTGCAGCCAGCTAAAGATATGGCTTTTCTCTGTAAATCTTTGAGGGCGTTTTCGAGTTTTGCTTCCAAAGCCATCCCTTCCGACTTGCTGACAGCAAACCCTCTTTGTTCACATCCGGCAATAACCTTCACAGCCTGCATGTCTATATCTAGGAATAACCTAAATTTAATTTTTTTTTTCTTTCAAATTACAGAAAATATAATATACCTGTCAAAATATGCATATATTTGTACGATTTAAGCCATCCCTGTAAATGAGAGCCGACTTTCAGGCACATTAAACTTTCCGTCACAGCCTCGTCGACAGATCGCGGACACAAATTCTGCCTGCTTAAATTTGACACAAAGCTTGTCCACTCAGGAAACATCCCTTGGACCTATCATAAAAATAATGTTAAAATATAATTCAAATATTTATATTTTATAAAATTACCACTTGTGCAAGAGAGTACGAAGGTTTGTCCGGATTCAAAATCCATGCTGCCAGAACTGGATCAAAAAGTTGGCAATCTATAGAATTGAAGTGGTCTAACAAAAGTCTTATTTTCGACACGGAATTATTCATCTGAATCTGGACTAGCCTGTTGCGAAGAAGTTGGGACAAAAATTCAAGTTGTTCTAAAAACAAAACAAAATGCAAGAAATAAAATTGATTTTAAAATTTTTCTCATTAATTGATTATTATACAACCTTTCAAGATGAGACAGAAGATAATTGTTTCACTAGCAACTTCACAGGCCAGGACAACTTGTTGGATTTTGTCATCCTGGCCAAGAGCCAAAGACAAGGACATCGTTTTGACCTGTTTTATCGTGTTGAGGAAATCCACCTGCAAATCCTTATTTACAGATATGACAGCCACCTTGTCAGCAATCTGCGGCTCTTCTTTGGCAGTTTCGACGCTTTCCATACTGTCATCAAAAGGGTCAGGACTGAGTTGGTCGATTTTGGCAGGGGTCCTGTGCGGTGTATTACAAGAAGCCTCAAGTACTGCAATTGCGTCTTCGATTTCATTCACTTGAGGGCTTTCCTGGCTGTAGACCTGCTGACTTCTCTGAGTGGCTTGGCTTCGGGGAGGTGTCTGAGTCAGAGACAACTGCCGACGCTGCTCCCAGTCGATGTTCTTCAAACCAAGTTCCTCTTGCATTAATTCTCTGGCTGCTTCAAGGATCAGAGTTGCAGCTTGGCGCTCGGAAAGGGTTCCCAAACCTTCTATAATTATTCCGAGCTGCACTTGATTCTCTTGTTCTGCACTGAAAATTTCATTTCTTGTATTGCCCTTTGGAGAAATTAGAATTCACTCACCTTCCAAACTTGGGCATGTTGGTCAAGATTCTTTCGATGACCTCGACACCACTTCTGGCCAAGTCCGAGACTCCTTCTATACCAGCTTGGTATAGGGCTCTGGCCTGTTGTCCATTCAATAGCTCAACTCTCATCAGGTCGCAGAGCTCAGGCAAAACTCCGAACTGGAGTCGTTGCTGCAGAGACTTCATAAGAGCTTCCATCAAGGTCCAACCTAATTGTTGGCAAAAAGCCTTGACTCGTCCTAAGAAAAAAAAGTTATTAATTTAAAAGTTCACAATTATGTTCCCAATTTATCTTAAAAATCGTCACTTTATTTTCATTTCTTACCAGCTTGCATTGCTGCCGAATGTTGGAGGCCCTGCATGGCACCTTTGGTAGTGTCAAACTTGGCTGAAACTTCAGATAGCGGCTTTTCCTGAATGAGATCCATCATTGCTAGAGCTTTGAAAAACCTTTGATGACGCTCCATCGTTGCCAACTAATCAAATGTACAAGTTATTGATTTATTTAAATCTGATTAGTGATTTTTTACTGATTCTTGATTTATGAAGGAAGAAGACTTTGCCATCATCATCCCAATAAAATTCTCTCTAACGCCGATCAATTCTGCAACCCTTTTGTACTCGGGTGGCAAAGAGTTGAAGACTTTCATCCAGTGCAGCCAGTCAAAAGAACCCCAGTCTCCACTGTACAGCGGTGTTGTCTGATGTCATAATATAATTTTAAAAAAGGTGAAAAGAATATAATATTTTTTTACCAGGTAACAAAGGTGGAGCTCCGTGTCAAGGGCAAAAGATTTCTGCGCCTTTTTCAACTCTTCGTACAACATTTTGGCGTCTTCCGGTCTTGCTCCAGCCGCAACACAAGCAGTACCAAGACGGGTCGGCTCAGAGGCCTCTTCCTTCTGTCGAACGTAACTCGACTGGCAGAGATCTTCCAAAATTTCCTCCAAGTCACTCTGAAGAACTTCGTTTTTGCCTTGGCCGTATAAAGTGGAGCCAAGAAAGGACAAAAGTTCCTGTTTGCTACTTGCCATACCTGGAAAATCATGGCAAAAGAAGCAATTTTTTTTTTTTAAAATAATAAAAAAAATTCCTTTTTGAAGAAAAATTACAATAAAATAGACACTGAAAATTTTGTTTTTCTCTATATCAATTATAATAATTTTTGTCAACCACTTAACAGTTGTTTTCTGTTTATTATTAGGAATCTGAACCAACCTGTAGATATAGCTTCGAGAAGGGCCCGCATGAGGTTGCCCCCGAGACTTGGCTCAACTCTGGACACCTCCTCAGAAACCAGTTTTTTTGCCAATGCAGTCATGCTGTTCGGAACGGCCAGAAAGCTCTCTCCACTTTTGACAACCCCCGTTCTTCCGGCTCGTCCCACCATCTGCAGGTACATCTGCCTGTCCAGTCTGTTGCCCATGCGAACAATGACCACGGAGGCAGGCAGGTTTACACCTGAGCAGAGGGTCGAGGTGGCCACCAGGATGCGCAGGCGGCCGCTTCTGAAGCCCTCCTCTACGACGGCCCTCTCGTCATCAGCCAATCCAGCATGGTGAAAAGCCACCCCAAAACAAACGCAGGAGCGCAGCTCTTTGCTGGGTGAACAGGCGTCTATCAAGGTTCGCATCTCCAAGGCAGCCGCCTCTGTTATTTGCTGCTGGATTCCTGTCGCCAACTCTTTACCACACAGGCCTCTACCTAAAATTAACCAAAATTGTAATGAAAACGGTTTATAATTTAATAAAAAAAAATTTTTGTTAATGTGAAACATTTAGTACTTATGTGGGAAATAAATGATATTTTTTTTAACTTTTTTTAGCAAATAATATAAAATAAATTCCATTCTCACCAACTCTTATGCTCTCCTTGGCAATTTTCACAGCCAGGTTTTCACAGTGCGCTTTGGTCATGCAGAATATGAGGACGGACATTCCATCGAGGACCTTCCTTACAGTAAGGTCAACCACATTTTCACAGTCATCCTAGATTTAAGTAAGTTGTTATTGATTGATATATGTATAAGAAATTTATTTAACCTTGACATTTATCAAAGGTTTGTAGTCCTCTATTTTTTCAAAGTTGTGTGAAAAGACGCTTTCCCCGACCAAAATTCTCTGCTCTAGGGACACCGGTCTGAAGTCAGTCTCGTACTTTTGGGCTCCGAGCCACTCGGCTAGTTCGACCAAGTTGCCTAGAGTGGCGGACATGCCGATGACCTGCACCTCAGCGCCTTTGAACTGCTTTAGAAATTTTATTTTCGAGAGCAGCATTTCCAAAATGTAGCCGCGACTGCGATCGGCCAGGGTGTGCAACTCGTCGGCCACCAAAAGGCCCAGGGAGGAAATCGAGCCTTCGGAGACAAGACGATTGATGAGCGAATTGGCCTTCTCAGTCACACAGATGGCCACATCGACCATGGAAAACGGACACGCTGAGGAATTTCCAGTAAAGGAAACAACCTTCACGCCGGTCCTGGCAAAGACAGCCTGCAAGAAAATTTCTATTCTAATAATTTACAATATAAATTTACTAAATACAACCGACTTGAGAGCACTTTTACTTATTAAATCTAAAAAAAAATATATATATATATATATAAAAATATAACTTTAAAATTTTTAAAACCACAGATATATTAGCTATAGGTAGACCATGACATGCTCACAAATTATTACCTTTAAATAATTGGTCTTCTCAGCAACCAAGGCCTTGAAAGGCAACACTATGACAACCTTCTTGCCCCTGCGGATGACAGTTTTTGCGGCGAGCAATTCAGCAACGAGACTTTTGCCTCCGGAAGTCGGAGCGGACAAGACCAAGTCGGACGTCTGCGTCCACACCCCTGGCAGTGCCATACACTCGGCCTGCCAAGCGAACATCTCGTCGATGCCCCTGTCACGATAAGCCTGATGACGAAAATATTAATGAAAATTTTTTACTTTGAAAAAATACATGCCTTGACAACACTTGGCGGCAAACCCCAAGCAGACAACTTGAGCCGCTCTCCGAGGTCCAGCTGCCCGAAACTGGACTCCAGGTCATCGTCGTCCATGGCCAGATACTTAAATCTTCAACTTTTCAACATTAAAATACGAGAAAATAATAATATTGTTTCACCGAAAGTCGAATTCACTATAAAATAAATGAGAAAACCTAGCAACCTGCAGCCGCCGAACTGCGCCGAACCAGCCGGTTTATTTTGATTTAATCCGCAACAAAAGCGACATTACGGCATCAGCGGGAACTTCTAGATAGGCTTTGGCGCGAAGAATTTTTCCAGCGTATATTTTGGTGCTGCTACGGCAGCGCATGTACACGCAAGTGTTAAAATAAAAGACTTATTATTTTAATACTTACGTTGTATTTCTTTTTTTTTAATTTGAGCGAGGAAAATTTGCACTTAAATACTTTCGCCAACAAATAATTTTCTGATAAAGAACTTCTCTATTGTACTAAATTGTTTTCAATTCAAGTGACCCGAAAGAACTTTTCAATAGTTTATATTATTTGCACCTTTTGAAATGTGACTTTATTTACACGGCTTAATTATTTGTGTCTTGAATGCCTTTTTAGAAAAAATTATTTTTTTTTTTTGTCAATGTATTGGCGAAAAAAAATACGAATTTTAACCACAAAGTTGGTAAATTCATATTTAATTTTTTATTCTTTTACATCCAGGGTAAAATTTATATTCTGTAGACTGTATTTTTCTATCACAATATTTCCTGTCTTTTTTAAGGAAAAGATACATGATTGTGATATTATGTGAATTTTTCTAATTCACTTTAATCGTTTTTGGGCCCAGCGCATTAATTTTGCAATTTTCCTTTATTTATATCCGGTGCATTCTCCATGATCCACTGTATGTAACTCGTCACATCAGTGAAAAGTGTGTATACATCAGGGGTGCAGGTTGCGATTTCCTCCACGTCTGCGTCTCGGGCCAAAATTACCTTCCTAGACTTTCCTGAGCTGACCACGCCGCGCAGAAAGAAGCGTCCGAGGTGAGTGTTGTACATGACGAGGCCACCACCACTGTCACCCTTGCAAGGATTCGTCCCTATTAAAAAAGAAAAAAAAATATTCAATATTTTTGTGCGATTAAAAATTACAAAGATTTAGCACCGGTTTCGGGAGCGCCAGCGCAAAAATTGAAGTTTGGGCGCAGGTTGTAGGAATAAAACGACGGATCTTTTTTCAAACATTCTTCGTAGGAAACGATTTTGACACTCGCTTCTTGCAAAATGTTTGGCTGGATGTGCTCTTCAGTCAGTCCCCAGCCAACCACCTTTAACCCCAAAAATAAAATTAGTCTTTTAAACTTTGTTTCGTATTAATATGTGAATATTCGACTTACCTTGGCAGGCATATTGATGATTTTTTCCAGCTCATATTCATTGTTCCACAGACAAAGGGGTTTAACAAACTCGGTTATTTTGATGCTGTCATTTTCTACAATTATCAAAGCAATATCGTTTTTAAACGTTCCTTGCCTATGTCTGTACTTTGGATGCAATTGGTAATATTTTGCCTGCGTAAAATAAATCAACATAAATCAGAATTTAAATAAAAAGAAACTTAAATTTTTAGTTGTAAAAATAATCAATTAAATTTACAAAATTAGCATATAATTCAAATATTAATACATTTTATAAAATGAAAATTCCTTTTTCCATATTCTATATTTATAGAAAACGGTTAGTTTTGTAAAAATTAAATTGATTTGTCTTTTTTAAAGCATTATTACTACTTAATTTCTTATAAACAAATATAATTTGGTGTGTTTAAACATTTTAAATGCGCAAAAAACAAAAAATTATACTTAAGAAGATCGTAAAGAAGCTCAAGAAAATAATTCTTACAATCAATAATTTCATCATATTTATTTCCAAAAATAATGGTAATTAAATTAAAATGCTTTGACAATTTTACTAAATTTTTGTTGTTTAAATAAATTATTAGCAGATTATTATTAAATTTTAAATCAATCAATTTTGTTATTTAAATTTTAAGACATTAATAATTGCTCTTACTCGCATGAATTGCCGCGAATCTTCTATTTCTAGAGCATTTAACATTCCAAGTGTGACCTCAATCATTTGTGCTTCTTTAATTCTTTTGTTACCGACAACGTAAAGGCAATGCGCCGCTGTGCGAGGAGCAAAAAATTAAAATATATATAAAATCAAACAGAAATGAAAAGAAACCTGTCACCAAGGCTCTTTTTGAAATCAAAGTCGCGCCGCAAAAATCGTATATAGGTCCTATTGTAGTGTGAAGGGTCAAACTCGCATGCCACGGATCTTTTCCTTTGGTGGTCACATTATTCCCATTGTGAATGAAAGGCAGAGACTCAATATCGTCAGCTGTGTCTCTTTTCGGACGACGAGTTATTTTTCCACATTCTTCAAAACTTTGACTGTCGCCAAAGTCTGAATTTGTATATTTTATTTTAAAAAGTATTACTTAATTTTTAATTCCTGCTAACAAACCAATCCTCTTAGGTGGAGGAGAAATCTCCAGAAGGATTTTGATATCACGCGACTCTGCAAAGATTTTCCTGAAGAATGGGAGCAGATCAAAATAACGAGAGCGCGTTTCAAAGTTCATATCGGAAACTGCCCTCAGATCAAATCGATCGTCTCGTTTTATTAGCAAAAACCCACTTTGAATCACTGATGAAGAAAAAATTAAAAAAAATTAATTAATTACTTTTTTATGATTTTACATTTTTCGTGTCCAATACAAATAGTGCTGCCGTAGAGGTCGCATTCCATCTGAGATATTTTAAAGTTGAAACATTTCTCTTCTGCCAGGAAACTTGCTTCCACCAAGCTTCTCTTTACAGAAATAATACAATTTCAATTATTATAACAAAAACCGAACTTTTGAGCAAATAAAATTATGGATATTTACTATTAAATTTTTTAGATATTATCATATCATTATATTTCTTGTTAACTTTTCTTTAGAACTATTTTTTAATAAAATTTTTAATATTTGTTTTAATTAAAAATTCTCAACTTTTACTCACCGTTGAATGGTCCTGAGCAAAAAACATCTCCGATGCATCATTCTGGTTTCCTCGATTCCACAGACAGACTGGCTTTAAACTCGAAGAAAACTGGACATCCTGAATCTCCAAAACAATAATGGTTCTCTCTTGAAAATTTTCCAGCTTTAATTTCGCTCTTTTAATTTTAATCACCTTATATGGAAACAAACAAATTAAACCTTTAATAAAGAAAGAGAAAACGTGGAAAAATTAGCCTCTTTTTCTAATATTTTCACCTTTGTTGGTAGCAAATTTCGTTTCAGGAAGCACAAGCTAGATAAATTATTAGAAGGATCGCATTGTCCTCCATAAATTTTTATGTTTTCTTTGTTCTTGAAATTTCCTCGCAGTTTATCAAAACCTACGAAATAAATTTGATTTTCATTGCTTTTGAAAATTAAATTAATGAAACAAAAAGCACCGTATGTGATGATCGTCTTTTTTGACACAATGACTCCGTCAAAAAAATTTCCGTCTCGGTCAATCATATAAAGCAGCCACGGAGGGCCTGTATCGTTTTGTTTATGGTCCCATTTACCGCAGTCTGTGGAACTTCCATTTTCCTGCTGTTCGTCAAAAACTAGCAAAAGGAACATTTTTGCAATTAATTAAAAAGAAAACACCCTTTGCTTTTTTTATGATGCAAACAATTTGAGCGTAATTAAAATCAATTTAGGCGGGATGAATTTCCAAATGCTTGCAAAAGTCAGTTTTTGAAATGTATAACATCCGCTTATGTTTAATTTATTAATCAAAATACCAAGTCCGGGGAGCACAGATTTGTTTTCTGCAACATTCCAACAGTCGGTAAAGTTGATTATCTGAAAAGCAGAAGAGAAAACAACTGAAAAGTGGATGCTTGAGTAAATTCCATGGTTACGAGTTTTGCGAATTAATAACAAAATTGCATTATCCAAAATCTATATTATGAGATATTAATTTTTTAGGTCGGGGATGAACTGTAAATTTTTAGTTGAAGGGAGCTGCCAAATTTTCTCCTGCAAGAAAACACATGATTTTTATACTTTAAAAGGCAATAAATTAGTTTTTGGCGTGGCATTAATTGGTGATTAAATATATTTTGACATAGTGTATAGTAAGTTGCAAATTTTGGTAATTCATTATTAATAGTGTTCTTATCATAAAAGAACTATTTAAATTTTAAAAGCTAAGCAAACAAGCAATGATAAAATCTTCTGTGAGCTAAGAAAATATTTCTAAAAATGTATAATTAAATTAAATAAATTTCTTAATTGTCCAAAAGGCACTCTGGGCGCACTTGGATAAAAAAAAGAAATTCTAATTATCAATCTTTTTTATATAATTATAAATCACAATTTTTTGGTAAAATTTTAAAATAAACATTTAGAAATAATTCTTCGACTTACTTTCCATTTTTCGTTAGGCTCATCCAACTCGAAGGACAAAACACAGTTGAGTGTAAAACATAATATTAAGACAATCAAAAAAGCAGTGAAGTCCACTTTCATTTCTTGAAACACAAATTTCGTACAACTTCAACAATATAATGCGATGCCTTGAATGCTTTTGATCAATTATCTTTCGCTTTTGCATCTTCAGCAGAGCAACTTTGACCTGCCAATCTGGAGGGAGGCAGTGAAAGATAGCAAAATAACACGCTATGGTCAGAGATAAAAATTTGTAAAGAACCATAACCATTATTTAACATTAAACTTTTTTAGTGCTGAGAGTAGAGCTTTTGATCAAAAAATTATAAACGGAGAAACTCTAAAAATAACAGATAATATTGGGTTTTTCTGATTCAAAATTTCCCCGTGAAATCGGGAAAACCAACTGTCAAATATTTTAATTGTGTGGGTTTGTTTCGTCTGATAGAGTAAAAGCGTGGGTGCATGCAAATAATTCTCTGATTTGTTCTCATTTATCTTATATTTTAAATTAAAGATATTCACAGATACTTTTTCATAATATTTTTCCATTTACGTCATCAGATTAACTGCAACCATACGCTTTTGATGATTGATGCAAAAAATTTGATCTGATGGTTGAATATTTTGTAAATTCTTCGACAAAGGAAATTAATTTATCGTAATTCATTACTTTCCATTGACATTATTTAATTCCTCAAAAGATTTTCAAGAAAATTATTAAGTTCCTCCTTGAACTTGCAACTTACTAATTGCGGATGAACTGATAAATAATTATTGATTCTTGTTTGCAACTGGAGCGAAAGGACAAGTAAAGCAGGAGATTCAATTTGCGTGGCTTGTTTGCGTCTCATTCTCTCAATGTTTTCTGCGGCATAGAGAGAGGGGCACGCCTTTGGCAAGCGCCGGCGTCTTGATGCTTTCCTGCCAGCTGACAAAGCACACAGCAATCAATTAGAGTACACCAATTAATTAATTCATTTCTCTCGCGCGCACACAAACTCGCATTCTACGCCATCCGACCCCAACCGCCGCCCTTGCTCGCTAACAATGAGCAGAGATAATAACGAGTTTTCCTGCTTCTAATAAAAATAGCAACCTGTAAAAAATGTTTATATGCAAACTTTGTATTTTTCTCCTGAGCGCTCAAGAGAAAAACATAAAAATAAGCATGCCAAAAGGGATACTAAGGAAATAGCTGCGACGATTCCTCAGATTGCGCCCACTTGTTTTCCAAATACGGAATCAGCAAGAGATGATCTCAGACCATTTTATTATTGTGCAAAGGCAATCCCGTTTTTTATTATACCTCTAGTCGATTTTGCAATTTAAATTCAACTTACATTCATTCAATTCAATACATTATTTGAAAAAAATTCATAGCCCTCTTATTAGATTTAAATATATAAGATTTCAAGAAACTATAACTGAAAAAAAATAATCTTGGTATTTCTGTATCGCATTCCAAAATATAAATTATAATTACTTTAACAATGACTTAATTGAAAATAAAATTAATGAATTTGTGATAAAATTGCACCCAGAGGGAAAATAAATTCTGATAAACTCTTCGGTCGTTTTTCCAACTGATATAGAAAGTAACACCGTCCGAAATGGCTAATGGAACCATCCAGGTGCAATTAATCTCCATTAATCCAGCAGTGACAATGGTTCAGTTTGACCTCTGACCTGGCTGGTGGGCCACCTGTTGACGGGTCGGCGCGTGCGCCCGGCCGCGGTGATAAAAGAAGTCGGCGCCGCGACAGCTCAGTTCAAGTTCAGCCTCCGAGCGGCGAAACTCGCGTAGGTCTCCACCGGTGAGTTTATGCATAGTTTTTAGTTTAATTTTTCAAAATTTTTTGTAATTTAATTATAAATTTATTCGGAAGCAATTTCATTCAACTGCGAACTTGCAAGGTTGTTTTATCTGAATAATAATTTTCCGGCTGATTTGCATCATCTGAATGAGTATGGTGTTGTTTGTCAGGGTCAGGGTCACATGGTCACCAATAACAGCTTGTTTTCGACGAGCCGATTCGCGTCACCCAATTGCACACATGTGGAATATTTATTTTCACGGATTGCGTATATCATTATCAAAATTTATAAGTTTTTTTTTTTACTAAAATTATAATTTCATTCGAAATAAAAAATTTCATTGCAAAATAAAGCGTTAAAATGTTATCCTAGCTCTCTAATGTTGGAGATAAGCTTATGACAGGTGCAAGAGAGAAAAAACTGTGTTCTGATTCTGACTGCTGGTTAAAAGCTTGTCAGAGGACGAGAGGACTGTGATGTAAAAAATAAAAATAAAAGTGCTATGTATGCCTTCCTCGCGTTATTTGTCGTGCAGAAATATAAAAAAAAAACATTGAAGCTTTGATGTGAGTTCTATATCATTTTTGCTTATTAAATTTGTGCCGATGAATATACCAAAAAGGCATTTTACCAAATTCATTTTAATTATCATACCAAAATGAATATTTAGTAAAATAAAATTCAAAATTGATGATTTAAAAAAGGCAGCTGAAAAGTTTGACTAATTGTAAGGACACCTATTTGATTCAAAATATTGTTTACAGTATAATTTTTTATTCATTTGATGTCTAATTTTAAAAATTAAGTTTTTTGTCAGGCTGGTCAAGCTGGTGAATTTTCATTTGCCCAGAAAAGAAGAAGTAAATCAGAAAATATAAATGAAAAAAATGAGGCTAGGGCTAAATAATGTTTTTTTATTCAAATAAAATAGTGATTCCATGGAAAATTAGAATGCAAAATACATTTGGAAATTTTTACCATTAAAGACTGAAAATAAAATCAGAAATGATTGAAATGAATAATTCATTTTGGGTTTGTTGTAATTTTTAAATACTGGCAATTACAAATAGTGAAATTGCATCTGGCCTTTAATTATGATCATGATTTGAAGCAGATGTATTCAAATCTGCAGAACGATTAAGGCAAAATTCCCAGAACTCTAAGCTGAAAAGCTTATATAACCGAAGAGATCGAGATTCAAAGCCAAGCTTACTTTGTGTCAGAGAGTTACAGTCGGTCGATTTTGCAAAAGAGCAAAAGTTGACCCGCATCAAAATTATACTTAAAAATCTGCATCCGAAAATGGCGTGCTCAAGTCCCGGGCAAAACCCACGCGCAGAGTATGGCACGCGGGAGTATACAAGGAAAGGTCTCATGCAGTTCAGCTTTTCCTAAATAAATATCCTTTGTTAAATGTCGCGCCTGTGTTGTTGTAAAGACCGCAGAGATGAAATGTAAAAAAAAAAAAAATAAGAATTGACCTATTGTATTAATTTAAACGCTGCTTATATTTTCTCTTGGGAGATGCTTGCAAAAAAAGCATTTCAAATTAGTTGGTAATTGCTTTTGTTTGCTTTATTGATCGTTTTTTGGGTGCTTTAAATCAGATTTACTTGAATTTATTAGACTATATTTTTTGTATTTTGCACAAGTTAACAAAATACAAAAGCACTTTAAAAGTTAAATGACTCTATGCCACTTTTTCCTTGGAGAAAATAACTGGAATCGAATATAATTGTTAATTTATCAAATATTATTTTGTTAGTTTGACAATTGTTTCACATTCAATTTTTAGCAACAATTAGTTTGAGGAAAGAATAAATAATAATAATTAATTGATAATTTATGAATATTGAAAATACATAATAATTAATTATAAAACTTATTCCAAATTATATTTATAATATCAAAAATTAAAATTTTAAACATACTCTTTATTAATCTTTGTGTTTATATAATTCATTGTTATGTCAACTTCTTCAAAATTTGAAAAATTAATCGTTAGAGAATGATCATTAATTTGCTATAGCTCATTTTAATTACTTTAATTATTTCCAAGACCGTACACGAAACTCTAAAATTGTAATATTTTCAATATTTATTTATCTGTTTCATTGTTAGTTAATTCTTATTTTAATTTCAATTCATTTTTATAAAAACCAATAAAATATAATTTTCAAAGCCTCGCTAATTTTCTGTAAATATATATTTTTTCAATGGGGTGAACTTATTTTGGATTGCTATAGAACATTTAGCTCCTCTGTGTTAACTATTTTTTACCAATTTGCCCTTCCGATGAGATTTGTTCGCGAGCGAACGACTTTAGAGAGAGTCGTGTCTCGCGTCTGGCGTCCCAATTAACAAGCCGCTTCACAAACAAGCTCGCGCTCGTAATTAAACCTCTTGAACTTCCGCACAACTTTTGCTATCGACTCTACACTATGTCTCTCGTTCCAATGGCTTAGGAATTTCAGCTCAATAGAGAGAGCAGAGCTGATAGTTCTCTTCCTTTTCATTGACGCACAACAATTTGCTTATGCATCTCTGCTGCTCCCTGATAAAGCGGCACCGGCGGCTAATGAGTAAAGTAGGGTTTGCCGGTAAATCCGCAACACACATTGCGTACAGAGATGACGGCTGCGGGTGCGCCTGACAGCGGAGCAGCCGAAAATAGCTCGTTATAATTTCTGTTTTCGTGGTGCGATCAACAACGGTATTAATATATTCAAAACACAAACTGGATATAAATCAAACGGTGAAATTCAATGACTTAAGTCAATATTCGCACGTATTAGGGCCAAATATAGGAATGGCAGTCAATTTTGTTAGAGTTCCAAACGGACATAGCTTTGGGTGGTCGCTTAGTATTTTAATGAGTATAGATTGCTAAATTAATTTAGATTTATTGTTATTGCGTCTATTATGCGATTAAATACTCATAAAAATTCAAACAATTTAATCTTCTGGTTTGAAACTTTTTCAATTTTTAAATAACGGTTATGAAAATAATTATATAGTTAGATCAATTTTAAATATTTACGATTTACGATATTTAGAAATTGCCACATTTAATAGAGGATTTGATTCAATCTCATAAATCGATACTGATCCTCTCATTCCGTCCTGCTTAGTCAGCGTTAAAAATTCCATTTCTATTAAAAACGCAATGAATGTGCCACGCAGTGCCACGTTGGCGAGCTTGAAAATGAACAGGTATAAAGAGGGATCAGCAGCAAGAGTTGTAATAATTAAACTCTCTTTTTTAGCGCAGAAAAATCACCAAATTTGAATATTTCATTTGCGTTTACTGTGCAAATATTTAATATAAAGAATCTTGTGAATAAAATCTGCTCAAATGCTGCTTTCACACTTCTTCATTTTCCAGTTTCCACTGCCTCTTTTCATGCATAATATTTGCGCTGAAAAGGAAAACCAACGTCTTGGAGCTTTCTTTATATTTGTCGTGTCTGGAAATCTCAGAAAGGGCTCCTTTTGCACAAAATTCATGTATATTTAAAAGATAAGTTTCTACCTACTAATAACTCGCTGATTTATTCTGCACTGGAAACGTCTCTTTCCTCATCATTATTGTTTATTTTTACAATTTTTGCAAAACATTTTACATGTTAAAATTCTACGTTAGTGAAGTTGGCGATATAGCCAACAGTTTTTGGCATTTTTTTAAAAGTGGGGAAGTTGGCGATATCGCCAACTTTTTTTATCTTAAAAAAGGGTTATAAAAGAATGCTGATTGCGTTCTAGGGGATGCATTTGCTATTATAAATAACCCGTTATGCATTAGACCTCTAGAAGTACATAAAATGTGGATTTTCGCGATTTACACCCTCAAGGCCGGGTTCAGCCGCTTTCTAACCCACCCCGTTCGACACCCTTGACACCCTTACATAAAAAAACAACCCTTACATCGCGGCTGAACCCGGCCTTCTAATTTAATTATTCACCTGAAGGTATTTTTATGGTGCCGACTACAGTGAAAAATCAGTTTTTCGCGATTTACACCCCCACGGCCGGGTTCAGCCACTTTCTAACCCACCCCAACTAACACCCTTGACACCCTTACATTAAAAAACCACCCTTACATCGCGGCTGAACCCGGCCTTCTAATTTAATTATTCACCCGAAGGTATTTTTATGGTGCCGACTACAGTGAAAAATCAGTTTTTCGCGATTTACACCCCCACGGCCGGGTTCAGCCGCTTTCTAACCCACCCCGTTCGACACCCTTGACACCCTTACATAAAAAAACAACCCTTACATCGCGGCTGAACCCGGCCTTCTAATTTAATTATTCACCCGAAGGTATTTTTATGGTGCCGACTACAGTGAAAAATCAGTTTTTCGCGATTTACACCCCCACGGCCGGGTTCAGCCGCTTTCTAACCCACCCCATTCGACACCCTTGACACCTTTACACAAGAAAACCACCCTTACATCGCGGCTGAACCCGGCCTTCAAATTTAATTATTCACCCGAAGGTATTTTTATGGTGCCGACTACAGTGAAAAATCAGTTTTTCGCGATTTACACCCCCACGGCCGGGTTCAGCCGCTTTCTAACCCACCCCATTCGACACCCTTGACACCCTTACATAAGAAAACCACCCTTACATCGCGGCTGAACCCGGCCTTCTAATTTAATTATTCACCTGAAGGTATTTTTATGGTGCCGATGACACCTGAATATCGGTTTTTTTTATCAATTTTTAAAAAAATTAGAGAATTAAATATTTAATTAACAATTAAATATAAGTATTAAAAAAATTTCCACAAATCGCTGGCCGCTGTAAATTGATTATCCATTTTTGAATTTTGAATGACTTGAAAATTTCCAATCTTAATAAAAATAATTTAAAATCGAAAATTTTGACAAAGACCTTGTCTTATAAAATTTGATAAAGTAACAAGAAATTAATTTTTAACTTTACGGGGTTGACTATGTGCATTATCTTTCCGGACTGTAATTTTCATATCTGGATTTTTTTCTTAAAAATAATTCAATTGAAATGAAGATTTCAAGAAAATTTCTAATAATTAAAAATATGCATTACATTTTTCTTTACACTATTCACTTCTGTAGCAATAGTTCCAAGCGACAACAGTAGTACTACGACGAAAGTGATTCCTGTGTGTGTTTGCTATGCGGTCAGAAAGGCACCCAGTACCACCTGGCCGAGTGCAAAAATCGCGTCATTAGTATTAATGACTATTCGAAAATGAAGTTAAAGACTTTAACTTTATTTTGTCGCGCACCACATTGAAAATTGCCTCGTAAACTTCTCTTAGTTAAGTTGAAGTTGTACTCAAATGAGTTTCAAAATAAAAGCATATAATTTATTCAATTTAATTATTAATTCTTAGTCGACGTATAAATACAGGTTAGCATCACCCAGAGCAACCCATACCTTTTTGCTAATAATTTTTTTTCATAAACTTCTAAGTCAAATTTTCAATTTGTAGCAGTCTGGTTTGAATTTTCTATTTTCCAATTTTTTAAATTGTTTTTTTTTATTTGAGAAGATTGAGATTTTCTTGATGGTTTCATCTGAAATATTTTGATAAGCATGGTACTGAATGAGGATTTTTTTTTTAACTCTACCCAATTTTATAAATGTATATATGTTGTGTTTCCTGCCCCGGACTTGTTTTAAATTTTTTCATAATAAATTTCATAAATTTTATTTTTTGATTAAAATACTAAATTTACTAATTACTAAATTTATATCAAGAAAATGAAATTCCCAAAAGATAATTGAAGTGGAATATGTAAAAGTAATCAATTTTAAGAAACAACAATAAAAATTAAATGAATTGAAAAAATTGCTAAGATAATAAATCAAAATTCTGGAAAATGTGTGACGTAATAATTATTGTATTTCTTAAAAAAATTCATAGGGTGTAAGTTTTTTTCGTTATCCAGGAAATCAAAACAAGAAAATAATTTTGATAAAATAATTTTGATTTCAAACAGCTGATATGCTAGATGAGAAAAACACAGTAGAACAAGGCCGTGGGGGTGTAAATCGTGAAAAACCGATTTTTCACTGTAGTCGGCACCATAAAAATACCTTCGGGTGAATAATTAAATTTGAAGGCCGGGTTCAGCCGCGATGTAAGGGTGGTTTTCTTGTGTAAAGGTGTCAAGGGTGTCGAACGGGGTGGGTTAGAAAGCGGCTGAACCCGGCCTTGGGGGTGTAAATCGTGAAAAACTGAATTTTCACTTTAGTCGGCACCATAAAAATACCTTCGGGTGAATAATTAAATTAGAAGGCCGGGTTCAGCCGCGATGTAAGGGTGGTTTTCTTATGTAAAGGTGTCAAGGGTGTCGAACGGGGTGGGTTAGAAAGCGGCTGAACCCGGCCGTGGGGGTGTAAATCGCGAAAAACTGATTTTTCACTGTAGTCGGCACCATAAAAATACCTTCGGGTGAATAATTAAATTAGAAGGCCGGGTTCAGCCGCGATGTAAGGGTGGTTTTTTAATGTAAGGGTGTCAAGGGTGTAAGTTGGGGTGGGTTAGAAAGTGGCTGAACCCGGCCGTGGGGGTGTAAATCGCGAAAAAATGATTTTTCACTGTAGTCGGCACCATAAAAATACCTTCGGGTGAATAATTAAATTAGAAGGCCGGGTTCAGCCGCGATGTAAGGGTGGTTTTTTAATGTAAGGGTGTCAAGGGTGTAAGTTGGGATGGGTTAAAAAGTGGCTGAACCCGGCCGTGGGGGTGTAAATCGTGAAAAACTGATTTTTCACTTTAGTCGGCACCATAAAAATACCTTCGGGTGAATAATTAAATTAGAAGGCCGGGTTCAGCCGCGATGTAAGGGTTGTTTTTTTATGTAAGGGTGTCAAGGGTGTCGAACGGGGTGGGTTAGAAAGCGGCTGAACCCGGCCTTGGGGGTGTAAATCGTGAAAAACTGAATTTTCACTTTAGTTGGCACCATAAAAATACCTTCGGGTGAATAATTAAATTAGAAGGCCGGGTTCAGCCGCGATGTAAGGGTGGTTTTTTAATGTAAGGGTGTCAAGGGTGTTAGTTGGGGTGGGTTAGAAAGTGGCTGAACCCGGCCGTGGGGGTGTAAATCGCGAAAAACTGATTTTTCACTGTAGTCGGCACCATAAAAATACCTTCAGGTGAATAATTAAATTAGAAGGCCGGGTTCAGCCGCGATGTAAGGGTTGTTTTTTTATGTAAGGGTGTCAAGGGTGTCGAACGGGGTGGGTTAGAAAGCGGCTGAACCCGGCCTTGAGGGTGTAAATCGCGAAAATCCACATTTTATGTACTTCTAGAGGTCTAATGCATAACGGGTTATTTATAATAGCAAATGCATCCCCTAGAACGCAATCAGCATTCTTTTATAACCCTTTTTTAAGATAAAAGAAGTTGGCGATATCGCCAACTTCCCCACTTTTAAAAAAATGCCAAAAACTGTTGGCGATATCGCCAACTTCACTAACATTAAAATTCTTGCTAGTGGTGGTGCCTTTTTGTCCCAAAATTCATTTTTTTCTCAAATAATTTAACAATTATGTAAAAATAATCAATTGCTGTTGGAATTAAGGTTAAACATTAAACCGCATTAAAAATTGAAAACATTGAATTATTATTACACTAACTCTCACTAGCGAAGATTTTCCTAAAACTTTCACTTTCAAGAACAAAAAGACCCCGTCCACCGAAGACCGAAGTGAGCCCTGTTATAAATAAGAATGTAATAAGCAGGGACTTTTAATTAAGCGGTTAATATTTCTGCAAAAACGCATATATCATAGCACATTAAAACCCTCTTCAAATTCGCAGAAGTGCAAATGTCGGTCGACTCAGTCGGGGCTGTAAGCATAAACACACACCCAGGACAGCATTCATAGGCGACACATGCTATGCCCTTGGGTATCAATTCATTCAATTAACTTGCACGCCTTTTGCCAGTGTGAGCCGTTGCTGTGTTCGCGCTCATTAATCAACGCGTAAAAAACGTAATATGGGACACGGAATAATAAAACGTAGGGAAATGTGTGAAAAATGCACTCTCTGTCAATTAGGTGGCGTTTGCATAACTCATGCTATATTATAGACTGTTTTTTTTATCGCACGCAAACTTTTACATGTTGTAACAGATTGGTTTTATTTGTGTGCAAAATATAGGTTGAGTGGCACTTGTATGCGTATATTTGGCGTCGGTGCTAAAAATATAATTACGAGCCGCCCGCGCAATTAGGTCAAATTGCGAATAAATAAAAGCGATGCACTACGACCACGCCTCTCCGAAAGCAAATTTACTGAATGCGGGCCAAATTAATGCTCCCTTGTGGTGACACGAAGCTCTTCAAATTTAATTAGGAAACACTTTCCGTATTCAATTATTGATCTTTTACGCCAACAAATGGAGCTTAAATGTGAAAAAAACTGCAGATTTATTAAGCACGTTCTTCTTAAAAAAACAATTGTAATTTTAACTTTAATTTTGATATTTTTTTATTCATTCTCTAATTTCAATTATATCAATCTCTAAAAAATAAAAAATAATTTAAATAAAATAAAAATTGAATTTAAAAATGAAATAATAAAATACATATCGAAAGACACCTCTCATAATAAAGTACCAATTAATTAATTCACACAAATATACACAAAATTAAAAAATAAATATTGTATTGCGTGTTAAAAATTTTCTTATAATGAACCCTTTTTTGGCAGTTTCTCTTAAATTTTTTTCATTCAAACAAAATTACAAAATTTATTAAAATTATTTCGCTGTAGTGTTTTTGGTCAAAAATCATTTTAATAGCAAATATCTTTTACAAGACTTTCACTATGATGAAAGTTGCACATTTTAAAATTTGTTTTTTCTACTATTTTTCCTTCTCCTTTGCACGTGTTGCCAAAACGATTCAACTCTGATCTGTCCACTTTAATATTTGATTGGCAGCGGAAACAAAGCATCATGTCTGGTCGATATTATTGCATTATTGTTTTGGCGATCTGTTAGTTTCTCTGTTGAGTCGGGGGCGTATTCACGGGAAAATAAGGGTCAACTATATAGAGCATATGTGAGAATCTGAAGCCTGCAATGCCTGCTGTTTCAGATAAAACTTAAAGCGGAGAGCAGGCGGATCACTCGGCACCGCCATGGAGCTGGTAAGCCCACATTTCTTCTCTCTTCCTCAACTTTGATATTTATTTCCTCTAATTAAATAACTTCAAGTTTTGTGTTGCTAAAGAGGATTTTTGTTTTATATCTTTTACGAGCAGACGGACAACATGGGGCCGATTTTCACTAGTCCCGAGGATCAGACGCGCATTTTACAGCTGAAGGCCCACGAGTGCTTAAGGACGCAGTTGAACGCCTCGATTGCGACCCCCGAGGACCACTGCCCACCGGTTTGGGACGGAATCATGTGCTGGCCAGCGACACCGCCGGGCCAACTCGTGGTGCTGCCCTGTGCCAACTACATCGCTGGGTTCGAATATCAAGTAAGAGTGAATAATATTAAAATGGCAATCATATTAAAAACAAATCAATAAATTAAATGCAAGACAGTCTTATATTCTCATATAATATTTAGAGATTTCTTAAATTAATTTTGTCTCAAATGTACCGATAAACAAACTGTTGAAAAAAAGACGACTTTTTAAGACTCAAATTTTTGTTTCAAACAAGTCTCATGTTAAGTAGAACATGATCAAAAAAGTCTAAAAATGTATCATTCGTTGGGCTGTTAACTTGAGAAAACGATGTTTCAAATTTATGAATTTATGTTCTCTTGCTAACTTAAAATTAACTATATTTAGAAATCCTATATCAAGTTTGAATATTTCACTTTGCCCAATTCTTGGTTTAAGTTTTAAAAACAGTAAACTAATTTGCTTCGGTCAATTGCAGTAATTTTGAATGCTACATTTACTAATTTTTTTTATGGAAATCTTTAATTTTGAAAGTAATTTCGTATTAAAACCGTGGACGCTTTTATATTGTTTGCAGGGCAACGCAAGTCGGCTGTGCACAAACGACTCTTCTTGGTTCGTCAACAAAGAGCACAACACTGACTGGACCAACTACTCAATGTGCTACAAGACACCGTTGGCCACAGTGGTGATCAAATTGGCCGACATGGCAAACCTCTCGCACACCATGGTAAGTTTTGGGCAAAACTTTTTTCCTCGAAACTACAGCAAGCGTTCTTTGACGAGACGCGGCTCTGCTTAATCTTAATCTCGTTTTGCAAATTCTCCCAAAAAAGATTGTCAAAAGATCAGCGAAGAGACGAAGACAAACTTTGTCCTTATTTTAAATAATAACATTGCGGCGGATTCTACGAAGCGATATTTTTCAAAAATGAGGAAGAAAATAATGTAAATACCTTGTCAGAGGAAAAGGGCAAAAACCCGTCCTTGGTCAAAGACGTTTAAAGCAGAGAGGATTTGCCGGCATCTGTCGCTCCTTTTCTACTTCAAAAAAGAAAATGCGCTTCACATAAGCTCAAAAAGGGGAGTTGTTATTAAATTTTGATGGAAAATCCAACCCTCTGAATTCCCCCAGGTTTTGAAAGGAGCAGAAACAGCAAAAACCAGGCAACGCAAAACTTTCAACAGAGGAATGAAAATTTATTGTTGTTTAATTCTTGCAACACACTTACTTTTGCGATCCTTTGTTGGAATTTACAGAAATTTTGCGCTGTTAGGATGAAATATAAAAGAAGATAATAAAACAAAAGACATAGAAAAGTTGTTCATTGCTTGATGAAACTCTGCAATTTCTTCATAAAATAAAGTTGTTGAGAACTACTAGTTTTTCTGCTTAAAAAAGATCTCAGAAAACTATGGAAAATTGGGGGAATTTGATGAAATAAATATTATGATACTTATTAATTAATATTAATAATAAATAAAATATTTAAAGCAATTATTGAAAGATGCAAATTAACAATATAAACTATTTAAATCATAGAATTTTGCTCTTCATCTCAGCTTAAAATTTTTCTCATACACCTCAAAACTTGATCACTCTCGACAGATTAGGGTGAGCTGGTTTCAGTGGTTTCGTTATAAGCAATTAGATTCCCTGATGCCCGCAGACGAGAGATCGTTTTTTTCGCATCAATCTTCCCCTCGCGAATTCGGTGGCGCACGAGGAAAATTGGCTTCGGCCAAAGTTTCTTTCTCGCTCAGCCATGCAGCGACGCTCGAATTCCCTCTAATGATTGATGCTGCGCTAATTAGCTCGACGTGAAAATTTGATGGAACGCGAATGCCAAAATTTTGACTGATCAGGTTTAACAACAAAGCACTCCCCGAAAATTACCTAAAAAAAAAGGAACACGCTTACAAACAAATTTTCTGGAAATGCAAAATCCTTAATTTGAATGAATAGATCCTTTTCTATTTCAAATTTTTAAATTATTTTAGAAATTAAGTTATAACTAATTAGAAAGAAGGAAATTTATGATCAAAAAATTATATCAAGATCCTAATTTATTTTCCTGCATTCCTTCTATCTAATTTGTTCAAATTTAATTTTGATAGAATGCTTGACTAACATTATAAAGAATATTAAATAAATTATTTTCTTTTACTTTCTTAACATATTTTTTCCACTCTTTTATTTAATAAATCAAAAGTAAATTCAACATCAATATTTTTTACGATCATTTTTCAATTAATAAATTCATTCCTGTTGCTCCAGTGAAAGCGTTTTTGTTTTTCATTAAATTGCGAGAAGCAGAAGATGTTTCAGTTTTACGATCTAAAAGTAAAACTTGATTCAAAGTGTGGTCGACAATTTCATTTTCGAGCCGCAGGGGTGTCTCTCACTGTCAACTCGGCGCGTGTGTGGAATTTTAAATTGAATTTTGCTGTTGCCGAGCTTTCAGCACCTCGTCGGCGCTTTGCCCGAATTGGCTTCCACCTTCTTTTATCGATCGTGGCTTGCAACAAGTCGCTCTACGTGTTATGTCTCTGAGCGCAAATCTGCCCTAAGTGCTCTTTAACAGCCTCTTAAATATACAAATTGGTGTGTTTAAAGTATAAGAGAAAACAAAATTTCCTTAATTTTTTATGAAATGGAAAACCAACCCTGCGACGAAATTTTCCTTAACTTCCGTTACAACACTTAAAATAAGCAAAATAAGATTTAAAATTGATGTAACCAACGAATTCCAGAAATACCTAATTAAAAATCAGCAATTGCGAAGGAGAGCATTCTTTTTTTTTTATCCTGCTACTTCTTGTGATTTGAGCCCCGCCGTGGGTTTGAGGAATTTTAATAAAGACCGGCACGTGCTGCTCGTCGCGTCTCTTATTTTATTTTCTTCTACCTTGCTGCCGATTTGGCGAGAGAGATAGCGTCAATTTCTCTAGATTTTTTTGCGACAACCCACGTGCGTGTTGGCTGAATCTGAGTCAACAAACCATTAGGAACGGCAGCAGGTGCTTGCTGGACAAACAATTACTAAAGAAAGCAGCGATTGCCATCTCGAGGGCAAACACCCCTGCCGACAGCTTTTACCCCAATTGCTAACACGTACGTCCTTTGTCGGGTTCGTATAAATATTTTTTTCCCTCGGGCGGATGACGTGTGCCTGTCCAATCGCGTGGAAAAACAACCTCTTGATGCGCGCAAAGTGAAATTTCAGGTCAATATTGAATCGGGAGCAAAGAGGGAAATGGGTTATTCGGTCTTTTTATACGTTTGAGACATAAAAAAAAAACTTTCGTCGTCTTTTGTGTGTATTGAATGAGACACCCACCTGCTTCTTCCCACAAATTTTATTGCATTATTGACGGTTACATCAATAAATCTTATTAAATGTGCGTTTTTTTCATATTCATGAAAAAATTCCCATTAAAAATTTTTCATTACTCTCCACATTTGCTGATTATACAAATCTCTTTAATCACGCAATTTGTATTCACAAACGGATATGTTTGTAATCTTTGATTTAATCAATTTAAAAGGTTATGGATACTTTGTTTATAAATCATGCAATATTTGAATGAAATCAGTGGCTCCGTAAAATTACCAGTTCTAGCATCTAATGGTGCGAAGTTTCAGATTTCAGTTATGTTCTATAATTTAATGTGATTGAATAAATTTTAAATTTTTTTCACCATTTCAAAAATAACCCTTACATATAGCATAACTATAATATAATTATATTAATTGATAATTTTATTGTAAAGTATTATTTGAAAAAACTTTTAAATAGCTTTAAATACAAAAAATGAAAAAGCGACTTTGTTTTTATAATCTTTGCCAATAATCATTTTTGAAGTCTAAATCATGCTAAATGGAAGCGATTTTTAGCTTTAATTTTTCCTCTCTAGATGGACCCCAAAGTTTTGAAATAAGACTATATTAATAAATTTCGGGATATACCAATACCAGGAATAAAGTTAAACTTTTCTGTTCGGCAACTATACTGTTCACTGTATTTAATCTAGTTGTTGTCCACATTTTAGTTCCTCTTTAATCTATTTTCAATTATACTTATATAGAGGAGCTTATCTGCTCGAACAAACAATCAATGTACTAACAACGATAAGCTACTCTTAGCAATATATAACAAGAGTTCAATCGCTTGAGAGCTCGTAAATAAATAAATTATTGATGCGGCCTGACGTTGGAACATTCCCACAGGAAATATATCATCTCTCGTAAACAGTTTCCGGCGAATCTAGAGGGATTATCTATGGATAGCCCTGGGCAGTTTGCAACTTGTTCCTCAGGTGTTTGAAGAGGGTGCGGATTAATTATCCGCTTGATGGCACATTTCCGAGTGACACAGCAAATCGAGTTTGGTAATTTTGCAAAATCAAGAATGAGTCTAAAAATAGAATTCACACTTGAATAATAATATATTTATGTCATTCATTCAAAAATGAAATGTGGGAGACAAAGGAAGGTAGACCGGGAGAATTCCTCGCTCGGAAATTGGCATTGGCGAGAGCACGAGCCGGAAAATTGAGTTTTGATGGAGTGAGAGGGAGAGAGATTCATTCAAGTCTTCGCTCTCCGAGAATGGAAAATGGCACTTTATAAACCGTAATTTTCATTCGCGAGTTTGTTTTTACACGCCGTGTCACAGAGTTGAAGAGAGAAAAACAAACGATTAATTGGCATTTCTCGAATGAAACTCTCGACACACTGTGGCGCGCATTTGAGGAAACGACGTGGTGCGAATCTTAATTAATTTACAGTGGCTGCCTTTTACACGCCGGCAGAACAGGCGCCACTCAGAAAGTGCACAAATTGACTCTCTAGCAGTGTGAAGTGAACTACAAACTGGAATTAAATTATACAATGTAGTTCTCGAAAGTTTCCTTAGTCTCTGTATAAAATTAAACTTTTTTAATAATTATTGATAAAATTTTAATTTCACCACTTTAAGAGAAAATAATATCTATTGTACACTGAAAAAAAAAAACAAGAAATACACTTAATTTAATAGTTCGTTTTTTTTCACTTTTTTAACTCGGCTTTTCTTGATGAATCGTGTAAGACCATGTTTTTTTTTTTAATATTGAGAATTAATTTAACAAAGTAGATATTTTGAGCCCGTTCACTGTTTCATTGTAATTTTTCTTTACAAACTAATGCTTACAAATCTGAAAAACACTGAAAAGTTGCTAAATTTTTAAATATTTAAAATATTACGTTCTTTATTTTAGTTAAAGCTCTTTTATCAATTCATAAAATAAATTACTTTTATTTTTCTCCTGATTCTGATTACTAAAATAGAGTAAGTTTAGACAATACAATAGGGCTTGAAATATTAAATGATTTGTCTCTCTTAATTTTCACTCTAACCCAAAATTATTTAAATTTTGATTGACTTTTCTCACAAGATTTTAACCATTTGAAGCAAAACTTTTCATAGATTTTTGTTTTCTCCCCTGATTTTTTTTTTCAAAACAATTTTATGCAATTTGTTTATCCTGAAAGCTGAAACTGGCATATTTTAAAGTATTTAACTTTTCAAACTGCTGTATGTATTAAAAAATCTTATTTTTTTTTTCAAATTTACTTTAAAAAAAATCAAATATAGCTCCGGCTGAAATGAAACGACTGAATAAGCTTATGAAATTTCTGTTGACTTAAAGTTTTAGAGATGGAAATAAAATAGGGGAGGTAGAAACCGAGGAAACGTGGCTCGGGTGTCGGATTTTCTTTCACCTTCTTTGAGAACCCGAAACTCGGAGAACTGAATTGGCTGGTGTTTGTTGCAGGCGTGGATGCCGATTTTGAAGCCGGTGGTGCACGTCGGCTTCGGCTTCAGTCTGCTCTCGCTGCTGATCGCCTTTGGTATCTTAGCAACGACAAAGTGAGTTTCCTTTCCCGCCGACCGTGGCGAGAAAGCATATCATTATTATTATTTGTACCTTTACATTTTGCGTGCGAAATTCGTCCGCTCGCCTGCGTCCTTTGGCGCCAAGCCGAGTGTATTTGATTTGATTAATTATACAGCAAAGCATGCTCACTGGACCATACTTTACTTGCCTTGAATTATTATTTTAACTTCGTGTAAACAAACCAAACAAATTTTTTACCTTACAGATACCAATTATTCATCTAAGAAATATTTCAATGAGGCAATAAAAGCTCACAAAAGTAATTACTTGCTTTCTTGAAAGCTAAAGTTAACTAAATTTTATTAATGGCTTTGAAATTTGATAGACAAATTTTGACCCTGAGTGTCTAAATGAAGGTTCAAATATATTTTTCCCGCTGCAATTTTTTGTTGGTTGGAAAAGTAAGTGAGCCTCGATCCGAAGAAGCTCTGGTTCGAAGCTTAGGGGGTGCCAATTTGCTAATAGCGATTTCCACTTTGGTCATATTAAAGGAATTTCCGTTTATTATTAATTTTTTTTTAATTGAAAAATTATCATGTTTTTCCATTAATTAAAAAAATTAGCAAAAAAAAATAATATAAAATACGGTTTCCATTCTTTAATATCTCCTGAAAGCCAGATTAAAATCAAGTAAATCCCACCCGCCAAACAAGATAAAATAATTTCCGCCCTTTTACTTTTTATCTTTTTTTTCTCGTACCCTTTTTTGTGCTCGCCCGTTTGGAGTAGCCAAAAACAAACACGCGTGGGCTAAATCCCTCAGCTCTCTCTCGCAGGTCCAAATTTTAATGCACACTCACGTCCACCCCGCAAATCTCGTGGAAACCGCACCACTCAGTCTTTCCTGCTATTTGTTTCCATTTTTCTCAGAAAACTCCGCTGTCCCCGGAACACCCTTCACATGCACCTTTTCTCTTCATTCATCCTGCGCGCCTCCATGGGCTTACTGAAGGACTCTTTGTTCATTGAGGGCGTCGGAATGGACTCAGACATCGTGGTCAAGGGCAATGACACCTTTTTCAGCCAGCAAGAGGTTTGTTAAATCGAATTTTTCACCTAGATTTACTGAAGCTTATTTGTAAATACCCAGAAAAAGTTTTTTCCCATAAGTGATACTTAAAGCAATGGAATTTTCCTTTTAAATGAGATTTTCAAAGTGGAAATTAATCCAGAAAATTTTTTAGGGCCGCTTTATTGCTTTTAGCTGATAAATTTAATACAAGTGAATTTTAAAATGATGAATTTAAAGAAAAAGTTTGATTTTGAATTTTCTTTTGAAATGCCTTTCACTTTCGTCTAAATCATTTCACGCAATATTTTGTGGCAATTCATTTGGAGTGAACTTTTTCTCATCAAAGTTAAATATTGCGAGAGAGTTCTACGCATATATAAATATAGAATCGGTCGTTGGTGCCTAAAAGCAAAGTTTCAGAAAGTTTCCTTTCTGTGTTTAATTTTGATGCGGCCACGATACAAAAGCTCTATTGAGCGCCTATGCCGGCAGCTGCTCGCGACGTGATTGAACTTTGAAACTCAAATATCTGCGAGAGCGCAGTGAGAGACAAACGAAAGAAGAGAGAAAGAAAGGCACTTTATTTTCCTTGAGATTCGTAGCGATTGCTGCTCTGGAGGGCACGAATTATTTATATATAGAATGTATTCAGAAAAAAACTTCCTTCTCAGTGGTTTATTATTGCTGGAGTGAGGAAATTTCTTTCTTGAATTGATCTTTTCATTTCTTGTGAATGGTTTGAGAAATCAAATCAATTCCATAAATATTCTTATGGGAATTTTCTCGTAATAAAATAATGATCAACAAATTTTTTTATAAAATCTACCGATTTTTTGTTTTTCAATCGTGATTTGAACGTTGTACAGTATCAATGAAAATTTTCTCCAGTTTTACCAAGAATAAAAATCTTGGTTTTTTACAGAACCCTCGGAAATTCTCAATTTTTATTTCAAAATAAAGTATATTAAAGGAAAATTGTTCTAATTGAATACAATCCTGCCATTTTCAAGGGAAATTTAAAAAAAAAAATATATTACTTTATATTCCTTTTGATATGCAGAATTGGTTGCAAGTTTGAAGTAATTATTATTGAAATTTTTATGTGTAAATGAAGCTTTGAACGATCACGCGTGGATTGTCAATCACTGGCTTCGTTTTCATTTGGACTGTCGCGGCTTCTCTCTCATTTCCCGCAGCACCGCAAAGCCAGAGTGATTAAAGTGTCAATGCGGTGATACTCGCCAGATTGCATGCGTCCTGCGCCATCAACAAAATCACGCACTGCTTTCTCTCTTCTCTTCTCTCGCTGAAATTAAAAACCTCGTTCCGGGAGATGGAAAATAATAATGAAATGGTTTTTGTTCGGCGGTGCGCAGAAGAATTGGGCGTGCAAGAGTGTGACCAGCTTGTGGCAGTTCGCGCTCGTGGCCAATTACTCGTGGATCCTGATGGAAGGCCTCTATCTGCACAACCTCATCTTCCTCGCCCTCTTCTCTGACTCCAGCGCCATCACTCTCCATGTTGTTCTCGGCTGGGGTGAGTAGAAAACAATTATTCTATAATTACGTTTCAAAAATCCACTCACTTTGAAAAGAATTTTAAATTATTCTGAGAATATATTATTAATTAGCATTTTTCCTTTCTTTAATATCAATATTTTCCTTAGCTTTTTTAAATTTGTTTCTACAAAGGCTAAAAAGTAAATTTGTTCTAAATTTAATATAAACTCAGCTTGCTCCTTTTCACTTGGGCAAAATTATGACAAACGACGAACACAAGCAGGAAATAAATATATTTCAAAAATTCTCTTCCTTGAATTCTTCATCCGTAGCCCCTGGGGAAATATCCCCAGCTCGCTGTGAGTTTTTCCCGCTCGCTTCGAAAAATGAAATATGGCGTTCTGAGTCATTGAAATTGTGTATGCCAATCAAAAAGCATTCGGCAAACTGAAAATACGAAACCCAATTAGGACGGTTGCCGCTGGCTCTTTTTTCTTTCTTCCATTGTTTTCCAAAACGCCTGCCCGCGGGCGATGTATGCAACCGGCGTTGCGGTTATGCGTAGCAGGCAGCCTACTTTTCCATCGCGAACAAAAGCTCTTGTTAATTAGAGCCGCTTTTCTATATTTTAATATCGGTCATGTTAATGGATTCCGGGCGAAGGACATGAAAAAATTGTGTAGTGCCGGGCCAGAAATAATAACGCAAAAATGCAATAATGGAAGAGTTAAGAGGATTTGCGAGGCGGATTAAGCGCGCGCCGTTCGATCGGTCAGGCATAGGAGAGGAAGAAAGCAGCGTGGAAAGGATTTGCTCCGCCAAAGCAAAAATGCAAATCGCTCCGTAGATTTGCATTCAGAAGGAGAGATTGCACAAAAATCTCGAATGTTGAGCTCATTTTTAATCAAAAATATCTGCAAAGAACTAAATTTAGAATTGCTTGACGATAAATTTTATTTATGGAACTTGCGCACTTGATAGGATTCTTCAATCTGGGTAAGCTTTTAGAATGAGGAAGTTGAAAAATCGATATTTAATTTTTGAGTTCAAAGAAAGTCTGGCAAAATTGAAATGAATAGTAATAGTAATCATGGAAAACAAATACACTAATTTATAATACCTTATAAAATTGATTTTATGTGGAAACGCATTTGAAATATTAACATTTCTCAAATTTATTAATTTTTTTGTGACACGTTTTTTACCAGGTATGCCAGTGGTGGTGGTGGGTTCGTGGGTGATCATTCGCGCCGCCTTGGAGAATGACTTTTGCTGGACCACGCAGAGCACGTACGTTTCCCTCATCATCCGAATTCCCATCGTCGTCTCTATCCTGGTGAGCAAACAATGACAGGTTTTCTTGCAATCTATTCAGAAGGCTAAACAACACGACTGTCGATTTTCTTTCTTAATTAACTCAACTGACGAAAGAAATTGCGCAAGCAGCTTATTTTTCTGTTGCAAATTGGCTTGTCTTTGTATACACAGCTAAGCTTTGAAACGTCTCTTGCCAAGTTTGTATGTCGTGTGGGCGTTGGAAAGCAATTTAAATGCTTAATGAAGCACTGCAAAACGTTCAAAGTTGCACAAGAAAAGGTTTCTAACCTTATTTTTTTATTGCTTTAACAACCTTAAAAGTCTCATTTCGACAAATTGATTAAATTAAAAAAATTAATTAATAAACGTGTCAACGATTTTGATAAAAAAATTTTAAACACTCATTTGCTAATGTTTAGATCAACTTCGTCTTCTTCCTCAACATCATCCGCGTGCTCTTCCTGAAGCTCAAGTCGTGCATTTCCGAGGAGACCCGCAGATACAGGTATAGGTGAGATATCATCCACCTGCTCCCTAACTATCCCGTGAAACTCCATCGGTGTTTTCAATTCATCAAATTGCATCTCTAATCTCACTGAATAAAATTATTCAAAACTAGAAAATGGGCCAAGTCGACTCTGGTGTTGGTGCCGCTGTTTGGAGTGCAGTACGTTTTGTCGCTGGTGCTCTCGTGCTTCACCAAGGACAACCCTAATGTGGAACTTCTCTGGCTGTTTGCCGACCAGGTGTCCTCTTCCTTTCAGGTTGATTGAACTTTTAATTATTAATTATTAACTTTTGAAAATTAAGATTGATTGAAGGAGAATAAGTAATCAATATTTCATTTTCCTTTCTTTTACCTCTCAAATTTTCTGTTTCTCAATTTTTTTTAATTGATCTTGATTGAAAAATTGTATTCATCTTGAAAAAAAGTTTTTGAAATATCTTTTTGTAAATCAGGGTTTCTGCGTTGCGGTTCTGTACTGCTTTCTGAACGCAGAGGTGCGCACCGAGTTGTCCAAAAAGTGGATGCGCAGCCCGTGGCGTCAAAAGAAGAGCCTGGGCAAGGGTGGACGAAACTCGTCACGCGGGTGGCGTCTCCGCTGGTCCCGCAGCTCCTACGCCACCTCGAACGTGTCCATCGAGTGTCGCAGGGCGGTCGCCATCGACACTAAACGACCTGCCGTCTGCGTGCCCCTCTGCGAAGAAATAACTGCCAGGCGAGAAAATGAGCCCAAGAGGTGCCGCTGCGATGATGTAAGTTTGCAAAATTGATTTTCCTTAGCGAGAAAGAAAGTTTCAAGAGGCTGGAGAGGTTTTGGGAAATGGAAATTTATAAATTTTAGATTTCTTGAGGGTTTATTAAGAGGAAGAAAGAGAATATAACTTTATTTGCAGAGATTCAAAGAAATAAGCAACCAAAATGGATGCTAATCAGAAAAAACTTAATTGCAGGCTCAAAACTTTGCAAAGTAAGCTCCAAAAGCAATTTCAGATGTTTGAACCAGTCTGAAAAGCTTATACTTGAAACCTAAATTTTAAAATGCTGAATAGTAACAGTTTCCAACCCCTTGAGTATCAAGTTTTCACCAAAGAAAAAAATATTGCGCCGTTCAAAGGTAGATTTGAAACTGCTCAGTCCCAATTACATTCGTACATATTATATGGCTGAAAGAATTTCTTGAGTCTCCCTTTTAACACGAACTTGTACCAATTAATAATTTTTCTCGCAAAGCCAGAATTTTCCTGTTTAACTTTCGCAGCTCTCTTTGAACTTTTATAATTGTGTAGGCGTGCGAGTGTGAGGAGGAAGCGGCCGTGATTGAGATTTGATGCCGGGACGTGCGTTTCTGGAACAAGAAATCTAGTTGTGCTGCACAAGATCTCTAACCAACCGAGCGGAAAACTATAATAATATAATTAACCTCGCACTACTTTTCGCTCTCCTGCCAAAGAGGCGAGCTGGAAAATCTCTACGCGCCGTCAAATTAGAAAATATGTGACAAAAATTCATCGCCAAACTCAGGCATTTCGCCCTTTTCCGTGTTTTCTAGTCGTTGACTGTTTACGAATATAATATTATAAATATTAAATGTGTTCAGAGTTCATATTTTATGTCGTTATACAAATAACCGTTTATAAATGTGATATATCTACGTGTCATATATATGTACAATTATATAAATTTTGAAATTGAGATTTGCCTTCAGAAAAATCATTGTCTGCCATATTTTTCTGTCTGGGCGAACTTAAAAAAATTTAAAAAATTTTGAAAAAGATAATTAATGATTATATTTTGCCACAATTAATTCTATAAGCACAAAACTCAATGTATCAAATTTTCATAATTTATTGCAGGAAAAAAACTTCATGAGGGCATTTGTAGATTTTGAAATAATTGAAAAAGTCATTAATTTTGTGTGAAACCAAATCTCCATTTCATCTACCTGTCTTGACCGTCGAAGAAAATAAAGTCTTCATGTGCTGTGATTTGTCCAATTAACAATATCGTTTTATTTCAAATATTTGAATTGTTACAAGACTTTTTAGAGGAGAAGTTTTAAATTAAACTCATCTTACAAGATATTCTCTAAAAGTTAAAATAGACATCAGGCACATCTGCTTTGTCTCTAATTTAAAAATCAGTTAGAAGGTGAGTTGTCCTAGGAGTCGTCCGCCGGCGACGGCGCCGTCGACGCGTGCGTCAGTGTGGACGGCGACGCAACCCCTACCCGCATGTGCAGTTGCCAGTCTGCTGATGCGCACCCCCTTGGCGGCCACCGAGTGCACGACCTGTGCCAGGTCGGTGACGCCATCCAGCATCAACAGGTTGCCGCCGAGCTCGACGCCTTTATCGCCGAAGCGGGCGTCATCAACAGCCAGCAGGGAGGGCACCCCTTCCACCACGCTTCCCCTCACGCACCTCCCGTTGCTGAAGTTGACCTGAAGCCCCTGCTGTTGTTCGCCGTGCAGGTGCTCTGAACGCACGGTCAGGTTGGCTTCCTTTGCCAGGGTGGGTGCGTTGATCAGGTTGGCGGTTTGTGAGGCCAGCATGCCAGCCAGCACTGCAGGTCCCAGGTGACCTGAGAGGCGCTCGAGACCTGGCCCGAAGGTCTGAACGGTCACGGTGCAGTCTGAGGAAGGGCCGAAAGAGCCCAGCGCCTTAGCCAGGTCGACCCACGGCTTTGTGCTCGCCTGGACGGCCGTCGTCAGGGCTGGGCAGTTGACCACTCCGAAAAGGGCCTCACCCTGAATAATTTACAAAAATAATTAATTTTTTTGAATAAAACATTTAATCTTAAATATAATAGAAGTCAATAGTGCAGTCACCAACTTTTTAAATAAACATTTTCTCAATTTTCTCCTGATTATTAAAAAAAATCTAATTTGTTTACTGACCTTCGTAAGAGCGACGAATTGCTCTGCAATCTCAACGGCAACCCTTTGCTGTGCCTCAGCAGTGCTGGCACCCAGGTGAGGCGTAGCCAACACCCTGGGGTGTTCCAGCAGCCTAATGAGACCTTCAGACTTTGGAGGTTCCTCGGTGAAAACGTCCAGCGCCGCTCCGCCGCACTGTCCAGACTCAAGGGAGCGCAACAAACCTTCCTCGTCGACGATGCCGCCACGGGCCACGTTGATAATGTAAACGCCCTTCTTGCACTTGTTCAACACCTCAAAGTTGATCAGATCTTTAAAAAAAATAATACAAAAGAGTTAACAATTGCAAAAAAAAAATCCGGGAATTTTTAGCATGTATTTTTTAAATTTTTAAAGTTAATTATTTTAAAATAACTCCATTGTTTTTATCATTTAATTTTTTTACATACTTCGTGTTTGAGGAATGAGTGGGGTGTGCACAGTGATGTAATCAGCGAGTGGCCAAATTTGTTCCAGTTCCATTTTCTCCACATTGAACTCGCGAGCAGCCTGGGCACTGATAATAGGGTCGTAACCAATTGTCTGTAGAAATCAAACCAAAGTTTAAACAAAATTGATCGAAAATAAAAAAAAATCAATTTTTACGTACATAGATTATAACAAAACATAAAAATTCAAAAGTGTGCCCTTCATGAGCGTATATATTCTAAGGAAGAAATACCCGTTCAAGACAAAGCTAAAAGAAATTTGTTTTTGTGACAGGTTTTCATTCCCCTACATTTTTTTACGAATAGAAATTTTAATGATGAAGAGCTATTTTTGTATCTGTGCTGTAAAAAACCCAAAATATTTAAGACCGTTGAAACCCATTTTAAAATCTGAATCGTCTGAAAATCTACATGAATTTGCATGTTTTTTTTTTGAATTTACAAAAAAAAATATCTATTGGTCGCATATTCTTGATCCGTCTAAAATTAGCCTGTTAAAAAAGCGACTATATTTGAGCAAAAAAGAATAATATGGGTCGACTATTCTGCTGTAATAAAAATATGATAAAAACCTTTCAAAGTTATAAATAAATAATCGGATCAGTATACTTGCCAGAGAGTGGGTGGCTTTTAATATTTTGTATTACATGTTGCATAACCATCTTAAAAGTCGTCCTTACCAGGAAGAACTGAATCTTTTTTTTATATATAAAATTGGATATCGCGAATAACAGTCTCCTACGTAAAAATAAAAATGACTAAAATGGAAATTTTTGTGTTGAACGGGTTGCGTAATAAACGCGTTTGTCAAAGTTTTCCACACAAAAAACCCACTTATTTTTTATTGGCATGCTGATTTCAGACAAATAAACATATTTTTTGTCCGAAGCCACAGAGAGTGAACAGCCCAGGTCACGCACGTAAGGGACGCACAGAGCAGCACACCACACACCACCCTCACGAATTTTGTATACCCTTCTTTCGGCCGGCGAGTGGTGTGCGGTTTGACTCTGGGCTGCCACTTCTCTCACCCCACTTGTGATGACCTAAAAGTTTTTGTTTTCGTCGAAATCCAATTTGGCGAGTTTTATTTTTAAATTAAAAATAAAGTCGCACCTTCATTCCGAACGCCTGCATCCTGACGGCGACCTCGCGGCCGATGCGACCGAGGCCCAGAACGGCCAAAGTTTTTCCGTAGAGTTCGGTGCCCGCGTAATTCTTCCTCTCCCAACTGCCCTTTTTCAACGCCGAGCTCGCCGGCGAGACGTGCCTGAAAGGAGAGAATGGCTAAATTAATCAGCAGCACTCTTTTTAATTTCGCGCGTCGCCCAAGTATGCCATGAACCCCTTTCATTCCAAAGAAGAAAGGGACTTTTCATATTTACATGATTTCGCGCTCTGGCAAACCAGAAGCGACCGTGTTTTTAATTAAAAAGGAAGGTTTTAATAAAATCAAGATGTGAAAATTGCATTTTACCTGGCCAGGCTGGATATCAAAGCGCACGTCAGCTCGCAGGCGCTGATTGAGTTTCCACCAGGTGTGCTAGCAAATAAAGGACAAAATGAAACAATATTTCGTGAAAATGCACTGCACAAGTTTTAAGAGTAACAAAAATTAAGTTTTAATTAATAAATTTCAAATATTAACGGGGTATTTTGTTAATCTTTATAAAATTTGATTAATTAATTTCAAAAAACACACTTTTTAATTTTTTCTAATACAAAAATTTTGCTTATCAAGTTTCAGTTTTTACTTTTTGAAAAATTTCAATTAATTTTATAATAATAATAATAATTTTATAAATTAATTACACGAAATAAGCCGTTTTAAACAAATGTTTATACATTTATTATTATTTAATAATCAGCAAATATTCAATATAAGGTTACAAATTTGTGCCGTTTTCCCAGCTCAAGTCTATTAAGCAAAAAGTAATCTTTTTCTTATTTGAATTGAGGAAAAAATTGGGAAAGAATTAATTGATATGTTATTTTCATACTTCATGACGAGGATTCCCCTGGCGGTGGCCGCCTCGAGGTCAATGTTGTCCACGCCGGTGCCCGCCCTGCCGATGACCTTGAGCTTGGGGGCATTGTCCAGCACCTGGCGGGTCACTTTGGTGTCCGAGCGCACAATCAGGCCGTCGTGTTTCTGTAAACGGCAGCACAAAATTGAGTACAATAATCACGACTTCTTCTTCTTCTTGCTTGCTTCATCAGCGTATTCGGAATAATCCGGTTCGTCGAACGAATCGAACGAAACCTCTTTTTGTGTAAAGTAAAGACGTCTAGACTGCTTGGGGGCACTACTTTAATGTTCCTCAAATCGTCGCCGCAAATGCGTATAATAATTGGATTGAGTGAGACGAGTCTCTCGGTCGCGGCCTTTTATTTTTTTACTGCGCCTCTTTATTATTATATGCGACAAGGAACAAACGAGAAAACGTCATAGGTGTTTTTATTTACCGGGCGACGAAGGGCCTCGGACACGACGCTTTTTATTGTTGCTCAATCGCTCTGGTCGTTCGATCTTTCATAGACTCATATGCACATGAGTCATAATGGAAAAGCACATAAAGCTCGATGCTTCCAGAGAAAAATTAATCAAAAGAGACTCCTGATGGATGGGCTTTATGATTACGTAATGGAAAAAAAATTGTAAAAAAGTACATACAGGATAAATCTATTCTGCAAGATTAGCATTTATATGTTGTTAGCAAAATTTGCAAGATTTTAAATTTAACTCACGCGAAAGAAAAATAATTACATTATTATTATTAAATTATTATATTCAATTTTTTTCCTATTAATTCATAGGAGAGGAAAAATAAACTATTTTTTAAAAATAAAATTTAAATTAATAACTCACTTTGATTTCCTCCAGTAATTCTGGAAGTGGCATTTTGGTCTTGAGCGTGACCCGGATGCCATTGTCCCTGAGAAGTTGGACGCACGCCTGGTCGACGGCGTCGCTGATGAGCACACTGTCCAGTCTCATGTCTGCGACTTGTGTCCGGTCGCGGAGCCTCGGCAGCACCTTTTAACCGCCTCCCCTCTCCGCACGCCCCGGCCCTAGAATGCAACGACAGCATCTAGAAGCGCATTTTATTTTTTATAAATAACAAAAAGCACAAGAACTCGCATCACAAATAAACCGAAAAACACCTTTCCTATGCACATAAAAAGTAAAAATAAACACGTGGAAAGGCGTAAAACGAAAGAAAACAAGAAGGAAAATTTCACACTTTTTTTTTTGTAATCGCACTATTTTTTTCGTGATGTGAATCACTTTGAGATATGATATTGTTGCAGAGGCCAAAGTCCGATGCGCCACAAAAATTAAATTGAAAACACTTTGTTTTTGTAATTTTTTTACTCTTTGTTTTTCTCATATTTTTTTTCATGTGATAATTTCTTGAAGTATAAACTGCTATAATTTTTATAAATTGATCGTGAAGAAAATTTAATTTAACTTTTAATTTTAGCAAGGAAAATATATTTCCTAATTAAAACAAAATATTTTTGTAAGCAAACAGCCATTTTTAATTCAAAATTTCCAGAGGAAGTTTACATTAATGATTTATTAATAAATAATGTAATTTTTTAATCAGTTCCTTAACACATAAAATATTTAATGAGTACATTTTGTTCCAGTGGGTATTGGAAAAAGGTGATCAGATTTACCTATTTCGCTCACAAAAAAGCTTAAAATATATTTAATTAATTTAGGATTTATTTCAATTAATAATACATTGTGGAATCTTGTACGTTTGATCTTAAAAACTTTAATTTACTTAAAATTTACATTTGAAAAATTTATTAAAACTTAACATTATAGAATAAAATTGACCTTTTCCCAATAAAAAATGGCATAGTTTTATTGGAAATAGGATGATAGATAGTGCCGTTTTTAAATATAGAACGCTTTCTTGAAGTTCGAAAGAGCAATCAGATGTTTCATCAGCCATTGTTAATAGTGGTCTGGCCAAAACGTGTGCTGTGTGTTAACCCATTAAAAATATTTCCAGTTTTTTTTCATCTCTCTCACGCGCGCTTTGGGTTGAGGCACTCGTTATACACGTGATCGCCAAATTGCCGGTGCGTTGTTTTAAACGCCGGTTGTTGTTTCCAATCACGTCGGCCGCGGGTGTCTTTCTCTCTCCCAACGAAATTTTCCTCAAACCCTGAGTTCCCTTTTTTGCATTTGCCGAGACCACGTGCGCTCGGCGGTTCATTGACTCGTTCGAGGCACGGAAGAAACTGGAGAAAGAAGAGATTCTGCATCACCACGCGAGGAGGACAAGGTCGTCGTTTGTGCTGGTGATAAGCAATTGACACACTGCCAGCACTTCCCTTTCGCCTACAAATGTCCCCTCTAATAACTGCAAATTGTTATCCATGAACATAAATTTACAATTTAATTTAAATGCATAATCATAAAATTAAAAAAAAAGTTAACGAATTTTTTTAATTTTACGGTTTTACTCGCTAAATTTGCTTAATTATTATAATTATTTGACTCTAATTATATTAATTAATATAGACGTAATTGAAATTGTTCCTTTTATTCAAAAATTGGATTAAATTTCTTTTTTCCTCTTAATTTAGTTCAAGTTTAAAATAAAATTAAAATAGAGTAAAAATTTTTGTCGTTTTTAATATCAATTTTTAATTTACAAATAAATTTCGATTAAAAATGAGGGTATTTTAAAATTATGAATTTTTAAATTCGTTAATAACAATAATACATAATTTCTATTATGATTTTGTTTTGCTCCTAAACAAAATTGCATGCCATAAAATAAAGGAACTTTAATGACTGACTTAATTTTGTGGAATAAAAACACGTGCCTCTTAGTTAGTGACTGTCAAGCGGAGGTCAAGTGCTTCTTTCTCTTTCTTATGTTAAGGATCTAACAGTCGATCTCTCGGCGGATCTGCAAGTTTCATAGTTCACGCCACTCGAATGCATAAGATAGTCATGTGTGTGCGACTAAACGGCATGCCAAGGCTAACTTTACAAACCGTCATTTGTTGTTGATTGAAGAGAGTGCATTGCATCGCTCTCATTACGCACACAGCAAAACGCATCTCAAGGTGATTAGATTTCGCAACTAACGCAAATTTTAAAAAAAAATTAAAAAATGTTTTTTTTAGCGAATATTCTTAAATTTTTTACTTGGGAAAATTGTTATAACCAGTTAGTATTATTGTGTTGGTAAAATCACAATTGTTCGATTCAGTCATTTAAAGTATATAAAGATGTAGAAAAAATACAATTTAAAATTTAAAATTAATTATGCACAAAATGTAGTTTCTTTGGCAATGAAATTAATTAAAATTACTGAGAATGATTTTTTTTACTAAAATTTAGCAGTTTCTTAAATGAAGCATGCAAAATAGAAATTATATGTTTGAAAAATAAAAAAGTATTTTATTGCTCAAAAAGTGAGCCAATTTTTAAGGGAATTTTTATTTAAATTTTTTGAAAGCTTTTAAATAAAAAAGATGTTCTGTGAATGTGAACAGGGTAGAAACAAAAGTTTCGAACTGATCCAGAGGTGATGGAAGGGAAATAACAAAATCCCTTAATTAACATAAACACACAATAATGGACATTTAACAATAGACTCGTCAATCTTATGATATCATTTTGCAAACTCCATAATTATGATTAAATAATGTAACGAGAAGAAAAATTATCAAAATCATCAACCTGCAGGCACATAATTTGAGTGATTATCAGATTAAAAAAGTCATTCTGGAGTGAGACTCGAACCCATGACCATTGTGAATTCATGATCGGCAAGGACAAAAGATTTACCAGCTAGAAACGTTCTGAAAAAGTTGCTTTAGAGCCGAGCAGATGGCAGCCGAGGCTGCACTCGCTCTCGATTGGTTCCGCAGTGGCCGAGGGGAGCGCTGCGATTGGCTAACTGCTTTGTTGTGAAACAACAGCTGACAAGGAGAATCATTTCAATCATTCGTTCATCTCTTCTCGCTTCGAACCCTTCGTTTTTGTACTTTTTGTTACTAGGCAGCATCCTTTGGGCCTTTTCGCCAAATTCGGCCCGAACGTCGGTCCGAAGGTGAGCAAGGTCGTGTCGGACGACTGAGGTGCGAGAAGAGGGACGATGGTGTTGGTGGCCCCTTGCACTTAGGGCTGCGACGCAATAGAGTTAGAAATGACGACTACCCTGGAGCGCAGCTACCAGCCCCTGCAGACCTACGAGGTCGAGGGGCCCGACGAGACCCCGCACGAGATCCACGTCGTGCCCGAAGGCAGCAAAAGTACGTATAATTCAAAACCAAAGTCAAACTGTGGATAAAAGTTTAATTTTCAATCAATCCAAGGCCGATGGAATCACGTCGAAGACCTGGACTCGTTCTTCACGCGCATGTATCAATACCACCAGAAGAACGGCTTCCTCTGCATCACCCTGAAGGAAGCCTTCGCCCTCTTCCAGTTCGTCTTTGTCGTTATCCTCACCACCTACCTCATGCACTGCGTAGACTACCCTGTCCTTTTCAGGTATAATTACAATAATTTAACCTTCAAATTGCAAAAGTAGGAAGCCTTTTACATATACGTGAACTTGGGTTTGTTTTCATCGCGTTGAGCAATTTATTGAAACCCACAACTTTGCCATGTGTTGCGTAATACAATATATGGGACTGCAGTGTTTTTGCAATTTTTTATCTTGCGAATTTCTATCAGAAGGCCTTATCTCGTCTCGTCTGCTGTTTTCTAATTTATAAGTTATCACCTTTGAGGAGAAAGAAACAATGATATGAATAAAAAATATTTACCACTTCGGGATTGCAATGAACTATTTTTATATCATTTTTTATTCAAAAATTGTAATTTACTTACAAATATTTTAATAAATTTGCATTTTTTTATTCAGGGACAAGGCACTAAATAAAACAAAAGTGTCACTCTCCGATGCCCTTCTGCCGATGGACGAGTGCACTGACCAGATCTCTGTCCTCTCCTGGTTGTGCCTGTGGGTGGCCTTCATCTTCTGGTGCCTGCGTTTCATCCGAGGTCTGCTGCACCTTGGCCAGTTTTGGGAAATCAAGCACTTCTTTGAGTCAGCCCTCAAAGTCACCGACGTAATAAAAATACGCAAATTTTTATTGTCATAATTTAAGCTCTTTTGTAAACAGAAAGATTTGGAGAACTTGACCTGGCACGAGGTGCAACAAAAAGTGAGGGATGTGCAGAAGGAGCAGCAAATGTGTATTCACAAGCAGGACTTGTCTGAACTTGACATTTATCACAGAATACTTAGGTTTGTAAATACAGTTAAGGATTTTTGTTAGTAACTAGAATTTTTTTTATATTGCAGGTTTAAAAACTACATGATAGCCATGGTGAACAAATCTCTACTTCCAGTCAAACTCAAAGTGCCATTTGTAGGAGAGGTTATTTTCATGTCTCAGGGCCTTAAGTACAACCTGGAGTTGCTCCTCTTTTGTGAGTATTTTTTCAGATATTTATTGAATTCAATTTTTAGAGCAATAAGAGTGTTGAAAATTTGATTTTGAGAAAAAAAAGTTAACATTAATTAGAGGTTAAAAATTCTGACTGGCGGCCATAGTTTCATATTTTCCATGACGCTCAGCAATTTATTTGTTCTTGAAACAATAATTTTTCCAAATTTAAATTCAATTTTGATTGCACTCTCAAAGCAAAATTGAAAATTCTAACCCATAAATTATTCCTCAGCTGGGCCATGGGCGCCATTTGAGAACAATTGGCACCTGAAGGAGGACTACAAAAAACAGGGCAAGCGGAAAGAGTTGGCCGAAAACCTGTCCCGCTGCATTCTGTGGGTCGGGGTCTTTAACTTCTGCCTCAGCCCTGTGATTCTCTTCTGGCAGATTCTCTACTCCTTCTTCAACTACGCCGAACTTATCAAACGTGACCCTGGCACTCTGGGTTCCCGGTGCTGGTCCCTGTACGGCCGTCTCTACCTTCGACACTTCAACGAACTAGACCACGAATTGCACGCCAGGCTCACCAGGGCCTACAGACCGGCAGCCAAGTACATGGACAGTTTCGTCTCTCCTTTGCTCACCATTATCGCCGAGTAAATTGAATCAAGTTCAAAATTTCTTGATTAATGAAAATATCATTGTTTTTAGAAATATCGGCTTTGTGGCAGGATCGATTGTAGCAGTTTTTGTTGTCTTGACTGTATATGATGAGGATGTCATCACCATTGAACATGTCCTGACCATCGTCTCTGTCTGTGGAGTGGTTTATGCTATCTGCAGGTTAAAAGATCGTCCCTTAATTTCTTTCTCTCTCAAATATCGACATAGATATTTTTCATGACTATGAAATTTAATGGCAACTGTTTAAAACCAAAATTTTGTGTTTAGAGCCTCGATCCCTGACCAAAACATGGTGTGGTGCCCTGAAAAACTTATGACAACTGTGCTGGCTCATGTGCACTACCTCCCTGACACCTGGAGAGGCCAGGCTCACACAAACATTGTTCGTCAAGAATTTGCCCAACTTTTCCAACTTCGAGCGGTAAATTCTTTTAAATATTCCAATTTTTTTTATTTTCATTTTACTTCCAGGTGAATTTGCTGGAAGAATTGTTGTCTCCAATCATCACACCCTACGTTCTCTGCTTCCACTTGCGTCACAAAGCCCTGGACATTGTTGATTTTTACCGAAACTTCACCGTCGAGGTCGTAGGAGTGGGCGACGTCTGTTCCTTCGCACAAATGGACGTTCGCAAACATGGAAACGCCACATGGCAGACATCGGTTCATTCTGGAGACGGAGGACCTCCCACTGATGCAAATCAATACACTCAGGTTTGCGAAAAAGTTTTTATTATTTAATTTTTTACTCATTTGACTTCAGGCGGAAGACGGAAAGACAGAGCTCTCGTTAGTGCACTTCACTTTGACCAATCCTGAGTGGCAACCACCCACGGATGCCGAGACCTTTGTGCTGGCACTCAGGCAGCATGCCATCAAGGACGCCGCTGCGGGGACAGCAGGCGGACAAATGCACAACCCACTCCTTGCCTCCATAAACTCTGTGTCATCTTTGGGCACTGGGGTAAGACCAAGATAAAAATTTTATAAAATAAGCTTTAATTTTAACACATTTCTTTTTGTCTCAAGGAATTTAACTGAATTTTTTATTTCAACATCTTTAAAAATATTGAAACTCAATTTTTTTTTTTAAATTTAATCTATTTCTGACAAAATTCCCTTGTTTTTCTAGTACTCGAGTGTTCTTTCGAGCGTCCTTCATCAACCTTCTCTCATGATGAGGTCGGAAATCATGGGAGGCCCATTGACACCGATGGAAAGACCCCCTCAATTCATCCGAGGGGGCATCAACAGGTCCGAGGGTCCCCTAAATGGCTCGGAGCGAGGTCTCCTGTATAGCCTAACTCAGTGTGGCCCCACCCTTGGCAATTCCATGTTCGGACCTGAGACTCCAATGATGCCTGAAGAACCTCCACCTGAGTTGGCTGCTGCCGATATGAGCCTAAGCACCCTTTACATGCACGAGCTGCACCAAAGACAGGTAATATATTTTTCCAAATCAATTTAATTAAAATATTAAAGTTAATTTATTCTAAATATTCAAATTATTGAATAAAATCTGAGAAATACAACCATCAGAATGATTTTTGTTAATTGGAAAGAATAAAAAATGAAAATTGATCTAGAAGTAAAATCAATTTTGCAAAATTGTTTATCTCAAAATTCAATTCAATTTTACTGTATTTAATGTATTTAATCATCAAATTTTTGTAGATGAGGAGGAGAGTTGGTGGCTTTTTGGAGACAAGCAACCGGTCGTTGTGGCAGAGGCCCCACCAAGATATGCCTGGCATCTCGGAGATCCCCGACGAGCAGCGTTCAGCCGAGCGGACACCCCTTTTGCGTCCTCGCACTAACCCCTTCACAGAGGACTCTTGAGACAATTAACATTTTTTACAATTTTTCTCTTTGTGATTTGCCTCAAATTGAGAGCAGGAATTGAAACAAATCGATGCTTGTTCATGCTGTCTAGTCAGGTGTGGGATTCAAGCAGAGAGAGATAATGATTATTATTCATCCACCTGTGTTAATTATATTTATTTTTGTAAAAACGTTTATTTACTCACTACTTAAGATGTAATTATAAATCGCGCGCTCTGACCTTTCTTGCACAAAAAAAGTTTAGTAAGAACTCTGACGCAGCAGACGAATCGAAGCGGCTTTTTATATCAATGTTCTTTCTTCTGCGATTTGTATTGGGCCAATACACTAGTTATGTGAGAAAACTAATCGAAATGTGGTTCATGTCGTGAATGTTTATTAAAAGGATAAATGCTCCTTTTGAATAATAAAATTCTTTTCTTTTTTTTAAATACTGGAAATGAAAATAATAACATAAAGTTCTTTGATAATTAACTTTAATTAAAAAAATAAGCATAAATAATTAATTTTCAAAATCAATGATTTTGCATGGTGATACTTTTATAAGTAAATACTGAACGATAAAATTATCTTTTCCATGACATATATTACTCCGTACCGATTCTCCAGAGCAATTAAAAATAATCAAATGCAAAAAATTCGCAAACTGCTCATCTCCGACTTATTGTAATTCGCAATTAAGCGCCCTTTCGGTGGTGTCCTCTGTCGGTCACGGCCGGAAGTATCGGGCTGTGATGCTGCGGAGAAACCCGAGCCGAGTGTGTCTTGTCCGAGCAAGCAAGTGTGGAGCTGCCGAGGGAGGGGGAGGAGTGGCAGGCAAGAAAGAATTGAAGACAGATTGAATGTGTCCTGACACGAAAACACAGAGAGCCGCACTGGAAAGCTGAAAGAAAGTGGTGCGCGCGGCCCGATGGCCGTCAATTAGCGTTTGTTTACATGCCGGACGCGCCGCTGAGTGCTCCGTCCAGCTCTGCATGCGCCTCCAGGTGAGTCCTCGGACACCCTAGCACCCGAATTAGATCCTTTTAAGATCTTCGAGAGCCCCTCTCGGACGCTCCCGAGGGCCTCTGATCGTCTTTTGGCCGACTCGGGAGGTCACTGGCCTTTCGCCACTTCGGCCCAAAACATCAAAGTCACGTGTGTGCGGCCGATTAAAGGGACTAATCGATTCTAAACGCCGATTTCCGGTCGAAAAATATTAATTAATTGATTGCATTGCGAAATTCCTTACCTCTTTTCAAACCAGTCTGCTATTTTAATTGTAAGATTGATTGTTTTATCTTATTTTGAACTAATTTCAATAATTTATTTTATGATACTAAAATTTTTCGTGCCGGTTCAGAATTTATTTTATAAGGTTGAAATTTCTTAATTTTGTTGATAAGTGGGAAGTAAATAAATTTTTTAATTACGTAAAATCAATAAAATAAACAGTGGCAATTTTATTTTAATTTTTGTTTTTCTAATTCAATAGTTTTATTTTTAAATTAATTTTACTGCCCTCGAAAGAATTTAAATGTATTAGGAAAAAAACATAGAATCAATTTTTTCCATTACGATTATCATTAAAAGTAAATTTTGATTTTTTCCTATTTTATTTTTGGGCTCAATGAAAAAAATAATTCTCCCCTTTGAATTTCAACCCGAGCACTGCGTTTGTCGTTGACGAGCCCCAAAGTAAATTTCCTGCCATAAAAAGCCGACGCTGCCAGGCGAGAGATGCACAAGTGACAAACAGGGGTGACAACAAGAGGAATGGTCACGTGACCGGGTCCAGCCGCTACAGCGGGAGCCGAGATTTTTTCTCTTTCTTTCTTTTAATAAGAGCAGTCGAGCCGTTTGAACTATTCAAATTCGAGCCTCCCATTATTCCATTAGGAGGAGATTTTTATGTGGCACCGAAGCCGAGGGGCTCTTCGCGTCCAGACGGGAATAAATCGCTCTCGAACGGCATATGGCCTTTCTTTTTTTTCGTGGATCACACGCGAGAGCTGCGAGATGTGTGGTGTGAGTCACCACGCAGCAAGAGAAGCAGAGAACGTGCAAGAATGACTGACGTTTCGGAACCTGTTTTGAATTTAACTGAAAAAAAAAAATGAATTAAACTCGAATCAGGTCGAATTTTATTTTCATTCATTAGAAGTTCATGCTTCTTTATTAAAATAGCATAAAATTAATTAAATTTGTTTAAAAATTAAAGTATGAACTGTAATCTTTGACAAGGTAGACAATAATTTTATTGAGAAATTGAAACTGGGCGAACTCCCTTTTGTTTTAAATTAAAAATATATGAAAGCCTTAAATTTCACATTTTTTTTAAATTGAAATTAAATTTTTCTGAAATTTTGTTTATATTTGCATGGATTTTGATTTTATATGGAATGATCATTTTCGTAATTTAATTCCGATTTTGGAGTAAAGAAATTAATAATTATTTTATATATATTTTTTTTTTAAATTTAGATTATATTTGACCGTTTTTTCCTTTTTGTTTTGTGCAAGATCAATCTTACTAATTTAAGATAATTTTATAGCTTCCAATTTAAAACATTATTCACTTGGAAAATTGCAATAATTTCTCTGGTTTATAGTCAAAGGTCTTCTCGATTAAAGGTCCGAGTGCTCCGTCGACCGTGGAAAATAATAATGCGATTTTACTCCGCTCGGGTCAACGATGAATGTCACGTCGTGAACTCGGTTGCATTTAGAATTCAGATGCGTGACTTCTCGTGGTTTTTCAAAAAAGTGACATTTCGGTGACAAAAGAGACGCGACCTTTTGGAAAATAGGCCAAAATCTAAATCGAGTGAAAATTTATGGTTCAAAGAATGATAATTTTTTCCTTGCCGCGTGTTGCACGAACAATTATCCTCGGAGCTGCATTTAATTTGTCTCACTCGTAAAAAATAATTATTATAATGCCACCCTTGCTTTCACTTTGACGCGCCGGGCAGTAAAATCTTTATGGCGCCTTCGTGGTCCACATTCCGACATCGGACCGTCCGAAATTCGTCTTTAGAAAAAGAAGAAAACTGACATGATATTTTTTTTACGAGCACATCTGTTTTCATGTTTTCAGAAATTGGAAGAAGAAAAAACGTGCAAGGTAAAAACGAGAAAAAAATTATTTTAACGAGTTAATTTTTTTTATTCTTTTGAATATAATATTTTTCAAATTTGATGGAAATTTAAAATGATAATAATTCAAAAGTTTTAGGTGGTTCAATTTTTGAAATATTTGCACAAAATCTCCAGCATATGAAGCTCAATTCAAAAATATTAATCTCGTGTTTGGAATAAATAAAAATGGCATTTCCAAGAAACTAAAAAATTGTCATGTTTTGCATGAAATATGAAGCTTCTGTCACAAAAAATGAAAATTTATTTTATAATTTTCCAAGTAATTTTAGTTGTTCAATTTTCAATTTGCTCTAAATGTAAAAAGTACACATTCAATTTGATAATTTTCAAATTTTTACAAAATATCAGATAAAAAAATTATAATTTTTATTTAATAAAAGTTTAAACAAAACAGAGTTGACTGAAATTTGGACAATAAGATGCTGTGGCTCCTTCGCTTGTTTATGATCAAGTAATTTTTAATTAACGTAACTTCATTTAAATATTTTAAATTGGTTTTAAACACAACTTCAGTTCAATGCTCAATAATTTGATGCTTATTATTTAGTAAAAATTTTAGGTTCTGTGATGAAGCTAAAATATTTCAGTCATTTTAAAATTAAATTTAGAAATTTCCATTTTTCCCTTGCAAAAAATAACCTTTGAGGATTATTTTAATTATTCATTGACATTTTTCGTAATCTTTACTAATTATTAGCAAAATCCTGGCAAAATCTACAGAATATCAATATTCATATAAAACCCAATCATGTTATTTGGCAACATACTAAAAAATTCCAAAGTTAGGTAATAAAACAAAGAAATTGAAATAAACGGCCTAAAATAAAATTGCATTAAATTTAAATAAACAGTTTTTTCTTACTGTGCAAAATACTTATGAATATTTTTTAAGGAATGGATATAATGTATGAAAAAATTCAAGAATTTATATTCTCAATATACAATTATATATTCTTGAAAGAAAAACAAAACATTTTTAACCGACAAATATGTTGCATTTTTTCCTCGAACGAAATCTCAAGTTCACTCGAGCAAATCTGGAGAAGATGTTGCGTGGCACAAGTAGCTGAGAGGGTTACGCAAAAGGGTCTCTCTTATCGCCGCGCATCGAAAGCAGGAAGAGGAGCTTTTATCGCGAATTCTCTGCGTCGGGCCTGTTGCATTATTCAGAGAGGAGGGAAGGAGAGGTGCTGCTGCTGCTGCACTTATACTTGATCATCATTCTGCGCGAAACAAAGAAATATTTTTATCAAATCGAGAGTCTGTAGCCGCAGCGAGCGATTCCGAAATCCAGTTTTTTCACGCAGCGCGAGTGCGCGGCCTTGTCGTTTCTTTTCACCCTCGCTCGCCACGCAATACACAATATATATAATTGAGGCTTTTTTTCTCTCTTTCCGAGCTGCGACGGCCGTGTTACTCATCACTTTACATAGACCCATGTACATAAATACATGCGCTGATTATTTTTTACACCGCGCTGGATGCTGCGCGCCGGAGAGAGCGAACGAACGAGCTCGAAGACGAACGCGAAATAAAAATTTTCTGACGCCGATTATTAGCTTTTTGTGGCGCGTCACCGCCGCCGGCTGCGGCCATTGGGAGAGAAAAGAAAAAATTCATAATAACAGATCGGAAACCGAGTAGCAGGACGACTTTCGCAGAATCAGCCGGTTTCGCTGAGAAAACGAGGCCTTCGAGTTTGAGAATCATTTAATTAATATATGCACGTTGATAGAAACACAAACACTTGTAAATCTTCCCTGATCTGCCAAAATATCTAATTTTTGCAAATTATTAGTTTTCTAATTTCCCATCCGATGGATCTGAAGTGGGTATTAATTATTCAAACTTTCGATAAATTTATGCGGAGAAAATTTTGACAAATACATAAATTAGTAGAAGAGCTTATTTTTATTTAAGAATTGCGGTTTGAAGAATTAAAGGAAATAATCATTTAATCAAAAATTTTCTTCAAAATAGATTTCTTTTACAAAATTCAATAATTTTTCTTTAACGATATAATCGGTTTTATTTTTATCATATTTTTAAAAGTAATGCAACCTGTACAAATTAGGTTAATAATTATTATTAATTTGATGTTTATTTCTCTAATTCACTCTTTTTTGGAAGTTCTTATAATAATTGTACTTTACAATAATTTTAAATTGTGTTTAATATTATTATTATAAATATAAATTTATTTTAATTTTTATAATTTTAATTTCAAATTTTAAAAATATTTAAAATAAAATTTTATTTATAAAGTTGTTTTTATTAAAATTAAATTTTAAAATATTAATTTGATACTCTTATATTTTTTTAATCCGCTTTAATAATTTACAAATTATATATATCCAATCTAATAAATAAACTTAGTTTTTTTAATTAAAATTCTTACAAGAACAATTAATAAAAAGTTATTATTATTTTTTTCTTTTGGAACGTTTCGCAAATCTCAGGTCAACGTGTCGCCATTGTCACCTGCCTTTGCACACCTTTTACGAATCGAATTGTTCATTGTTAGAAATTTGACTCGATTGTGCCGCGTTTGGGTCGTTTCGCAAACGGCCCCGATTCTCAATCTCGGATCAGTTTCAGTTTGGCGAAAGAAATGAATGCGCCAAGTGTGTCTGGGCGGGCGCCGAACAACGAGCGCGCCCTGTGCGTGCGGCCGAGCGCAAATACGGAGCGTTATTTGTTTGGACAAAAGTCATGCGCGGCGAGAAAACGGCATTTTCAACTTTACCGTGTTTGGCCGCGGACGAGCGCTCACGGACTCTGCATGACAAACAATAACACGCCGCGGCGGCCAAGTAGCAAATGCCCCGTCAAAATGCAAATTTTATATAATTCCAATGCTGCCAGCCGAGGTCATGGCAAGCTTCAAACATTTCAATCAATTGTTATCAAATTGTTGATTATTTTTCCAAAAATCTTGCAAGTAGAAAAATAATCCATTGTTGAGAGAGAATATAATTTTTTGATATCAGTAGCAAGAATTTTGATAAAATTTAAATCAGGGTTCACAAATATGATATCTAAAGCAAAATTTATTATTCATAATTGTTTTGAAATTGCAGGAAAATAAATTAATATATAAAAATCTTTGTTCAATAATCCAGGCTGGGACAATTTTGTAGAATTTCTTTCTTTGAGGTTTATTTAGATTTGTTAAAAATTTAGTAATTTCTGCAGTTTTCAAACTAATTTGCTTTTATCTAATGAATATTCAAAAGTATAGAGATGCATGCTACTGTGCTCCTTCTTTAGAAGAACCGTGAGCGTTGTTTGGACAAGTTTATTTGAAACGCAGCACCGACATTCTTCCGCGCTGACGAAAGAGCTTTTAGAGTCGTCCTGATTCGGAAGGGCCCGTCAGCACATTCCGCAAAACCTCTTCCATCTCATTTTTCGCCAATTTCGCTCAAGAGAAGATTAATTTTGCTTTCGGCGATGAAAATAATCTTATTTCATTTACTCGGCACTTTCCTTATCCAATTTAAAATAATATAATAATGAACTCACGTAATGAAATAACACTGATTTTTAAATTTATGATTAAAAAAAAGCGGAAATGGTGGCTAATTTTTTTTTTCATTCTTTTCAGCTATGAAAGACGATTAATGTAAAAATTAAAATTGAAATTTAAAAAAAAAATGTAGGTTGCTCATTTTCAATCACAACTTGAACTTGAAATTTTCAAAATTACGAATGGAGTGATTAAATTTGAGCTATTTTTGTTTCAGTCACGGCCGCCGGAATGTCCACCCTTCCCATGTCTGCCCCCGCAGCCCCATCCACGTCCCCACACCACAAGCCCTCGGGTCCCGGCCTCTATGAGTTCCTCATCGAAGCCGAGCTCCAGCACTACTACTCTGGCATCAAAAATACGCTTAAGGTGCCAAATCGAAAATTCGCCGTTTCATTTTGGAATAACATTTTGCGCATCTGCTTTAGATTCAGAACGTGTCCCAGTTGAAGTACGTGACCGAAGATGACCTGAACCAGATCGGAATGGCCAAGCCGGAGATGCGGCGGCTCAAGAAGTTCTTCCACAAGCACTACCCCCAGAACTACTTGTCCAAGTTCAAAAAAGTAGTAATTTTATTTCCAATTTGAATTTTTAAAAAAAAATCCCTTCTTTAGATGATTTTGCACAAAAAAGAGGAACACAACCGTCCGGGCCTGAGCCTTCCCGACGAGCGCTTGGAGCGCCCGCCGGTCAAGGTGCCCAACAAACATATCATCCCTGCCGAAGCAATCATAGTTAACAAGGAGTTGGGAACAGGAGAGTTTGGAGTTGTCCAGCAAGGCGTCTGGTCCAACGACGGAGAAAGGGTTTGTCATTTGATGGTCTCTTTTAAATTTTGTCCGAGAATTTAAATTTTTTCACAGATCCAGGTGGCCATTAAGTGCCTGAGTAGAGAGCGAATGCAGAACAATCCAATCGAGTTTCTCAAAGAGGCCGGAATTATGCACTCTATTGACCATGAACATGTTGTTAGACTCTACGGAGTTGTCCTCGACACCGACTCTCTTATGCTGGTCAGTTTGAAATAAGTTTTTATTATTTTCCTTAAAAACTTGCAAAATAATTTTTTTGTTTCAAATATCCAATGCTTTATAGATGTAAGTGTCAACTCCATAATTTATGATTTAATTCTTGTTTGTGTAAATTTGACCTTTCGGTTACAATTGAAGTTTCTCAATCATTTGTTCCTTTATGTGCAACATTCTAAATAACTTTTATTGTTTATTATACTGATACCCTTGTATACAAACAAGATAACTCTCCAAAATAATCCTGCTATTCATTATTTTGAATTGATAGGTCACTGAATTGGCGCCCTTGCGATCCCTGCTTGAGTGTCTGAAGGAGCCGTCTCTGCGTTCGAGCTTCCCAGTGCTCACCCTGTGCGATTTTGCAGTTCAGATCTGCGACGGAATGCAGTACCTGGAGATGAAGCGCCTCATTCACAGAGACCTGGCTGCGCGCAACATCCTCGTCTTCTCCAAGAACAAGGTCAAGATCTCGGATTTTGGCCTCTCGCGCGCCCTCGGCGTCGGCAAGGATTATTACCAGACAAACTTCAACGTCAACCTCAAAGTACGAAAATTTTCCAAAAAATATATTGAGGCAAAAAACTTATTTCTTATTTCAAATTTTATTAAAAGATTCTTTATTTTATTAAAAATAGTTTTGTTTTGTAATCATGGTTATTTTTTTATTAAAAATTGACCTAATTAGAATTCTTTTTAATTAATTGTGCCAATATTCCAGTTGCCGATTGCATGGTGCGCACCGGAGTGCATCACTTTCCTGCGCTTCACCTCCGCCTCCGACGTGTGGGCCTATGGTGTCACTCTGTGGGAAATGTTCAGCTACGGTTTTCAGCCCTGGGCCGCCCTCACCGGCCAGCAGATTCTTGAGGCCATCGATGAGCCCTCCTGTCAGCGACTTGAGCAACCCGACTGTTGTCCCAGGGACTACTACGGTCTGATGCTCAAATGCTGGCACCACGACCCAGTCATGCGGCCTAAGTTTTCTGACCTTATTTCTCTTTTGCCTGAGGTATGATTAACTGACTTTCAGCTAGAAACCAACTTAAGAAAGACAAAATATTTCAATTTGCAGTGCAAACCAGAACAAGTGCAGGCTGCCCAGGACAGTCCAGCCGTTGGCAAGGTCAAAAGAGACCACCTCAGCTTCAAAATGGGTGATATTATCACAGTTTTGGATAAAGGGTAAGTGAAGTTACTTAAAATATATTGGGTGAGAGGGAAAATTATTTCATTTTGTGGAAAATATTACCTACAATCAGAAAATATATTTTTTTTAATTTTGTGAAAATCAAAAAGTTCATATTTATTTTCAGACTGAAGATTTCTATAGCTTATTTCTAAAATGCTGCAAATCGTTATATTTAAATAATAATGGAGAGCAAATTTATAGTTCCAGTGGCACATGGAAAGGCGTATTGCACAACGGGAAGGCAGGCTCCTTCAACCCAGCCTTCACCGTGGCTTATTTGGGACTCAATCTTCCTTCAAACAAGAACGAATTCACAAGAGGAGGTGAGTTAATTTTCCAAAAGTTGAATTTTAAATTTAAAATATTTTATACGGTTTTATATTCCTCAGACGGTAAAAACACTTACTCATCAAAGCGCAAGTTACGGACGGACATGATTTCGGCGCCGCAGGGCGATGTTAAGCACATGGGCCATGTGGGGATGGATGGCGCCTACTTTGGAGACATCTCCTTCCTTGGAGGAAAGGTATGATTGTCACAAATGAGAGGAAAGAAAACTGTGTGTGCTTTGCTAATGCTTTTCTGCCACTCACACATTTTTGTTCTGTGCATCAAATCTCATAAAACTCAAGCACTCATTCTGCCATTAATTACACCTAATATTTTTATTTTTAATATCTGAATTTTTAACACTAAGTTTTTTTTAGAAATTAAAAAATTACAATTTGTGATTAGAATAATAATTAAGATTAGCATTACAAATAGTCAAAGTAATTAATTTACCTGTTTAAAAGATGTTAATAAATAATTAGGGGCAACGATAATTTATTTAACAATTAAATTAATTTGTATAATATGCTTTGAAATAAACTTTAACCTCAATTAAGATCATTTAAATGCACTGTAACATATTTTCATTTTTGCGTTTGTAAATATGAATCATTGTTTATGTTTGGCTTTTGTTCCTTGTTCTTTTTCTCGCGCTTGGCCGAATGCAAGCAGTCCAACGCAAGCACCTCATCTCACTCCCTGCAGTACCCACACTTACCTCGCCAGGTGGTGACGCCGTACAAGCCGTCGCTGGACCAGCCGGGCCCCAGCCACACCAGGAACCCCTCCGACTCTTCCGACAGGGCGCCTCTTCTTCTTTCAACCAAAGGAATGCCGACCAACTCTGGTACTAAAATTAGTTTGCTCAATTTTGGCTTTGCTAAACATCAATTTTTTTAGGGTCGGACTGGAGTGATTCAGCTTCGGCCACTCCAATTATTGGCAAGGGAGGAAAGTTCTTGATGGACCACGAGTACCACGAAATCAGCGATGAGGAGACCGTTGCTGAAAGCCCGAGATTTGAGGTTTGTATTTTATTTTTCTGGAATATAATATCTTACAAATGTTGAGCAAATGTTTGGTTTTGCCAAACTTAAAATCATTTTTTTAAATCTCATGATTTTTATAAAGGACCTCTTTAAAATTAAAACAAGTTCGAAAACAGATTTTCAAATGAATATTTTATTAAGTATCACAAAGTTTTTCAGGGAAGCTGTGCTGCGAGTTATATTTTATTTAAAATTTCAACCTGTAACTTTTAAGTTTTAGAAGCTTGTATTAGTAAAATAATTAAAATTAGAGATTTATCTAATTTAACAAAAATAAAACTTTTTGTTGCAGAAGTCATTTGACTTTGGTCCTAGTCTACTGGATGAGATGGACGCCATGTTCAAATCATTCGGATCACCAAGTAAGCAGCACGAGTCGCCTCCATCGTCCCCACTGACCAAAGCACCGCCTCCACCTCTAGAGGTGGAAGAATCTCGCGACGTGGCTCACAACGTGCGAAACGAGTTGCGCGAAATTGCTGCCAGGGTCACCGGAGGCAGTGGAAAGAAGAAGCAGGCCACCGTCAAGCCAATTTCGGCGGCTGACCAGCGCACCCTGGAGTCTGCAATCGCCCTGGCCAATGAACTGGCCTCACGTTCCATGCAGGAACTGGATGGGTGTGAGGTTTCGCCGCCTCCGGAGTCACCGCACACTCCACTTTCGCCCAACAAGCGCAAGTTCTCCTTCAAACTGCCCTCGAACAAGAGTCCCAAACCGGAAAGGAGAAATTTCGCTGAAGAAGCGGCCAGCATTCCTGACATACAGGTAATTTGTCTTGAATTAATTTGGTATTAGTTAATGACAGAGGTTGCTAAATTTATAATAATGAAAGTTTTGAAAAACAAAATGATGCAAATTTATGTTATAAAATTGAACATTAATAATTTGAGTCTTGTTAATTTCTCTATTGTTTGTAATATCATTTAATTTTTTTTAATTATTTCAAATTAATTAATAATAATTTTAATGATATAAAAAAATCAAATCTAATTTGTAGTTTTTTTTTTTTAATTTGAAAAAGTTAAAAAGTCTTAAATTTAGGCCCCTCTGTCAATAACTTTTACTTCTTCTTCACTTGATCATGATAAAATTTAACCAACTTTATTCTGCAAATGAGCTAACAAATTACTTTCACTGCCTGCTACTCCTTTGGTGGCCCTTTTCCTTTTTTCTTCGCGTAGTTCTCGTCCGACTCGACCAGCTCGGGTCAGAGTCACCGCGACTCGGCCGCCTCCACCACCTCCACCTCTTCCTCCTCCGTCCCCGGAGACCCTCTCTGGGGCAAGGCGGGCACCGAATTTAGCTTCAGCCGCACTCGGCACAGCCTTTTGCCCCAGTTTCCGCCCATGTCCTCTGACTCGGACGTGTCTGTTGAGCTGTGGCCCATTCCAAGGGCGCTCGATCCAAAACACATCCGCGCCTCCGCCTGGTACCAGAGGTACAGGCGCAGTTTGCGCTCCGAGAGGACCGAGTCCAGCAGCAGTTCCTCCGATTTTCTGTAGAATTCGATCGCATGGAGACATATATATTTCGTTGCTTAATATTTGAGACTGATTTTCGTAAAAAAGAGCTCAAAATTTAAAATTAGAATAGAATTGCTTTAAGTATGTAAATATTGTCTGAAATTTGCGGCAATATTTAACCGTCTTCTCCCTTCTCTCTGTCTATTCCAGAACTAAAAATCCGACCTATCTCTCACCCTCTATATCTGTGTGTTAGAGCGTTTTTCAAGTTGGTGTTTCATAATTTATTTGGTTTTTATTCCTTTTAATAGATTTAGAAAATTTCTTTAGATTTTTAAAAATGTTTTGATTTTGAAGTTGAAGATTTACTTAATATAAAATTTTAAATCAACATTGTTACTATCGCTGTCAATTGGCATAAAAATTTTAATGCAATAATGCAATCTTCAAATTGTTTAGGGAAATTCTCCAAAGATTATTCCATTTTAATGCAATATTAGAGGAATTTCAGCTAATTATTACATCTGTTTTATTTTATTACAACTATATTGAAGAACGCTCTGTACTGTGTGTTTAAAACTTTAGTTTTTATTATATCCTTCCACGTCATTCCATTATCAAGACGAGAAAAAATTTATCTAGCCCAACGTCTTGAAACTGGATTTTTTTGCATTTTTATTTCTTTTGATTTTAATTTTGTGTGTGCTTTCCCTTTTCTCCCCGCCCCTTCCCTTTCCGAATCGGCACCAACAGGAGACCCTGACCGAAGAGGCGAAAACCGCCTACAACCTTTTGGTCGAGTCAAGCGGCACCGCTTCCACTTCGGTGGCAGGATCGGCGCCGTCGGTACTTTCGGACGACGACAACCCTCTGCGCATGCTCCGTTCAGGAATGGCCGTGCGACCGCGCGTGCGCGGAAACAAGCAGCGCCACCTTCAGGAGCGTCAGGCGTCGTCCGAGTGGCCGCCTGCGCAGTCGTCGCGCAGTTTGCCCAGGCCGAGGACCAACAGCCACCCCCAGCAGATTCCAGTGCCTGTGAGTCGCCGTCGGAGCGAAGCACCCTTAGGTCCGCCACCCCCGGTCCCTCTGGACAGCAGGAGTGCGTCGGAGGAAAGTCTCAATCACCACTCGGTAGGATTTGAATATTTTTTAATTATATCAGAAATTTATCTTTTTTTAAATTATTTTAAGGAGGGTGAGTTTAGGGAAGATCTGAACGCTAACCCCATCCCTCTTCCGCCGAGAGACCCAAATACCCAGCTGACCAACAAGCCGCGCCACCAAAGGAAGCATCCCTTAGTCATACCAGGTAGAAACAAGAATAAATTTTTATATAAAAATATTACTGTTTAATAAATTAAATATATCTTTGTTTTCAACCCATTTTAATTTTTTTATTGCTTTGAATCACTTCAGAGTTTTTTCCAACGCATTTTTCAGGTTTCAAAGGAAAACTGCCAGTAGTGGACTGCAGTCACCTCACAGAACCAAAGTCGCCCTCTCAGTTCAGTGATACCTCTTCGGACGGAGGTGGAAATGCTGTCAGATATAACATGTAAGAAAATTTCTGTCGTTCAAAAAAATATGCAGTTTAATAATCGCTTGGGTTTTTTTCTTTGTCAGATTAAATGTTCACCATATTTTTTATAATATAACAAATTGACCCTTAAGAAAATATTATGAACTTATTGTTCAACCAATTTTCAATAACTGATGGAGAGAAAGTTTTTTTTTATTAATAACCCCATTGGTTTGTTTACATTTGAGATTTTTTTTAATGAAATTTAATTTGAAACCATGATTTATTCAAAACACAATTTTGAACATTTTTTCCTTTTTAATTGTCACAGGTTGGATGACAGTTTTGACAATCAGATCGCAAACGAACTGGCCGCCCTGGACAACATCCCTGAAGAGGAGTCGAGCAACCAGCCGTCGAGTCCTACCTCGTCTCCAGCGCGGCCCTCACAACCGCCCCCACCGCCTCCACCTCCGCCCCTGGCCGAGCCAGAGGACGAGTTGGATGAAGATGAGGAGGAAGATCCTTTGCTGCGGAATGGGGACCACGTTTCTTGTGAGGATTTGCTCGAGTTTGCTTGTGATGGGCCGAATGTGAGGCGCACCCAGGGGCCGACCCACGGGCCGCAGTCCGACGAGGTGCGAATCATGTGCAAAGTGCTTGGCACAGAGGTGAGTTGAATTAATTGTGATACAAAATATGTTCAAATAGACTATAGTATAATAAATAAATTTATCAACAATGGAATCTGCGATTATGCATAAATTTGTCAATTAAATTTAAAAATAATCTCATTTTACCAAAAATTTATTTCTAAATTTTCAATTTTTTTTCCAGGTGGCAGCCAAGGATTGCGTGATGGCCCTGGACGTGGCTAAGTGGGACGTCCACCGCGCCATCAAGGTGGCCAAATTGCAGGCCATCCTCGGTGAACGCAAGACGGAAATGCTGGTGGCGTATGAGGCGCTGCAGCAGAGCAACTGGGACGTGGCGCGCGCCGCCGACTGGGTCCTCAACGGTGATGACAGCGACCATGCAACAGAGGTCTGACAATCTCAAGAGACCAATTCTCAAAATTCCGTTTTCGCTTTCAAATTTTATTTAAGAAAAAAAATTTAAATTACTCTTCTCGCGGTTGAGCCTCTGAAATTACTCAAATAAATGATGTGGAAGACGTAGTCAAATAGCACAGTTAAGTGTTGAAAATAAATTATCGGCCTGTTGATATATATTTTTTTTGCTCGGTTGTAAATTTTTCCTGACAAACGACGGCATTGCTCTTCTCTCGCAGCTCCTCATAATTCCTTTCCTTCTCTGCTTTGCAAAGGATTTTAAGCAAAAAAGGCGGTTCACAGAGTCAATTCAATACTCAGTGCCTCTGAGCAATTTACAAAATGATCTTTCCATTTTACGCAGATTAATAGCAAGAGCGGGCGGCTGGCGTCTTTTTACTGCCGCCTTCAACCAATTATATACGTTTTTCTATCAAGGTATTACAACATGATTTTTGTGTCAATTGTTTTTTGTACAAATAAATAAATCTCGCAAATATTAAACGCAAAACGTTTGTATTTATTCCACAGTTGTAAACTAGCAAGGTATCAATATTTATTTAGCAAATTTAATTTCAAAACTCGCTAAAAAATTTCAAAACGACTAAAATTTTCTATTTTATAAGTTAATTTTCAATAAATTAGAAAGCATCATTAGGTTAAAAATTGTTTTAAAATGAACGAAAATACTGATTTTATTTATTTAATTATCATAAAAAGCTGGCAGTACAAAAAGCCAAGGCTGTGCTGGTAAATCTTGCTCGTCGGCAGAGTATATAGCGCATTGCTTGTACTCGCACACACTTGATCTGAATGCATAAGTCAAAAGAGTGGCGTCCAGGTCGACCTGAACAACCACCGCGGTTGAATTCTCTTGCTGAAACGAAGCCCCACTCCAAGAACCGTTTCCTCTTTGGAACTACATAGGATATATTTTTTATTTCTGTTGAATCTAATATAAAAAAAAATACTAACATGGAAACCATCCAGTCCTGCAATGCGAATATCAACATCATAATTAACAGCCAATGCACCAGGAGAAACAAACTCTGCACTTTTGGGCTGCAGGAAAATCATAAACCATTGAATATACAAATTGTATAAATTTATCATACCACAGGACCATATTTCCTGAAATTTGTTTGGCCGTAAATCACGTTCTTCGCCGCGTTTGCCAGTCTTGTGGTTGCCGTTTGTTTGTCCCGAAAGTGAATACTGATTTTTTTTAATTGAAATTATCTATAATTTTTTTTAATTGATAAATTCTCACTCGCCGGTTGGTGAATCGTGGTCGGTGAGGTCATAAGTGTTGCCAACAAAGGCCTCTGGGATCAAAACATTGGGCAGCACCCCTTGATCGGCGGTCTGGTGCACACGCAAATAACCCCACCGAAAGTCGTCACCCTGTTCCGTCGGTCCATTCTAAAATTCCAGCATTTACACTTATTATTTGTGCTCATTTTTTCGATTGTACCTGAAAGACGCCGAACGGAAAAGCCACTGCGTTTTCATCGGCAGGGACGTTTCCTTGCTGAAAAGTGTCCCGCCAGTCTTTTACAAGGGTTTGAATGTGGCATGAGTAATAGGCGCTGTTCCACTCAACGTTGGTCGAGCCCTGATACCAAATGGCGCCCCTGATGGCCGTTTTGGTGAGCGGCGCCACCATGCCGTTCCATAGAGCGGATTCAGAATTTTCAAATTCACTTTTGAAACAAAAAAGAAATATAGTGATATATAATTAGAAACTTTTGTTGCTTCTTTAAAATTTAATTTAAAATATTTCTTTATAAAAAATTAATAGTTAATAAAATCAATATTGAGGGTGATTCAAAAACCTAGGCCCATAGGTTAACTTAACTTAGCCTGGGCTAATTTATTTCAATTTTCATTTCTACTTTCAACGCGTGTTTACTAGGCTCAATGGAGGGCAACTTTGCGCCGTATAAGATAAAAATTTTACCTTCCAACAAAAAATTAAATTATTTCTGCGGTGTATCCTTTGTTTTTACCGGTTTTTACTGCCTTCAACGTATTCAGGGTCGTGCGAAAACCCAAATTTGAGCGATAAAAATGGCAGGTTAGCCTTTTTAACCTTTTGGATCGCCCTCGTGATTATGAAAATGATCTCAATTTGTCTGAGAGGATTGTCTGTCTTTTACCCGTCATTGGCAGGTGTGCCGCAATATTCCATCACCCTGGGTGACGACCACGCTTCAATCCTCGTCCCCGACCACGAAGAATCAATCAGACCAATCGGTCTAGTGTTTCCAAAATGATTTGAAATGCGTTCGCCGAAAAACAAACACAGCGCCGAAAAAGAGGCTGCTAATTCTGCTCGGAAGAAAAAATTCGGCATTATTAAAATATTAAAATTCTCCTACGGTCTTCCACCTGACGTTGGTGCACTCCACGGAATTGAAAATCCATCCACCTCGACTAACTCAGAATTAAGTGAGTAATTATTTTTTATCTGCAGAAGCCGCAAGTTTTGGTATCCAAGAGCTTTTTCAATTTCTTCGGTGGCGTTGAACACCTGGATTGCCAAATTTGTTTAAATTCTTAATCATAAAATTTTTTATCCAACCTCCCGGACCGGCATCTCCATGTTGCTTTGCCCGCTGCAAAACCACACGTCACCGAACCAGGCTAATAAAGAGACCGTCTCGTTTCCATTCTACGTTATAATCCTGATTAGTTGTGGTAAAAAAATTTATATAAATAAAAATACACCTGAGATAAATTGAAATCAACTGGGCCACCCTGAGCGTGTGGTGGGAGCACAATTTTCCATGTACCGTCCACTTAAATAAAATTTCATAGGATTTAATATCAAACTTATAAAATATTTTTTAATTTTTTACCATCTACGGGTGTTTCGATCGAATTCCCTTCATAGGTGACGCTCACACGTGCTCCAAAATCGCTAAATCCGGCCAAAACAGCGCTTTTTGGCTCCATTTGCAAAACCATTTCGTTTTGATAAACGTTAAAGAGGCGGAATTCACCTGGTTTGATATTCACGCAAATTAAAAAGTTTTGCATTTAAAATGAAATAATTCGCAGACCATTCGCCTCAGAGCATAAAAGAGCGAGCAGGGCAGCTAAGAAAACTTGAGTTTCCATTTCTTCAATATGAAACAAGTTTTTCTGTTACTATTTCAAACTGATTATTTGATAACAAGTGGCTTTTCAAAGTTGTAATCACATGAGAGAAACTTATTATGTAAGCCTAAAGATGAGATAAAAAAAATGAAATAGTTTGATTAAAAGAAAAAACACAAAATTTTATGCAACTTGCTCCGCAGCAAAGTGATGCAAAAGGCCTAATTCTTCAGAACTAAACTACTTGATACGCATAGCTTTGAAAGAGGATTTATGGAACTCTTTCTGTTTATTGATTATCCAGATTGTAAACTATCTTATCAAGTCACGGCAGGGATAAGTATTTCAGCAAAGTAGACTTTTCGTAAAAAAATTCTCGTGGTAATGGGATTTTTTTTTCAGATTTAATTCAGCAGTTTTTTTTGCACCGCTGCGTTGAAATGCACTACATCAAAGTCCTCAAAACTTATTTTGTAAAATTTTAGAACTACATATATTGAACTATGACAGAAAATATTTTATTTTCCCTGAATATCAGGCACATTTCTTACAATCCAGTCCATATAATTTGTTACGTCGGTGAAGAGCGAGTAATATTTGGGGTTGCAAACTGTCTCCACCTTTTCATTAATAATCGCTTGTTTTAAAATTCCAGAACTGACGACCCCTCGCAAATAGTGTCGGCCGTCCCTGTAAATTGTCAGACCGCCTCCACTGTCACCAATGCACGTAGCCGCCTCTAAAAGTTAAAAAATAGTTCATAAAACTTTAAATTTTGATTTAAAAAAACGCACCATTTGGTTTTCCAGCGCAGAAATTCATGGTGGGTTTTAAGAACTTTCCGAAAAACTGTCTCTGCTGGAGGAAGCAATTCCTGTGCGAAGCGATGTTCAATTCCACCTTTTGCAATACAGTGGCGCGAATATCTTCAGCGGTTTTCCCATAACCGGCAACCTTTCAACACTCTCAGTTTTAATTAATCAATTAATTTTGAATGAATAAAAAACCTCTCCAGTTTTATGCGAGATGCTACTGATGCTATAATCTTGATCCCACAAACACGCCGGCTGGACCATTTCTGTCAGTTCGACTTTCGAGCTGTCGAAAATAAGTAGGGCAATGTCGTCCTCAAACGTTTGGGTCACGTGATCGTAACCTGAGTGAACCAAAATTCGATTCGGCTAATGTCGATAAACAAAAAATTTTGATTAAATTTCATAAAAAAAAAAAGTTTTTTTTACTTACGTAAAATGATTGTCTGGAATCTTCCGTCCTTTTTTCAGCGTCGTATTTTCCCAGGGTAACTTCGACCTGATTTGAAGTGTACTGCACCACTCTCCCACCTGTGCTCTCAAAGAAGCAGTGGGCCGCTGTTTCAAATATAAAAAAATAATAATAATTTTAGCTTATTTATAATTCAATCATTTTTTTAACTTCCCACCTGTTACAATTGCTCTATTGGAGATCAAAGTTCCGCCGCACGCGTCAATGGTGACCCCTGCCTTTCCGTGGAAAGTAAGGCTTGCATGCCAAGGGGACGTTCCAATTTCTGCGTCTAACCCTCCAAAGACAAATCCCGTGGGTCGCAACTCGGTTGACCTTCTAGGCCTTTTGATGGCCGCGTTTATCTGCGTCAGGATTTTTCCGCAGTTAGGAAAACTCAACCCCGATCTAAATTCTAAAATTTTTGTTGTTAAATAGCTGCTTTTTTTAAATTTCAACTTACCTATTTTTGGTTTTGTGGAAGGAATTTTAGGCATGAGAATCAAGTCCGGCACCAATGAGATGATTTCCTCCAACCAAAAGTTGATGTCCATCGAGGAGCACACCTTTGTACCTGACGGCTTGGTCGAATAGAAACTCCTGAGCGCCCTCAGGTAGTGCCGAGTTTGGCCCTGTTGCGTTTCTCGATTTATAAGGAAAAATTGGCAAGGGGCTATAAAATTAAGTAAAATTGTTTAGAATTACATGAGAAATTAATTTTAATGATCACTTTCAGAAAAATTAAATTTTTATAAAAAAAATGCGAGCATGCAGTGTTATTTATAATTGAATGTTTTTTTTTAAATTGATAAAATTAGGAAAACCAGAAAAAAGATTCATCGTTATCATTATTTGATTGAACCTTAATTTAAATTTTTCAAAAAAATGTCAGCTTTTTAGAACTTACACTTTGTGCATATTAAAGAGTTTATATTTTCTCCCCAAAATCTCAGATATTCCTCCGTGTGGCAACAATCTTCTGGCTTATAAACTTCTGCCCACTCTGCGTCCTGTTTAATTAAATCATAAATTAAGAAAAATTCCTCTATATTATTAATTAAACTTACGTCGCCGAAGTAAGTTCCATAATAGTTTTGAGACGAATAAAAATCGTCCGAGTTATCGCGATTGTAGAGACAAATCGGCAATAAATTATTAGCGAATTTTATTTTATTTGTGGTCCATAAAAAATAATCTGTGTGTGGTGACATTTTTCGTAGAGTTTTTAATCCAATAACCTAATTTTAAATTTTTCAATTAATATGAGCGGATAAAGATTATTTTATACCTTAATGTTCTCCAAAAGACGCAATCGGGCAAAACACTTTCCGTCCTCACTTTCAGTGTCTGCGCATGAATCGCCACCGTAAATTTGCATTTCATTTGAATTTCTAGTCCTTATGTAATGATCAACCACATCTCGGCATTCTAACAAGTAAAATTAAAAAGTAATATGATTAAAAATAAATAGAATTTTCATCTACCGTGAGGAGTGATTACGGCCTGGGCTGAAATTAAGATCCCTCGGCAAATGTAACTTTTTGACCTGACCCTGACGACGATTTGCCACGGCTGCTTAAATTTATTTCCAGGGTCTCTTGATGACCAAATTCCACAACCTTCAAAACTCAGATTTTCCTCTCGATCTCCAAAATCTGTTCAATTTTTAAAGATTTTGAAATTTTAAAGCACGGAATTTTAATTTACCTGGAGCACTGAAAATTCTTCTGTTTCTTTTGGCGCAAAAATAAGACTCGTCGCCTCCTTCATATTCAATTTCACGAAAGTTGCTGCTTCCTTGTGCACAACACAGACCGAATAAAGAAATAAAGAAGCAGGCGAAAATTTTTGCCTCCATGTTGCACTGGAATAAACAACATTCTCCGTTGAAAAATGGAAGAGAATCGTTAAAATGACTTACGCCGGATGTCTGGCCAACCTAAATCAGAACGAGATTAACAGCCTTCATTGATATGTTCTTCTTTGCAACGGAAGAGATAATAATATGTTCCCTCAACGAAAAAATAAAACGATACAAGATGACCTTTAGGGCTCCTCGTTGTATAGGCCTCTTGGTTATCGTCACAAAAACAAAAACAGCGATTCAGCAATAATTAAAGATCAAGGAACTTTTAGGAGGAGCGAAAACCAGTTTCGCAATAGCCGCAGGGCAGAAGGAGAAGGATATCCACCGTTGCTTTATGAGTTGAGACAAGTTGAGAAAAGTTGTCACTTCTTTTTGTGTCAAAAAAGCGTTATATTTAATTTCAAAACTAAAGCCGAGAGATTTTTAAAAATTAAAAAAAATCTTTTCCGGCAAGAGCTAAAAAAATAATACAAAATAATAGACTCTCGGTCTGCATTTTTGGCGCTCTTTAATATTCGTTTGGCGCTGTCGCCGGCAGTGGTGAGAATTGGAACTAAAATTTGTCAACATAAAAATAGCGTGCAATTTTGGTGGCTCAAGAGCTTCTTTAATTAGACTTTTCAGCCGCATTCGGCCATCTAGACCTGAATCAACCCTTTGGACCTTTAAATAAAAAGGGTGAGATCAATTTTAGTGTAGAATTTTCCCATAATCAAAGGTACTTTTCACACAGATGGCTACTACAGAAGTGTTGGTCGACGCTCTGCCGTACATTGACCAGGGCTACGACGAGCCGGGAATCAGGGAGGCCGCCCTGGCGATGGTTGAGGAGGAGAACAAAAGGTACCGACCGACCAAGAACTACCTCGAGCACCTTCCGCAGCTCAACCTGAGCTCCTTTGAGACTGACATCATGAAAAAGGTAAAATGGAATTTCTGAAAAGAAGACAAAAACTAATTTTTATATTTACTTCTTTTTCAAAGGAATATGAGCGATTGTCCCAAAAGCAGCCGATGGACCTGTTGAGCATGAAGAGGTACGAATTGCCGCCGCCGCCTGCGGGCAAACTGACGGACATCTCTGCTTGGAGCGAGTGCGTGGACAACTCGATGGCCCAGCTCGAGCACCAGGCGACGCGCATCTGCAATTTGGAGCTGATGCTGGAGCACAGTTGCGAGTCGTGGAAGAGCTATCTGGAGGTGCTGATACAGTTGGTCCTGAGTGCCCAGAAGCAGCTGCAGGCCCTGCGGAAGTCCATCCAGGAGGTCAACTGGCAGCGCAAGAACGAGCAGCTGCAGGCCGGAGACAACCTCAAGGCCCTCGAGACCAAGTGGGTCGGGCTCGTGTCCAAGAATTACGAAATCGAGCAGGCCTGTGCCTTGCTTGAAAACACGCTTCGGGCTGAAGGCGTCATTCTTGAAGTTCCGTAGAATTTTGACATACAAAATGTGACTTTTCGGTGCAGTGAGATGGACATTCAAATTCTAAGTTTTTAATTCAGCATTTAAATTATAATAATAAATAATTACAAAAATACAAAATGAAGTAAATTTGAAGATTTATTATAGATTTTCCTTGACTTTCTTAATCCAGGCTTAAAACTGATTTTTTTCTTGTAAAATTGGGTCGTCTGAGACTATGAGATATTAGTAATGAAAACAAGAAAGCTCTTTTATTACACTGAAGCGTTTATTTCATTTTTTTTTTTTTTTTAATAATTGTGAATTTATTTTACATAATCTGATAATACACAATAAATAGGTAATTAACATTAAATGGGGGGAGTAATGAATAATTTAAGAAACAGAAAATTCTCTCAGGTGATTCAGCATTCTGGTGTCCAGCAGCAAACACTTTCACAAGTCATAATCAATATAAATAAATAAATTAACATGAAAATACACACATAATTTTGGAAATTTTCACGAGATGTAAAAAAAGAGATTCGAGGGTTACAGAAAAACGGTCAACATTGTGTTCGGGATTCTTCAAGCGGTAATAAAGGTTCAACAAACATCCACATTCAGTCGTAACTCCTAAATTAAGTTTGCTAATCTTAATTTGTAATTAATTGCGTTTGATAACAGTATTATTTGCTCTATGCCAGCACAGAGTTTTGTAAGTCTTTTAAATTTCTTCCTAAGTTCCCACTTCCTTTCTTTCGTTCATGCCTTCTTTTAATTAATGCACCAAAATTAAATTGTTTTACTTTAAAAAGCGTTCAATAAAACACATTCAGCTATCAATTGTTAAGAACATTTCACTTTGGAAAAACTAACAACACGAAAAATGTCAAAAATGAATTTTAATACTCGTTTTTTTGTTCAAATGCCTGCGTAGTAAAAGCGTCTGAGTGAACTTATTGCACCAAATAATGTGAGACAATTTCTTAAACTTCCGTGGAATAATATAACGACAGATCTCTCGCGGGAGGGGAATAAATTGTTAGTGTGAGAGACAATCAATTCATTCACTTGTGTGACATCGATACAGTTAAATAATTATATGTGTAATCAGTCAACTATATAATTATGTAGAGCAAGGGGTCTTATACAGCTTGCGTTGGTACGACAAAGACACCACCACAGACTTCGATGAATAAAAAAAAAATTTAAAAACCCGTTTTTTTATTAATGAAAAATGGAAAAGTTGAAAGATCCACACCGGTATTTTGTTTATTTCTGGACAAATTAGTATGGATAAAATCAAAATTATGATAACACCAGGGGATTTTTTTTATCAAAATTTCAATTGTAGCTATGAAATTGTGTCCACTTTTATAATTAAAATAAACATTTTGCCGGTGTGGTCCATTCAGGGCTGCCGAGATGGGTTCAAGTGAAGCTAGAATGAAATTCTTACTTGTGCCTGTATAGAATAATTATGAAAATTTCCAAAAGAATCTGGCAGTTGAAAAAATTGTTTGAAAAATTCAAGCTATTGCCTCCAGCAGGGAGTTGAGCTCACAGCAGGTTAAAATTACAGTGGGTGCACTGCTACCTTCATTTCTCTAAACTTAAGAGTAATTCTTTTGCGTATAATTTGAGTGAACTTGATCAGCTGTCTCAATATTGATTCACAAGAATAGGCGGTACAATTATTTTCAAAAGTCCAATTTTTCAAATGGCTTGTTTGAAAAAAAAAATTATTTTAGTTATATTTGCAGAAAACCTAATTTTCTTTCAAAATTCCCAAAATACCAGTTTTTATGAGAATGCAAGCACAAAATTTACGCCGTCTTTCTCTTGAATTGTTGAGAAAATTTTGAAATTTCGCTTGCGGCTTTACAAACGTGATACAGTTTTGGCGAGAAATATTCTCAATGTATGTTGGCCTTGAGATTTCAGAGGAAAATTTACCAAAATCAATTAGTGTGTCCAGAGACCCACCCCGCCCTAGATTCTCGTTTCGCATACAAAAATATCTTGTCCCTACGTTTTGTCCGGGATCCACACGACGCTACTATTTACATTCTCGACGGTGCTGGTCGAGTTGATGTTGGCCGGTTTGAAGAGCGGCAGGCAGAGCTTCCGGTGCAGGTGGAAGTACTTGGTGATTTTGGTGCTGGACGACGAGCCGCTTGCCGCCGCGCCCTGTTTGTTCTCCTTGCTATCCTCGGGTGCGGCCGCCGCCGCCGCCGAGGACTTCTTGCCGCCCCCGACGAACAACATGAAACGCGCCCCCAGGCCACTCTTGCTCCTCACCCGAGGGGAGGCGGCGACGGCGTTGTTGTTGTTGTTAGCGGTGGCCAGCAGGTTCTCGGAGCTCTCCTGCACCTCTGTGATTCGGTTCAGTGATTGACTTTCGCGCAGTCTTGTCTCGCCAGCTGTCCCGCACCTCCTCCGATAGCCGCCCCCACCATGCCTCCGACCCCCGGACGATGAACCGCTGCCATTGTTTCCACTTTCTGAAGCCTCTCCGGAAGTTCCGGCCGTCTGTCCTGGGGGTTGGAGACCACCTGAGCCACCCCCACCACCTCCGGCAGAGTGTCCGGGACCTCCAGAGTCGCTCGAGTCGTCATTTGAGTCCCGCCTCCGGCTGCTTGGAGGCAGGTGGGACTTGAATTTGCGTTTTTTCCGGCTTTCCGAGTCTTCATCCGAAGCGTCTGAGGAGCTGCAGCTGGCCGTCCGGCTCTTGTGGGGCTTCGGGGGCCGGGTGAGGACCACCCGGGGAGGCGCACTCACTTTCATCTCGTCCACAGACTCCTCACTGATGTCACTGAACGTTAGAGTCGGCGCGGGCAGCGTTTTGAACTTGCTGGGGGCGGCATTGCCCCCAGGGGCACTCACTAGAGCGTTCGACTTGGGTGTGTAGCGAAAACGGAGCGGTGGAGCCACCTTAACCACGTCTGGCCGCTCCACCGTGCTCAACTCCTGCACCATGTGGCTCAGCTTGCCTTCAGAGCGGCTGCCCCTTCGATTCAGCAGCGAGTGGCTCGAGCCGCTCCGAGAAGAGTCGCTGCCAGCGCCAATGTCGGTGTCGTCGTCATCGTCCTCTTCCTCTGTGACGATGCTGCACTTCCGACCTCTTGGCTGAGTGTTGGTCTAAAATCGCAAATACAAAATCATTTTCAGATCTAATATTGAAATGAAATATAGATTAAAACGCTGACATCAAAGATGTCATAAATTTTCCATCTTCAGAATTAGTAGTTAAATTCACACAAAAATTTGATCATTTTAAAATTTAACAAATAATTGCTTGGATTGTAAAAGAGAAAAAATAGTTCAAAAACAAATCAAATCTTAAACCTTTCTAGTGAAACATGAAAATTCATAAGAATGCATAACATACCTGAACCTGTATTACATTTTCGTCAGGAACTTGCAGCAGAGAGTTTTCGTGACTAGATTGCTGCGTTCGAAGAGAACCAGACACAGAGTTGAGAGCAGTTGGCTTTGGCAAGATCAAATCACCAGGAGAACTATTGAAATCATAATTTTACTCTACATTCAAAATTTATTTATAAAAATCCTCACCCTTGGTTGATTTGATGATGGGCAGGACGGGGCGATCCGCGTTTGGCACTGATCGAGTGTGGCAAAATCAGATTATTTGACGAGTTTGGCATTGAGAGGTTAGGGCTGGCGGCCAGAGACTTGCCCCCCTGCTGCACTTTCTGGGCTTGCTCCTGCCGCTGAGATCGCAATTTTCGTTCAGCCAGCAAAAAGTACGTAGCTGTGATGTGGTTGTACTCATTTTTATCCAAAGCTCTGGCGATTCAAATAATTTATAAAGGTTTCAAAAGAATTGAAAAAAAAACTCACTCTAAAATTTCTTCCTTAGCGGCGATTTTGCCTGAAACCATTTTCTGGATAATTAAATTGTGGTCCTCTTCAGAGACGTGCTCCCTGGAAATAAGTGGCAAATACTCAGACGGCTGAACACCGCTGCCCTCCTGCAGCCACGGGTCCTTGGCAAGTTCCTCCAGACTGGCTCTCTTGTCAGGCTCACGCACCAGCATTCTTGCAATTAAACTGAAACAAATTTAAATAAATAACTTTTCATCAACAAAACCAGCAAGATGTTTCATTAATTTTTAATTCTCTTTTAAATAATAAATTGAAAAAAAAAATGGAAAATAGGTATCCATAATTATTCTTATTAATTATTTAAATTAATTTTCTAAAATTTGGCACTCACTTGCAGCAGCCTTTCGAAACATAGGATGGCATGGAATACTTGCAGTCCATGATCATGGTAAGAGTCTCACTATCGTTGGCCTCTTGAAAAGGGGCATGACCACAAACCAGCATGTATAGAATTACACCTAACGACCAAACGTCTGCAAATATTTTAAAGAAAAATTAATATGATTCTTTTCACTTTATTTTTGAAATACAGACCTACTGCCGGAGCGTCGTACGAGTCGCCGAGAAGAATTTCGGGAGCCGAGTAGGCGAGAGAGCCGCACGAAGTTTCCAATTTCTGGCCTGGGTTGAACTTGTTGCTGAAGCCAAAGTCTGTGAGCTTCACCATTCCGAGTTGCTCGAAAAAGACCACGTTTTCCGGCTTCAGGTCTCGGTGCACCACGTGCAACTTGTGGCAATACGAAATGGCATGCACAATCTGTTCAAAAAATAATATGAATTAGGCACTGGCTAAAAAGTTATGATATAAAGTACTTGTCGAAAGTAATTTCGAGCCTTGTCCTCGCCTAGACCGTCCTCGTAGCGCATGATGTAGTCGTAAAGGTCACCACCGTCGGCCAGCTCAAGAATCAGGTACAGTTTGGTCTGGGTGTCAATCACCTCGTATAATCGAACAACATTTGGATGCTGCACCAGTTTCATACAACGCACCTCCTGGAATTGATAAAATTTTCAAACAATTGCTTCATAAAAGAAGGAAAAAATCTCAAATCCAACAAGGATGGACCCGATTCTTATGACAAACACAAAGAGTAAAAATTTTAAAGATGATTATTTTATAAAATATTTTTAATTAAATTTCATATTGTTAAAATAAAATATATTAATTTAATTACAAAAGTTAAGTTTGTTTTATTTAATAAATTCATTTCAAAATTTTTTGGCAATTGATTATTGCTTTTCAAAACTTTAACACTCACAATTTTTTTTTTTTTATAAATCATTTAATTAAATAAATTAGTAAATTTTTAATGATAAATGTTATTCTTTATTCTTAAAAACGTGTTGAAATTAATTTGTGTCATTATAATTTCTTTTATCGATTTTGCCATATTATTATTATTTATTGATATTTAAATATAATTGACCATGATTAATTTAAATTCAGGACAAATAACCATCAAGGTGGCACATTGTCACATTGTTTGTACCTGAAAGAGGTGCGCCCTGGAGACCTCGTCCAGTTTGGTCTTGTCAATGACCTTGACCGCGACCTTCTCACCGGTGAAGACGTGTCTGGCGAGCTTGACGACGGCAAAGTGACCCCTGCCGAGCGTCTCCTCGAGGTCGTACATGCCGGCGATTTTGCATTCGGAGCCGCGCGAAAGGAGACTCGAGGAGCGACTGGTCATCAGCGGCGCCGGCCCCGCTTCCTTTGGTCCCAGTTCGCGCCGCAGCAGCGGCGGCGCCGGCAGCCCCTTCCGCTCAGGGGACTTTGAGTCGACCTTTGAGATCAGCGGAGAGACGTTGCCCTCCCCTATTCGCAACATGGCCTGCAAAGAAACAGCACAGAAAATGTTGATTTATTATTTATTTGCAAAGTTAGAAATAAAAAAATTAAAATATAAAAGTTTCCGGATCAATTTAGAAATTTCAATTTTGTAATTCCAAAATTTGCATAGGTTTGGGATGTAAAATATATTATATAATTATTATAATAATAATAGACTTCATTTGTTATTGAAAATGAAAGAAATGGCGATAAAATAATTAAAAAATAATCCATTCTTACGTCCAGTCTCTATTATTGAAAAATTTTTGGTTTAAATATAATCAAAATTAAAATCAGAAAATTAAATTTTCAGTATTATTGTGTTTCACTGATAAAAAAAAAAAATAATTAAAAAGAGTAAAATAGAAGAAAACACAAAAATCAATTAATAAATTTTAATTGCGTCTCTTTATAAAATAACCTTTTATCCATAAATTTGTATTGATTGAGGATAATTATAGAAAAAAAATTTATATTGATAGTTAAATAAAGTAAATATTGGAAATAAAAGTGATCTGATGTTCCATGATTATTTTTATTCATTCAATTTAGAAAACATTTAAAACATAAATAATGATTGTTTTATAATAAAACCAACTGAAACTTCCTTATTTTGGAAATCGACCGAATTTTGAAACGTTTTGAAACACGTTGCATTTTTTTGTCTTGCGAGTTTCCGGCACGTGGAGCTGCCGAAATAGCAATCGCGACAAATGCCAGTCCAAAATAAGTGTCTATTCTTGGGCTGAAGATTCGCGATCCGTGGTGGGTGGCAGTGGCGTCGTCGAAAGATAAATATAAAAATAAAAAAATAAAAAACAGCGGTGACGCCGCGCGTTTGCGACGCAGCTCGCACAAAGCGGCGTGTGCGGCCAGCTGTGAGAAAATCCATCGCCTATTCGAGGCAGCGGCCCTTTTCGGTGCCTGCACACATTGGAAAGACACACACAACTTGGCATGGCCGGTTGAAAAACTAAATTTAGACACTGCCACCGCGAGAAGTTGTTGGTCGGGCTCGGCCGCCGCGAAAAATTGCTCGCGGCCGCACACAAATCGTCGTCCAGCTATTTTCGAAATGCACGCTCGGAATCTTCGGGATAAACGTTTCGATCGAACTCTCGAGTGACACCGGGAGAATGACCCACTTCTCTGCACACCAATCAACCCCGGATTAATTCATCGACGCATAAAAAAAATATGTGCGCTCCAATAATTCCAAGAGCAACTGTTATAGTCAAATGAAGTAAGGGATTGTTTTAAATTGACATTTTTCCAGATTATTTGAAAATTATTGAAGTAAAATATTGTATTATTTGTAAGTTAGAAATAGAGACGTTTAAAATAGGTTACATGTTACCTAGTATAAAATTAATCAAAAATTAAAAAATTAAATAACATAGAAAGTTTAATTTTGCTTATAATCTGCACAGATTTTTAGAAATTTTTGCTACATGAGATTAGAGTTTTTATTTTTCTGACCAAAAATATTTGTACATTATTAAAATTTGTGAAATTGTTGACAAAGTGGATATATATTATCAAACCAATCAGTGGATTTTAATTTAAAAAAGTAAATTTTTAAAAGGTATTTTACAATATTTTATTAAATTCCTCCACCCTTTTTTTGTAAAATTGAACTTTCAAAAATAAACAAATATATGAAATAAGTAAAAAACATTGTAAACCAAAATTTATGTCGCCATCCACCACATTATTGGCTATTTCATTTGATTGTAAAGTCAAATTAAGTGTTTGCAACAAAGGTGCTTAAAATTGCCAATTGTTTTCTGATAATTTCCAAAAATGGCTCATATTGTTGAAAAGACTTTACCGAGCTAAATAAAATCATTTTTAGAGATCCTCTTTTGATTCATTTGAAACTTATTCTATTAAAAATAACAAAAAGCAAAAATGATGTCCATTTTTTTTATCCTTCAGACAAAAGTGTGGCTCAGGGCAGGATTATCGCCCAAACGTATCGAACCGCAAAAATGGTTTATGACGCTTTATGATTAATTTGGTTCCACTCGGCGCACTTCTCACTTCCGCTCAGGTCAACATTCTTTGCAATTTTATGACCAAGAACCAGATGATGAAAATAGTTCATTTCTCAACGCAGCTGCAAAAAAAATAAATCTCGCTGCATGTTAAAAACAACAGCTGCATATAGTCATTTTCAGCACTTTTACAGTTTTTACGTTGATTGAAAATATAAATAATAAATTACTATAGTAAAAAGTCTACCAATTAAAAAAAATACAAGCTGATTAGCTAAATAAAAAGAGAAATAAAACAACATTTTATGACTAAAATGATGATAAACAAAATAACCCGCATAGACGAGCCAGCATTTAAATTAGAAACGGTAAAACTTGATATTAAACATGCGAATTTTGATTTCGTCCTAAAATTTCGTTAAACATTTCACTGTTACTTTAGCGAGGGGTTAATAATATCACTGAGGCTATATTATGTTTATGTTATTTTTCATAGGGCTTCCGGCTTGCAGGCGGAAAAAGAAAGGAATTGGCTCCAGCGAGGGCGATTCGTAAGCCAATTATTCGCGGCTAATCAAATCAATTTGCACAGCCAAGGACCACCACGGTCCCAAATCAAAATCGCAATCCAATTAAGGAAAAAAAATACATAACATTAATTAAGTAACAAATAATAGTAATTTGGTACAAGATATTGATTGTGGAAAATAATAAGTTGGCCTAATTGAGGAATATTCTTTACCAAAATACTCTAAATTTGACAAGGAGAATTCATTTTAATTTAATTTTGTCCAATAAATTTTGTTCTTATCATTAGATTTTCTCACTTTATAAGTTTTATTTAATAAGAATTTATGAACGGATGAAAATTTGAAGCCTCATTTTTTTTGTAATTTCATGGCAAAATTTGAGCTTTGTTCGTGATAAGTCAGAACATTAAATTGGTAACAGCAGCATTTTTATCAATTTATATAATCCTTAGAATCTTTGAATTTTATGAGGGTTCAAAGGATTCATAACAACAATTTTTGTTAAATAATTTTTGCTGTAGGAGCAAAATTATTTGGCTTGGAAGAGAAGTGAAATTTATTATTTTTAAGGTTTTAAAGTTCAGAACATCAATTTTTTTAAACAATTTCTTGCATCGAGTGACGATTTGCACCAGGCCAAATAATAACAAAATAAAAATATGCCTCCTTCGTATATTCGGGGTAACTTTTGCTTCCTGTTGATATAACTATTAGTACTTTTTCTAACTGTTGCTGCCGTTACAAAAGAAATCGAAGAGTTGCGGCTGTGATAGCGTATCGTCTCGAGAGCAGAAAAGTCTGCCTTTCTTTCGCAACAACTTCTGGCTCCACGTCGCCGATGAATGACATAAAGGGAGAGAAAGATAAACGACGCACGAGTCGATCAATAAAAATTAATGCAAACACGAAACAAACGTGAGTGCCAAGGCCGGAAGAGGAGCGTTTCCCTTAAAGGAGTCGCCAGCCTTGGGGGTTGTGTCACAATCGCGCGCACAGTCATGCCCATCTTTACTCGTCTCGTTGCAAATTAAAATAAAATTAAATCCTCCATTTAAGATGAAAAACCTGTGTAAGTCGAATTGTAAAAAAACATTGAAAAATTCGCAAAATATTCAAATGAATTCTGAATTCAAACCAAAGGGTCAAAATTTTATTTCTTATGTATTTTGAGGCGGGCCACGCCCCCTTGGCCTGACCTCTCTCGGGGTCTCTTGCAGGGGCCACGGGGCCCGTTTCTGATGAAAAAGACCTGGTTAGGGGTGGGTGAGTGAATTTAAGGGATGATTCGGGTCTGAGCCGGAAGCGACGGGGCTTGCCGGGCCCGTTTCAGGGATATACCGACCTAGCTGTTGTGCGTAGGTCCGCGAACAGTCGCTCTCATTCGCAGCGCCGCTGGACGCTGAGACGCATGCTGGACGAGTCTGGCCGACGGGAGTGTGTCCGCAGGTAGAGCCAGGAGTCGCAAATCACGCCGAACATGGCTCAAAAGCGGCCCAGCCGAGCCATCAGCAGCACACCCGCTGTCATTATACGCACGTACGTCCACACGGAAAAAAAGCACTTTGATTCGCGAAAATGCGAACTGTGGCGCTGCGATCGCGGCTCGCCCGCCGCTGGCGCCACCGTCGCCGAGAGCACTTGCCGCGAACTGATACAGACGCGCTCTGACGGATGAATGAGGAATTCAACACGATCGATTTTTGTGTGCAATTTGAGATTTCATTTTTTTATCTTTCACCGTGGTCCGTGGGTATTTAATTCAAAATAGACACAGTTCTCTTTCAAGTAAAGAAATTGATTTTAATTAATTCCAATTCAAGGAATGGAGGAAACAGAAAGAACAGTGAACATTTTATGTAAATTTTTTCTACACATCAATGTAAGCTATTCTAAATAAATATTATTTTTGCGTATTAAAACTTTTATTTACTTTCTTCATATAACACATATAACATTTAAGTAAAAACAAGATTTTCTTTGTAAAATGAAGAAAATTATTATAAAAAACATAAATAAACTATACAACTGAATTTATTTAAAATTTTATTTGAATTAAATTTCAAGTGAAAATAATTAAGAGTGAAGTAATTTTCATTTTTAATGCACCTAATTTGATGATATTTCCATCTTGTTAGGGGTCGGCAAATTCAATACTCCTTGAGCCAAATTATTTACGATTAAATTTCATAAAAAGCAATTTGGCTTTCTTTTGGTTTTTTAGATTATGATTAGAGGTAGGTAGAGGCAGAGACATTGTCATATAATGAGTAATAGACATTTACTTCTATCATTAATTTCGCAGAATAACTCTCAGCAGTTACATTAAAATATAAAAGGAATAAAAAAAAAAGAAAAAACAAATAAAATTTTTTAAATGTAAACAATATAATTTTCTATTTTGAAGAAAATGACACTCGAGGAGATAATCATGGAAATGAAGAGGGGCTTTTGCAAAAATTGTGACCGTTTTCATTTTTTTTTTTCTTATTAAAATCATTTTTTGCAACATGGAAAAGCCCGATCTCTTCATTTCCAAATATTTTCTATTTAATATTTTTTTTCATTGATTTTTAGAAACACCTTAACTTGCAGGTTTTTCACAATGGCAGCATCCCCTTTTAAATTTTTGACATTTGGTGGAGTCAAGAATTAAGGGTGCATCAGCATCAGTACTTTGTATGAGTTGAGTCAGACTGGCGAGCAGACGGGGAGGATTCTCCCGTGTGCGAAAATCGATAAGGGTAGAATCGGCGGATGAGCCAGTATGGCGCCAGAAGGTGCGCCTACCCCCGACGCGAGGCCAATCGCGAGCATTCCTCGCAGGCCAATGGGGAGACGCCCACAGTTGGGGGATGCTAGCGTCTGCAAATCCCTCGGAAACGCCACCCCAACCACCACAGTGCAAACGATTTACGCACCAATTATTAATCGGCCGGAACTGCGTTTTCCCTAGACTTGTAGACTTCAATTCCGGTTGCGTTGAACAGTTGAAATTTTTGTACTCAGGAACTGAAATTTTCAAATTTCAGGAGTATTTTCAATGTTGCAGGTTACGGTGGACCAATGAATTTAGAACGGTTCCTCATGCAAAACTATATTTTTTATTCGATTTTGTATCACGAACGAGACCTTTCAAACAGGGGTGTCTCGGTACTCATATCGCACGTACGAACCCTTCACATAAAGAGAGGAGCGTCAAATTAAAAAAGAAACTGACAGACAACCCCTAGCTGGTTATTGAGTTATGCAACCCGCTAGAAGTGCGCGACGCGCCGGTTGCATCAAAAGGCTTCGCAGGCGTTTCAAGTTTCTCCGTCCGACTAGCAAAGTGAATTTCTGCCGACTGACGTTTGGTGGGATTATTTGAAAGCTTGAACATCAATTTCAATTAATTTCTGAAACGTTCAAATAGGAAATAAATTAAATACCTTCAATTTCCTCACCCCAAACAAAATGATACTAATTTTTTTTAAGATTTGAGGGGTTTTAATGTAAGATGTAAATGTTATTTTTCTAGTCTAGGACCCCCATTAAAACCCCCAAAATCATTCTTTACTTTTTGTTTCATTTTATTACATTCTCAAATGCTGATTTTTTTCTAGGAGGGATTTATTTAGGATGAATTAAGAAAAAAAAAACGAATTTAAAAGAAAAGGGGCCAAATATATAGATGAAAATTTTCATAGGCTTCATGCTTCAGGCTGGAGGTTTTTTTGATAATTTTAATACAAAATTCAAAAGCGTTGTTTTTAGGCAAACTTTTAAACTAGGAAATTTTTCGATGACTTTTGTGTAGTTTGCAATTTCTGTAATATGCACAGTCATTATCCCTCGAACTGTCCAACTTGATTTCCCGGCCAAAAGCAAAATTTCCCACGACAGTGTGTGCCCCTAAAACACAAAGTTTGTTCGTCAGCTAAGCAAATTTCCGTTTTCTCCGCCGGGAATCGAGAATCAAATTGAGTTTTGTGTTTGCCGAACTTTCAGTGTTCGAGTCGAGCTCCACCCGACACGCTCGTTGCACAGGATCAAATTAGTTAATTATGCAGTCGTCTGGGAGACAAAAATGTACTACACGCATAGATATAGGAGCTAGGGACACGTGTCCGGACGGCGCTTTCCCTCCCTCGATTCGCCCGGCACGTGCGTCTCGCAGCAATTTCGGCAGCGACTCTCTTTGCCATTTCATTGCGACAACAATGAGGGAGCGTTCGTCATAATGATGGGTTACTATTACTTTGGTGTGCTCTCGCAATGACATTCAAACTTCATAAAATTAACTGATTGAAAGCCTTTTGACATTTATTTTTGACAGCAATAAAATAGTTATAATGAATATAAATTTTAACGCTTTATAGAGAATATTAAAGGCTTATTTCAAATAAGCAATAATATTTCATATTTTTCGAACAATTTTTCAATAATACACTATTCAACGTAAAATAATAGCGAAACAAAAAAACTCAGCAATGGTGTCGTCATATTAAGTGTTAAGGCTGCTGTTTCATTTAATTTTAAAGCTTTTTTCTAGATATGAAAGTGCTTCAAGCTTTAAGCAATAATTTTTTCAGTTTTTCAATAATACTGTATTATAATCTATAGCAGAAATATAACTTTCTAACAGAGTAAAATAAAAAATTACTTTAAAAATTTTAGTATTTGTCAAGAATTTAATCAATACTTTTTTTAAATAAAAAATTCCATTTCTGAATTGAGTGTGCTAAAATATTGTGAATGAAATATAAATTAAATAAGTCAATAAATAAATAAATAAGAATGCTCAAGGACTATGCATATAAATTTCAAGCCTTTACTTTATATTCAATTCAATTGAATGAGGAAGTGCGTATAATATTTTGTATAATAATAAGAAACCTGAAAATGAATACCATCTCCTGATCATTCAAATTGTGGTCATTTCAAACTTTGAATGCGAGATTTTTACGGGCTGCGCACCTGGGCAAAGAATCAAAGAACGTCTACAAAGTTGTGCACATACAATGAATGCAATATCCACGTGTGTGCGCGTTATTTTCCCAGAGCGAAATTGCAGTTGGAGTGTAGCAGACGCGGAATGCAGTTTTCTCGAGTGAAAGAGGCCGCGGGCTTTTAATAGCCAGAGCGGCGGCGGCGCATCCCCTAGCCAAAGAAAGAAGAGACACACATCATACAGATGGTCTTATTATTAGAGCAGCATGAATAAATGTACACATTCGTGCACGTGTTTTTTCCAAGGGGGTGCACTACTGCCGGGCCACGTGTCCGTGGGGATGCATGCGAGTCGCGCACATATCCGGAGAATTCATTTGGTTATGCTTTTAGGCAGGGTGAGTCAGGCTTCCGACTTCTCGTCGGCCTGATTGCACATAGAAATAGACTTTTAGCTTTTATCCTGCGTGTACGCCCCTGCGAGTTCACTATCCGCAATCTGCGGGGGATTTGCTGATGCAGTTTGATCGATTGGCCGTTTGCACCAACAAGACTTCTCAAGTTTCAAATAGCAGTCAAGTTACTGATGAACACTGTGAGAATTATTACTGTGGAAATTATTAAAAAAAAAAGTATAAAAGCAATAACTAAAGTAGAAATTTAGTTAACAAGATGATTTCAAATAATTATACCAAAGAAAAAATTTAAAAAGGAGCCAGTAACATCTTTTCTAAAAATCTTATATAGTAATTTTTATTTACAGTTAAAGATTTTTGTCATGTAAAATCAGCAGTTATTTTATTCAATTACATTTTGCTTATTTTTGACGAAATGAAACCAGAGTTAACTGGAAAAATTCCAGATTTTTTCATAATTTAACAAAATTACAACAACTGAAGAAATTTAAGTAATTTTCCAAAGTTTTTTATAACGGAAAATTACAAAACCTCCAACTCTGGTGTGTGAATCACGCTCATACTTCATGGCAATCTCAGCTTTCAAGCACTTCACCTTCACCCCCTATATTCAGTTTTTAGTCACGCGAGTTGCTTCACTTAATTTGCATATAAGGGCTCACCTGCACTGTAGAGTATATAAGGTTTGAAATGAAAATCACAATCAGTGCCATAGATTTAATTTTTTCTGCTTGGTTGATTTTTTGGCCAATAAAGGCTCATTGCGTTAGATAGAGGAAGTTTTAGCAAAATTCTTGCTAGTAGTGGCACCATTTTTTTGCTTTTTGCAACGATTCCCTTTCTCAACAATTGATTTTAACCAATTTTAAAAATGTGGACAGGAACAACAATAGTAAAAAATGAAATCTCAAGATTCACGTAAACTAAACAAATTTACTTTTTAGAACTTTAAAAATATTTTCCCTTTCATTCAAGTTGGCAAAATTTTCAATTCTAGTTTGGATTTTTTATTCCACAATATTCCACGTTGAATATTCGTTAAAATTAAATAATATTTTATAAATTTCTTCAAAAACGTTAAAAAACATATTATTAAGTTTCAATAACTGCATGTTCTTAAAGTAACTTCCATGAAAATCGGAGAGACTTTTTAATTTAAAAGTTTGATAATTATTGAAAAATAAAATTGTTATTTTTATTACTGATTAAAAAAGGATCCTGTAAATATCAGGTTGATAC